TCTCTGTAGGTTCACCTTCGATTTGAACACACATACATGTTCTTCTGCCTGCTCAAAAACAACAAGATAATTACTGCAAGGAGTTCAGTCTTTCCTTCCTATCAGATGGTTTGTATGTTAGACAGTGATTTGTATAGCCCATATGATAATCTAAATAATCTTGTTCCTACAGGTGCGATGCAGTTTATTGTCCTTTAGGAGTAATGAAATCAGACAGATATTCACATTAAAGAAGCTGAAATCACAGAATTTCAAGTCTAATCACTGAAAACCAAAACTGTAGCCGGCTACTTCATTAGCTCACAACTTATTGATTAATCATTACCGCTCTTGTGCACAACTGTTGATATCATTCCAAGCAACCTTTGCCAACTAATTAAAAACCTCTTCAACCCACTAACACACTAGTGGGTCAGTCTTTACCAGCTCAAGCTGAACAGTTCAGCTCTAATCAAACCTTTGAAAAATCACATCCCGAAGTGATTTTGAACAATGAAGGAGCCAAAAAAACGGTTAGGAGTTGAGACAGTCTTGCAAAGCAGTGTAGAATAAGATGATTTTTCAAACCACTTTCACAGAAACAGTTTGCCACAAAGTATTAAATATGCATATGAACTTTTAAATAAGCAATTTCTTATTTATGATTCATAGAAACATGATAAAAATTAAATTTGCAGATTTAGCGTGGAATACTTTCCATGAAAAATTCAAATGAATGCACTACTTAAAAAGTTTGGACTCCTGCAGAGAGAATTAGAGCGACAGAGTGACTGATAGGAGATCAATAAAGAGCCATTAGCAACAGAAACACGCCTGCTTTGCAGAGCTGTGCTACAGCGACCGCTCCCCACCAGACACGGTAAACAAGGTCAACAGTGACTGATGTCCTTCGCCCACCTAAACACCCGCTGCACCCTGTTTGTACAGCATCAAGGACTTCCTCGTGCGAACAAAGGGGGCAGGCGGATCAGAGCCACCCTGGAGCTGGTAAGAGCTGCTAGCTTCTGCAGTGTTTATGTGAGTGTTTCATGCACCTACACATGCTTTATGAGATGTGTGTGTGTGTAACTCTGACCCTGACAGAGTGATGTAAACACACTAGAGTGCCTATATTTACGAACACCTGTGCTCAGCTGTGTGTGTGTGACTAAAGTGTGGCAATACACACACACACACACACTCCAGGTTAATGATTGTGGACGTGAGGTGTGAGCATGACGGCGGCGCAGCTGTCGTCTCGAGGCTCAGAGCTCAGAGGAATGCAGCAGGAGTGACGTGTTGAGGTGGGAGGGCCGAGGTGTTAAGGTGTGAGAGATGTTTTGAATGGCGTTTACAGACTGATGCGGTACACTCTGTAACACACACTTTACTGTCATGCTGTCTGTGCGGCTCAGCCCACTGCAATGATGTAGCGGGAGAGGGTATGTGGTCCAAAGAGAAGTCATGTCTCTGGTATGTAGCACATTCAGCCTGGAGAAATGGAAACAAATACATGTACTCATGCTGTTTTTGAGAGTGAGGGACAAACATGAAGAAATGAATAACAGGAAAATATCATACAAGAAGCAGTGGAACAGCTTTACTGTGCTCCAAAACGAGAGTTTGACTGTTTTTGCAAAGTTTTTCCAACTTCAAACCTCGCTAATTAATAAGGACTAATTAATTGAATTCAAATTTATAAAACTAAATAACAATTGATAGCTCTATGTTCTTTAATATGAGGAAATGTTTCATTTAAGTGCATTTAACTGTAGATTAAGTGTTCATGTGCAGTGGTTCCCAAAGTTTTGACCAGTTGTTGGGATGGATACTGACCAAGTTAGTGACACGTGCCAATCCATGTTTCATCAACCGGTGCCAAATTTTAGTACCTCTGAGTTCAGCGTGCTGAAAGAGAAGCACTAACTGCATCACTACATTACCCCTGCAGCTTTTTAGTCACACAAAGTCATGCCAATGTTAAGAGGGGAAGCTGCAGCGAGAGTGGTCATACTTTTCAATACTCAGCACAGATAGATATTTGATTTGCACAGCTGATATTAGGGCTGGGCGATAAACCCAAAATTTGCTGATACCGAAATTTACGACAATAACTGACATCATTTTGCCCATGTCAATATATTAGGTGTCAAAAAAATAAATAAATTTAAGTTGGTTTTAGATTTGTGTAGGTAGGCTATGGTCTCATGTCCATTTAAGACACTGTCCTACGTCGGAGACATGACTCTACCCCATCCAGTCTGTAACAAAGAGGGAAAGCCAGGTGAGGAGATGGAGGACGGTTCAAAAGTTGGAGCGGCTGGAGCGGCGGCTGAAGTAGACAAAGTAAATGTGGGAGAGGGTGAGCAGCTTGTGATGTAGCTATTGTCCATTTATCATTATCCAGGCGAAGTGCTCAAAATATCATGATATTGATATGAGGCCATATCGCCCAGCCCTACCTGATAAGTCCTGCTTTTAAACTTTATCACACAGAAAATAAATACCCGTTGAGAGTAGCATTCATGGCAATATGGAGTACCAGTTCAGTTTCAATGTGAACCCTACTGATGTCTCCCAATGCACTTGCAGAGATGTCACTGCTAAAGAACTCAGGGGAGCTGCAAGAATTATAGACCACTGAAAAGAGCAGCAGTTTCCTAAAATCCAATAAATTCTCTGCATTGAAATATTGTCTGTGCTCTCTTCGAACTACGCGGTTAGAGCATCTGCCAGTGATCACAGAAATGCTTTCATCTGCAGCATGATGCAGCTGTTTCCAGTTAACGCTGCCTTGACCAGGAGGCCGATCCTGGACCTGCTGACTGGACGGGCCTCTGTGGTCTGAGGTTTGCAGCCTTTCTGAGGTGGTTATCCTGCGATCAGAGAGGACTAAAAGATTATTTGTGGATCAGGCAAATACAAATAACTCTAAGTGTAAATATAGAACTCGAATCAAGAGGAGAAGGGTGGCTAAAAGGGGGGAAATTTGAAACACTCTGCCATCAAAAGTGTGTAAATCATGTCAGGCCCAAACACTCAGGAGATTGCAGGATAGTGCTGTAGAGTATTGGAGATCAAACACAGGAGGGAACACGTGCAGCGGGGACAAACAAGGGGGTTTAGCATCGACCGACTCAGCTCAAGATTTTCATAAAAGCGCTCTCCTGTTTCCCATCATCAATAAACTCAGCATCACGTGGCACAATGCAGCATTAAGCACCAGGGCTGCTGCTCATCCTGCCCTCTGCCCCACCCTGCCGTCCACCGCCTCTATTGATCCCCCTGCACTGCTACATTAGAGGAGGCCTGATAACAACATTAAATGAGTCCCAGCAGACAGCGCCATGACTTCCCTTTTCATGCTTTTCCTCCGGCGTGAGACGCTAAACCACAGTACAAAGGCTGGTTTACTCTGTGACACATTTGATCAGGTTTCATGTCATTCTGTTGCTTTTTTATCTAAACAGCCCAAAGAATAGAAACAGAAGAGAGGGAAAGACTCACGGGTCGCTGGATTGAGTTCTTGGATGTATTCAGTTTCACATCAGGGGGATAATTTGGTTTACTGTTAGAAAAAACAACCATTACGAGGAGAAATTCCTCTCTCTGGCTGTAGATAAGTGAGATAAACAGGCAGAGAAAGGCCCCAGCAAAATAAGAGCTGGGTGTTGGCTGAGACATGCAGGGTCAAAGGTCAGGTATGGTACAGGTCAACATGGAGAGAACAACAAAAGGAGAGACACAGAAGGATATCACAGTACGAGTGCAGTTTTATGTGTTCTCCTTTTTATAATGAGAGCTTTGGAGGTGCAGCAGTCGCTACAACATTTACGACAAAAACGTTTTACTGCAACGGAGAAATTAACAAGAAGCAAATGAAAAAGATAAAAGTGTTTGACGGAGCATCCGCAGAGCCGGGAGGTTCAATTAGAGTGTCACCACAGAGAAGGAAACATTATTCTTTGCTGGAGGGGATAAACTAAACCACCATGGAAAAAAAGTGCAGCAGAGGGAGGTAAAGTCAGAAATTCCTAATTATACCAATACGGAGAAGAACACACAAACACTACACTAACTCTGTGCAGCGAAGGACCAAGGGAAATTTCTCTGCCGCTTGCTGACAGAGCCACATCACACACAGAGCCAGAGACCCACTGAGGTTAAATCAAAGCAGACACACACACACATGGAGCCCGGATACCAAAGCATATGCCTTTTCTTCAATAAGCAGACCACCGCCCCAGAGTGACATATCTTCCCTCATGACTTCACGATGACACATCACTACCTAAACACACATTCATGTAGTCACACCAGCATGACTTCGTATGTCTAACCAGAATCTATAAATGAAAAATGACATTCACTTCACTGAAGGAAAAAGTACAGGAGCATTTTTTTGCAGAGGATGAGTTGCTTAGTCAAACATTACGCTGTTAAAACTCCTCTCTTGAGACTGCTCTGAAGTCTTGTGATGATCATACTTCACCCATCTTCTCATGTTGTTGTATCATCTGATGTGCAGCTGTTGACTACCACCACTTTCTTACAACTTAAACTCCCATGTGTAAGAGCTGGGAGGTTGTCAGCGTGCATAAAAATCTTTTAAGAAGGCATTTGAGAGCTAGTTTATGTACATCTGTCTGACTAAGTGAGAGAATAATCGGAATGAACCACCCGCTCCAGCAGCATCCCTGTTCGGGACGTCCCGTCAGGAGTGACAGCCGTGCGGCTGCAAAGAGAGGCGGACAAAGACTGTAGCAACCACGGTACGAAATAAGACTAAAAGGAGGGGTTTTGGCACAGAATAAGAGATAAAACCTGCAGAGTTCACACACTTGTTTTCTGTACAGTATGTCGGTGAGTGTGTGTACACAGAGGCTATGTAAACTAGTGTTAATCCTCTTAGGAAATCACGCTCTCTGACCAGTCCCAAACAACGCAGACTGCCCCAGCACAAATAAAACACCGGGCAGGTTATCGGTATTTTTCAGCAGGTTATCGGCGTGGGGGACTTACGTGGTTCTCAGAGTAGGGTGGTATTCCAACAAGGCAGAAAGCAACTCCATTCATTGGGCAGCAGAAACTGTTCGGCTGCAACAAGGAGAGGCTGGTTTGTTGCTGCACAAGCGGCAACGCAGGCAGACGTCGGAGCTCTGTGAAACGACGTTTTTCAACTTATATATTCAACACTTCTGAAGCTTCCTTCCTCCAAACAACAAAAAAATCCCACTCTGTTCCCGTCGTTTCAGCTCCCACCCCCTCTTCTCTTCGTTTTCTTCTCCTCCTTCTTCTTCTTCTTCTTCTTCTTCCGCCAGACCGCATCAGTTGTACATAACTAAATCCCTCTGTGCTCGGCCCTTGCCTGGAAACTGACTGCAGCAGCGTCAAAACACACACACACAGACGGAGACACACACACACACAAGGGAGGTGAGCGGAAGTCTGGAGGGGGTTGGCCTTCAAAGTAAAGTCGCGTTTATTTAACAAAAAATGAATGGAAGTCAGAGTTTAGTTTGTTTCTTGTGAATTTCCACTTGTTTGTTTTTGGAGCTCCAAAATGTTCGTGTGTGTCACCATCTTCACTTTTGTATGAATATTCATTTTTCATTTTCCCCTGCAACTTTACTTTTATGTAGTGTAGCACCAGGAGATTTTTACGAGTAGTCTGCTATTGTTAACTTGACGCTGTAGGGGCTAAAGTAATGCGTCTCGTGCACCAGAGCTCACCGCCCCGGCGCAGACCCACAGCGTGCGGGCTCCCTCTGGCTGTGCCAAGGCACTTCTCTGCAGGATGGAGGTGACTGAAACCAGCAAGACAATCATGAACAAAAGTGTAAATAAATACATGTTTGCTGGCATTATCATAGCATAATATGATAATTAGGTCTACTATACCCGTGTATGGCAGATGAATCATGTTTAACCCTCAGCAAAAAACTAGCCATCTTATGAGCTGACAGTAATAACCAAAATGGAGTGTACCTGAACAATTATTCAGCCTATGTTGCCCTGATGTTGTGTGATGATAACTACTGAAGCACACGATAAGCAGCATTTTAATGTAAAAATTAAGCTTTTCATTATTTTATTTTTTTTACACATTTAGATGAATAAGTTTGTTGTTTAGCTGTAAATCATAATCTATCAGGTCCTTGCAGTGACTTAAAGCTCCTGTGAGGAAGGTTTTTTTTTTTTTTACATTTAAGACTGAAAATTCATATTTATATTTTTTTATAATACATGAAAGTAAATTAGACCGTTAGTGACAAGATTGACCTTTTTTATGCCTGAAAGCAGTGTATAGGGGTAGGTGCCCACGGAGCAACTGAAAAGAAAGTTGCTTTTTACATTTCTAATATAACATATTCACGAAAAAACACACATTAGGATGTCAAAAGTCAGATGAATGAGGTTATTTTCATACAAGGACACTTCTTAAGCATAAGAAGGCCATGATAAGCAAAGACAGCTTTGTCCACAGGGGGCGCCGAGAAAGTTCCTCACAGGAGCTTTAAATATCAGTTTGAGAGGTATAACATGCAATGACTCTTTTGTTTAAACTGGTTTTAAAATAGTTGTTCATTGTGAATTTAAATAGCTGTACTCAAATTATTTATAAAGATATTTTCTAATTTTCTGTTGTAAGGCCACTAGAGTGTGAGTATTATGTGTCAGGAATCTAGTTTTAAAGGCAGCTGTATATGCTGGAGAGGATGTTTTCATGTTGTACAACACAATGAATTTAAATGATAGTATTTCCCCTGATTTGAAATAAAGAGGAAGTATGAAGCTGACAGACTATTTAAGTTATCTTATGAATTCACTTACTGATCTAAGCTTGTCATAGTGCTACTGAGCAGACACGTGAAAAGTTGTAACAGCAATAAACAACAGACTTATGAGGTGCTTAAGTCTCATGGGCTTATAACTCATCACTGTATCTAAAAAAAATCTTGTTACTCATAATTTAAAAAAAAATGTCAGAAAAGAAAGGGGCTAAAAAAAGACTGAAAGACAATAAGAGAGGTCAGAAATCTTTCCACACAGATAACAAATCAAACATTCTGGGAAGTGTTGACTGGCTTGTATTTTTAGTCACCGCAGACCAATACTGCCTGTGTGAATCAATACAGCATGGGAGAAGATTACTCATCAATAGGATAGGAAGCTGAGGCTACTGCCAAGAAGTTACCGTTTTCCCAAAAGGCTCTGCGGTAGCTGTGGCATTATGTAAAGGAGGTACAAAGGTATGGTGATAAGGGAGAAGTGCTGATAAAGAAAAGGAGCAGTGGATAAAAATGTGAAAGCTCAAAGTTCAGAGCCCATGTGGCTACGATTACTCGCGGGGTGAGAGCCACTTCAAAAGACAAAAACAGGACTCATGGAGGGGGGGCAGCGTACAGGAGCCTTCCCACACCAAGAGCTGCAGCTGCCAGCTCAGCCTCCATCTCAACATGTCTGCCTCTGAGACTGAGACACACAGTATCTCACACTCACTAGATCCTCATCTTGACCTTCACACATCTCCTATTTGAGGCGTGTAATGACCATATGTGTTCCAAAACGCTCTCTGGGTTACTCATACAGTCGTGTTCTGAGAGTTCAGGGATAATGGGAATCCACCATGGCAGAGCCAGGCTTAGCAGCCTCACACTGGCCTTATAGTGGTACAGAAGGGTAAGGTCTTTGAGTAAGAGGGCATCTCTGCTTTCTGGAGGTTTAGGGAAAGTGAGTGATGTCATGGCTGGCCTTTTGTTTAATCCAGATCAATCTCTGCGGCCTGTTTCTGCAACCCGTATGTTTTATATTCCAGCATGCAAAGGTATAAATCAGTCTGTACTTGGACAGTTTTTGTGGGAAGAGTGGTCCAGTGTTAGTGAACCCCTCCTGTGTTGGGGTTTGTCCACATCTTGTCCCAGATTGCATGCAGATACAAGCTCACGCTACACATCAATTTTCCTGTCAGGCGAGCAAAGTGGGCTTTCCATTATTAATAAACTGCTGGAGAGAAGGAAGAGGGTGTGTGTTTCTTGAGTTAAATCTCAGCAGGTGGTGAGCACATAATACAACACTGATTAATAAAAACAACAACAGAGATTTGACTGTCTGTATGAAGCAAAACGAAGATGTGTTTTTTTGATCTCATATACAGAATCTTGGTATCTGTGGCCATCCCCCTGCTGTGTCTCTGGGTCAGGCTTAGTCAGAGTCTGACACACAGCCCGGGGCGTCCGGGATGTCCCTCTGATTGGCTGAGTAAGCCCCCCATCTGAGGGTGATGTGAGGCGACGCGCCCCCGATCTGGTTCCCTGGAGGGACGGATGAAGATGAGCAGGGAGCATCCTGTAAGAAGGCCTCCTCTCCATCATTATGTAATCACACACACAGCCTGGCGCCTTGTGGGACAAAACCTATAAACAACCATCAACCTATTTACTCGCTTGACCGCGCCCCTCTCACCACACCACCAGCTTCCACCTCCCTTCTCTGGCCTGGGCTGGACGGGTTTCCACTCGGCTACTGAGGCTGTGGTGTCAAAAGAGGGACGCATAAGAGAGCTGGGTGGGTGGGGCTCCCCCTCCAGGCCTCTTTGCAGAGCGTGTGCACTCACTGGTATGTTATGATTAATTGTTGTTACCCCATTTATTCCAACTTTACTCCTCTCCCCCCGGCTTCTTCTTCCCTTATTCTTTCATATCTCTTCAGTTTCACTCGGCTTCCCTCCAGTTATGGCGTCTTTTCTTTCAGTAAAAGTCTGTCACTCTCTCCTGCACACACACTTTTTGCGGGTGTAGTTGCCAGATCTTTTCAACATCATTTACTTTAAGCCTCCATTGAGAACGTAATACTCCATCCTCTGCCAAGCAGGCCACACTATCCCTCTATTTGTTACAGTTGCTTTTAATGGAGAAACTTGGATGGTTATCCTCCAGATAGAAGCCAAAAAGACACAATGTTCAGGTCTTGCCATGCTCTCTCTCCACAGCTTTCTCTGTTAGTGGATTTCAAACGAAGAGTAGCCATCTTTCTGTCCATTTCTCAAACTTATCAGGAGCCTTATTATCACCATCTGTTTTTGATAGAGTAAAATATGTCCCCTGGAACTTACAGAAATATTTACTGACATATACAGTACACAAGCTGCAGAATAATGTTCAGCTGCTTATTGCTAAGCATGTCAGGCTGGGACATGGGTGACAGTCTCCACGATGAGCAATGGAGCACTTTGGATATTCCTGGTACAGTGAGTGAGATGTTTAAGTAAGGAGGCTCACGCTCCGGTTGTCTCTGGCTGCCTGTTGACACAGAGGCTGCTGTGGCACTCCTTTGAAGAGGGGTTGTGGGAAGATTGAGGGGAAGGGGGGGTCAACGAAGGCTTGCATGGGTTCATAAATTCCCTCTCCCTCTGTGACAGGAGGGGTCCTCTTTGTCTGGCCAGACAACTGGCACGAGAGGAGGAAACAGCTGATAGTCAGCCAGGGAAGCTTTGTGACTGCAGTCTAACCGTAACTGTATTTCAAAGATGTTTTTCCATAAATAGTCCTGATATAAACAGAGTTCAATCATATCAATTTCACAGCCACAGTGTTTCATGTAATTTCTGTGAAGCTACTGCACTAACAAACTTATTTCAAGGTGGACAAAGAGAACACTAGACTTTTTAAAATAATTTCTATCAAGTTTTAAAGCAGTCCCTGACTGAGCTGTGCCATAAGATTTTTAATATATTATTCCTTGAAAGCAATTTGTTATATTTACATTACTGGGAAATTAACTTTTAAAAGAAGTCTTTGGAAACTTGTTTATGTTTGTGTGTTTTCATATCTTACACTTATTAACAACATATACAGGCATCTGGACAACAATGACTTAAATGTTTTGCATGAGTTCACAACAGTATTTCAGGGTTTGTATTTTCTTCTTTTAACCTGTTAGTGAGGAAAGAGATATAAAAATCTGGAGTCCAATAAAATACAGATAAATGAAACAAAATTGGGTTCCCTCATCCCATTTAAATAGGACTTAAGAGCTTGGGAATTGGGATGGGAATTTTACGATTTTTTGTGTAATACACAGCATTCATAAAACTGACAAAACTGTCATAAGTATCACAACTCAAGCAGCACTACATAAAAGACAGAAGGAGTATTGGAATAAGTCATGCAAAAATCTAAAACAACAAAGAAACTGCAGTTTGGTTGGACAATGTCACCAAAGGTACATTTTTGGTATTTAGTTTAAATAAGATAGAATTTTTGATTGATCCTAAGGGAAACCAGTGCACAGGGTTTGCAAATCAAATATCCATGACATACAGTAGCAGCTGAGTCTTTAGGGACCCAAGGTGGAAACCAAAGCATTGCAGATTCAAATCAGGGTATGCACTAATGCTGGGCCAGTAGCTGGAGAGGTGCTGGTTTAACTCTTTAGCAAAAGCACCAAACCCCTTTCAGTGTTCTCACTCTGTTATCTCCTTGTTACTGTATCTTCATTAGGTCCTGTTCATAAATATGGATCATGTTCATAACAAGGTGAGAGAAACTGTCTCAATAAAGTATGTCTTAACTTATGTGAAGATCAGCGGTCAGTCTAAATTGTACTTCTACACTTGACTCTCATATCTGTTGCTTTGTTGACCTGCTGACCCGATGTCTCTCCTCACTTCAGCCCACACTCCTTTCACTGTCATGCTCTCTCTCTTGCAGCTGCCTTGCTGCCTCATTCTCCTGCAGGTCGGAGAAGAAAAAAAAACACAACCCAGAGCCCGTGGGCATGACTGGCTGCTTCAAATCGGATTTTAGATGTTGGTGAAGAAGTTTGCCCGGGTAAGACAGGGGAAAGAATTACTCATTGAGGCCAGGAATGCACACAAACACACAATCTCTAGACTTCATTATTAGACCTGACTGGATTTATGTGCATGTTGGTATTGTCAGGACTGTCCTCAGGCAGCTTGAGCGTTATCTTCCCGTACAAGCTGATACACTATCTCATCCCAAACATGAACAGCTCAGCCTTCGCTTCATGGAGTTTTCTTTGTTGCGCGGATGCAGACTTTAACTGATATGAGCAACCATGTGGGAGAGTTTGAGATAAAGGAACAAAGAGGAGGAAATACCCTGAAACTAACAGGGGCAGCGCTGGGTATGAAGGTGTCACTGTTACAACAAATGACCAGTGTTAGAGCCCCCATATTCTCAAGTCTCAGACAACAAGAACTAGTGAATCACATCCAGGGTATCTCACTCTTTCTGTAAATGTTATCTGTGATCATTATTGTTTGGCACACTTTCTTCCCATCAGTACCCACCACCTTTTCTCTTCCCCTAAACCTCTTCTGAGAGGGGGAAAATAAACAGAGGCTCATAGTTCCAGTAGCAGCGCAGCCAGTTTCCTGCCCGTCACTTCTGCAGCCTCTTTACCTTTTACAGATTCATTTCCTGCCTCTTGCATCACTTCCTGTGGCACAATGTGAATGAACTCCAAGGATAGTATATGTCCTGAAGTTACATTTGGGGAACCAGTGTGTCTGGTATCAGCAAAACTGTTTACATCAGATTCTTTCCACTGAGTCAGTCACACTCAAATTAGAAAGGCTTATTTAAAACGCAGGTTTCCTGAATAAAATACAGGAACTGGATGATTTTCCTTTCCCTTTTTACCTCTGGAAAAAAAAAAACCTAAACCTTCATTACATCACTCATCTAAAAGCCTGATTTGGATGTTTCTGAGGGGCTTTTTCCCTTTAATTCCATTTATGAGCTTTAACTTTGGGACTGCACTGAGTTGAAGTTTAAATTGGTGATGGGAATTACGGCTGTTTTTAGTGAGCCAGATCATTCGGCTCAGCTCACCAAGAAAAGGCTCACAAATGGCTCTTCATTTTACCACTTATACATTATACATTGTGGGGGAAAAAAAGAGAGAGAAAAAAGAAGAAAAAAAAAACAGCTCACAGACAGGAGCCGGCTCCCATCGTTCACAGCTCTTTGAACCGGTTCGTTCGCGACCGACACATCACTTGTTTAAATGACAGCTTTAATAAGAGTTAGCTTGTCAGATACCAAGGAGAGACTGGATCTACTGACTCCATCCTCACTCCTAAAACACTTTATTTTAACAGAATAGGGTGTTTCATTTCTACTGATGTGAAAGATGTTTGCAGCATGACACCTTGAAGTCATTTTGACAAAAGAATCAGATCTTTCTGTAAACTGCACCTCTGGCCATATTTACAGTAAACTGAATAATCCTGTATGTGTAAGGGGATCATTTCCTAATCCTTGCATTTCCTTGGCCTTAAAACTCAGAGATAAGTTTGTCTAGACACAGCCTTAAAGCAGGGTGTTCTCCTTTTGGAGGATTGGAGGACAGGAGGCCATAGAGAGGACACCGCACCTCCTGACCCCTTTACATCAAGACAACCACTGGCGGCTTGTTTTAGTGCACTTGATACTTGGCTCAGCATTTGAGTCTAAATCAAAGAAAAAGACAAAAACCACATGAATGAGGGGCTGGAGTTGCTCATTTCAAAAAAAAAAAAAAAAAAAAAAACAATTGTAAAAAAAAGTATAGAAATGGGGGGGGGGGGGGGGGGTACATTTAACCATATTTCAAACACTTGAATAATGTCAAATTCAAAGATTAAAAATAAACACCTGTAATAGAAAGTGTTGTTCCCTGCTGTGATAAATAAGTGTTAGAGGACAGTACAACAAACACAAATAAGCACTGTCATTATCATCATCACTAAAATAAACAAGTTTCCTCTTATTCCGGTCTAAATTCTGAAAAACGACCACCATCTGTCCCAGCCCACAGATCTCCCTAAACAGATAATCCTCAATCCCCTCCAAAGGACAGAAAAATAGAGTCACAGTTGCATTCAAAGGCCACAAGGGGGCCTTGAATGGCACTCGTTAGGTTTTAAATGACAAATGCAGTCATCCTCAGATCCAGCTTTTTTGCTGAGTTTAATTCATTTTATCCCCATCAGCTGGATTTAGAGGGATTTGTGGAAATGATACTGATGCAACTTGAGCTCCATATATGAAAAAACAAGTCTGACTGAGAGGAAGAGTGTGTGTTACTTTGAAACCTCAAAAAGGTTGTGTTTAAGTGTAATCTGATGCAAAGCACTTTTAGTGAGGTGAGTGGAAGAAAATGGGAAGATTGGAAAACAGGGTCAAACTTATACATGGACAAAACTGTCTCATTGGACAGATGTGTCTTTATTTGTTCAACAAACAGGCCAAGAGGTCAAATGTTTCTGGTACATGCAGCTGTGGTGTTCATGTACAGTAAGGCAGGTCTAAGGACTGTTTAATGATAAAGGTGATGAAAAAGCAGGCATCAGATTCACAGCTGTTCATTCCAGGCTGACATCCTCTCACACACACACATACACACTGAAACCACTGGACGCAGATGTAAAGAGTCCAAGAGGGGCAGGCTAAGAGAAAAAGTAGTACCGAGAGTTTGAAACAGCCTTCCAGAGTCATGGGCTGAAGTCAAAAACAGGCTGAAAACAGACCCCTGACATTAAATTAGACAAACTCTGCCTCCTAATTGGATGTCTGCCTCATGCTCCTGATAAACCTCATCAGTCTCTATTGTTCCGTTAACCCCTGCTCAGCCGCACTCATCCAACGTCATGATGCAAAGTGCTGCTGACAGGAAGGGCTTTGACCACACGGGCTGACCTTTGACCTCTGTGTAACAACGCCCTCCCGGCTCCTCCTCTAACGCTGCCCCCCCCGCCATCTGCGTTCATTCTTTCACTGAAGTACATCGAGGTTGAGGTCCACGGAGGTTGTCCTGAGCAGAACAGGAGCTGTTTACTTCCTAGAGATGGGTGTCCTAGTTTCATTCACAGGACAATCTGCCTATTGTGCGCCTGCAGGCATCTACCAATTGGTTCTCCACAGGCTGACAATCCAATAGAGGCTGAATTAAGAACATGAGCCCTGTGCTAACATCCTCCACACGCAAAGACACGCTTCTTCACCCATGAGGAGAAGAACAACAAGATGACAAGATACGTCCAAACTATATGTGAATTTTAAAAAAGTATTTGACTGCATGTTTTGTTTTTGTTTTTTTATTCCTGTGTTTGAAAAGTTATCAAATTAAAATGAGGAAGAAAATTAAGAGATAAATCTGTTGAATTGTCCGTCAGTTGGTCTGGATAGATTGCTGTGAAGTTGCAAACACAAGTTTTTGCCTTTATGATTTTTTTTTTTATCACATTAACTTTAATTTGGCACAATAAGAAACACACATTTGTCCGATGCAGTCGGTAAAAGACACTTGCAAACTCACTGATGATATTAATTAGGGGTAGGAGAAAAAAATCAATACAGCATAGTATAGTAATATCTTGTCTGGTGATATATCCTATCGTCTCATTGACCACGTATCGATTTTTTCAAATTAATTGCTAATATGAAGTCAAATCTGTTTGTCCAGTGAGGTTGGCAGAGGTGACATCATCGAGCAGGAGAAAGTTAGAGCAACAAATATGGCAGCACCTGGGGAGAGACATTAAGAATGCAAGCAGGGCATGAATGAGATGGACCTGACACATAAGGTTTGCAAGAAGTGTATATATGTATAATGTATCATGTATATATTGTCTGTTCTTATATATGATATATTTATTGCTGGTTTCCATCCCATCAAATACTAGCAATTGTATGTGGAAAAACATTGTACAATGCAAGATATAATGCCTTGCTCCCTGGGGGTCTGGTGGGTGGGTGGGTGGGTGGGTGGGTGTGTATGTATGAAAAATGAAATAAAAAGTTGGTCACAAAAAAGATTTGCAAGAAGTGCTACATGAAAATAAAATACTATGTAAATAATACAAACATAAAGGAAAGACAAATGCTAAATTAGCTAAAACGTTGAAAAATTGTATAAATAGTAATATATTGTATCGCATTACTAACTGTATTGCAAAATGTTAAAAATCGCAATAATATCGTATCGTGGGGCTACTGGTGATTCCAACCCCTAATACCAGTGGACTCAGTAGTACTTTTGTAGTATGCTAATGGGTGAATGTTAGCATGTTTAAAACAGTTGAAAATGCGAATCATTCCATCTTAAATGTTCACTGTCAATGTTGGCATCATACCATTCTGGTTTAATTATAATGCAAGGGACAGCAGAGCTGCAAGCATGCAGGCAGATGAGTCAAAAGTATCCATGTACATGTTAATCTGCAGAACCAAGATGGAAGAAAAGGAGATTTGTGCAAGGAAGCATTGGAAGTGCTGTTGATTTTATGCCAATCTGCTAGCAGCACAGCTCCATGACCCACCAATGCCCTCTGCCTGCCCTCTGTTGGTTGAAAACTTCACTATCTTTCTATTGCATGGTTATTTTCTGTTGTGTTCCCTGCTCTGCAGAACCAGCAAACAGGTCAGAGGAGCTTCAGCAGCTCTCTGCATGTGTGAGACGACTGATCTATATGCTCATATATGTGTGTTTAATGTCAATTTAGATGCAAATATGCACACAGAGGTCATGCTTTGAGAGCCCCTCAGGCTCATGGGCTCAGGACAATAGGACATGAAATTCCTGGGAGTCCAAAGATTGGAGAGCTGTAGGCAGGGGGCTTTGGGGGTGCCATGGGTGGGGCGTCAGATTAGACCACCTGTTCCACCATGAGGCGCAAACACACACACACGCACACATGGACACACACACATTTGTTCTTTCCTTTATCCCTCATTCTCTCACATTTTCTGTCTCTCACATTCTCTCTCACCATCTCATCTGTAACTTAATAAGGCCCTGTCTTCTCTCCCTCATTCACTTTCACTCCCATAAAACCTCTCCGTCCTCGCCCTCTGCGCTCCGAGCTAATTTTGACTGCATTCCACTTCAGTCACATCTATGGGAAACAGACAAAACAATTTGCCAGATAACTCTGGCTGAGAGCCACGGGGACCCACACAAACACACACTCGTAAACACACACACACACACACACAGTTAGACATACGTAGACTCACCACTCCAACTGAGGCCTCCAGGGAGTCGTGTTCAGACAACGGCATAAACAGAACAGCGTCACCCCTGTCCACATCACTGAGGATCACCCAGCTGTATCAGGGAATCCCTCTGAAGTGGTGGCACACTTTCAGCTTGCCTTCAGTGAAATTCATTGAAGGAGTTCATTTAGCACAGGAAAGCTGCTTTTTTTCTGCCTTTTTTGGTATGATTCAGTTATAATTTCTCTCTTTGGCTCACAGGAAGTAAGAGAAGAGCACTCTGTCATTTCGTACGGAGGATGTGGTCACAAACCTCCATCTCCATAACCAGAGCTGCAGTCACCACAGCAGAGCTCCGTTTTGCCTTAATAACTATTGATCGGGAAGCGCTAATGAGGCAGAGTGATTTGCAACAAGTCTGGCATTTAAACTGTCCTCAGATGAGTGTTTCAAAATAAGAATTTGCCTTATGTCAGTCAGTTAGTGTGTTTCAAACTCTTATAAAAGCTGGCACCTCCACTGAGGATAAAGAGTGTAGGTGTGTCATCAATATCTTATCAGATATTGATGTTGGATATCGGTGCAATATCAGATATATATACATATAAATATAAATATAAATATATATATATATATATATATATATATATATATATATATACACATATATTTCCTTAACAGTGCTTATTGTTGTGCTAGAGAAAGTGAACTGAATGGTTGGTTGTTTTGTCTGCACAGGCACCATGGGCAAGGAGCCCATGGTGCCATGGTGTATTTCCCGACTTTGCAAGAACATGTACTGATCATTTGCAGTGCACATTTACTCTGCCTTATGTCCGACCTCAAAAAAACAAAATATCTCAAAACCACAGATGTTTTCATGCCAGTCTTGTTGATAATGTTGTCATCTGTTGAGCCTTCATCTGCATTTCTGTCGGGTGGTAACACGCATTTTCTTTTATCCCCACCAAAACTGCTGTCAGCTTCACCTGTTAAAGTGCTATGGTTGCGTGTAGCTGCAACCTGCTACTACACAGTTGTTTGCTTCTTGGTTCTAATTTAGCACATGATTGGCTCAGCACGAACCAATTATACATCGTTATCATTTTTTCGCCCAGCCCTAATCAGATTATATCAGCCTGCATCTAAAATCTACAATATCAGCACTCCGATACAAGCAGTCCATTCCAGACTCCACTCCGGCATCTATCTAGCAGCGCCCTGATCCAGCATGCAGAAACTACATAATCACAACAACAGTGTGTACTTTGGTTCTAACAAAGAAGCAATTAGTCAGAGTGATGTTGGTCGTGTGGCAGTATTTTTTGTTTAAGTCTGAAAAAGACGTTGCAGCTGAGTGCAAAACTTGTCATACACAATTTTGTGCAGATATCGGATCAATATCGGTATCGGACAATACTGAAGGCTACAATATTGGTATCGTATCGGAAGTTAAAACGTTGTATCGGGACACCCCTAGCAGAGTGTCCATTGCTGCTTTACCCAGATGCAGTGCAGAGGAGAAAAAGGTGCCCCTCTGCTGCCCTTGACTCACTTTCACAGACTTTTTATGTAACCAGCTTTTTCCTGTTCCCCGTTGAGACACTGCCCTCCTTATCACCGTGCATGTGTGTTTGAACATGTGTGTGTCTGTCCTCCACAAAGACAGATACCGCTGATGATTTCCTGTAAACTTTGCAGCCTTTCCATGACAAGAGTAAACACTGCGACGCTGTGTTTACATCAGTTCAGTGATGTTAGTGCATGTTTCAGGCAGTAGATGCTTCACAGACTCAGAGACTGTACATGCAGAGTCATGTTATAGCAAAAGACCAACTCGAAGTCTAAGACAGGAAACAAAAAGGAGAGATAAAGCCTCACAGCCTCAACTCCAAATGACAATACGCTCACACTACACTTACGCCATGTACAGGAAGAGCTATAATCATATTTGTCCTTTGCGTCACAATGTGGTCCATCTATCAAAATGACCCAACCCTAGCGTTACACCAAGGCCCTGCTGTGTCAGCGTTTCACTGCACTGCGCAGTCTTATTAATAGTTTTTGTTTCCTGGCAGCTACATTGTGCTGTAAGCTACACCATTTCTTTTTTGGTTTGTGCAGAATGTGAGCTGATGCTGGAAGTGTGTGTGTGTGTGTGTGTGTGTGTGTGTGTGTGTGTGTGTGTGTGTGTGTGTGTGTGTGTGTGTGTGTGTGTGTGTGTGTATGTGTGTGAGGCCGAGGCCATGACCCTGACATGTGGCGTTTGCATCTTTTTCCAGCACACTGCTTACTCTGTGTGCATGCATGGAGGTTTCTTATTTGGATAAATAAGGTTAAGACACACAACAGTACAGCATACACACACGCAGAAAGTATGACCATCAGGAGTGATGACATCATCCCTGCTAAAGTGGGGGGCTCACGTCACCCCATCCTGAACAGAGGATCACACACACAGGGGAGATGTCCCCCTTATGGATCACATGCATAATTCACCCAGGAGAAGGGCTGGGCTGGGGTGTGTCACCCTTACACCCCCCCTCCCATGTAATCCCCACCTCCTCCTTAATTTCGAACCTGATGCTTGCACCTCAGCAGAGGAGACAACGCAAAGCAACAGAGGATGAGGGGAGGGGGAGGATGAGGTAATCAATGACTAGGAGGGCAGCAGAGGGGAGACATGAGGAGGGTGTCTGAGCTCACAGCAAGCAGCAGTTTGTCGCCTCAAGCCTTGAAACGACAGCAGCGGCAGCCAGGCACAGCTCTGGCAAACTGGAAAAAAAAAAGCACCAAATATTTAAAAAGCAATTCTAAACAATCTGTCTCTGCAGATGTTTGGAAATAAAATCCATCAAGCATCAGTTTCTCTGGCTGTAAACAAAAGGAGGTGCAGGTGACACTCTTTGACATGAGTACACAATGTGACAAAGCAGCCCACACACTCATCTGAGCCTCTATGAATGAACGTAGACCCACACAGCTCTGGAGGTGAACCCTGTTGCATGACAGGGTTCTTCCGCCTCTATCCACACTCATTGGGGAGGATGCCGATTTCTGCATGACAAGTTTAGACGGATTATGACTCACATAAAGCAGCCACTCCCCTCTATTTAGACTTTTCTTTCTCTCCAAAGAGTCGATCGAAACCCTGGCATGATGAAGTTTTACAGCAGTGTCATCTCTCAAGAGACCGGGCACTTGCCGGTGGCTGTTTGCTGGCAACACCATCACTACCGGGCCCCCTCCCCCAGAGCCAAACCTAGCCCTTAGGAGAGGGAGCAGAAGACACATCTGCAGGATAAACAGCGTGCTGTGCTGATTGTTACCCCTTGAGGGAATAGAAAAGATGGATGATGGAAGTTGTGAACGCACTGCTGGTGTTGTGCTGTGTGTGTGTGTTTTGTGTGTGCAGGGAGGGAGGTAGTGGTCCCCTTCACTTCCCCTTCAGTCCCCTCCCAATTGCCTCTCCTCCTCATCTCCATCCTCACCTGGTCCATGATTTTCAGCGAGCCTCCTCCCTTCTCCTGTCCCCGGTCATGGCACGAGATCTCCGGCTTCCTCCCTTGTCTTGTCCTTGTTCAATATTCCCAACAACGCTCGGATCCTGCTGTCCTCACACAGGCGAGGCAGCCTTGCAGCCGACTGCTGCTGCTGCTGCTGCTGCGCCTCTCCACAGAGGCATGCTCCCGTCTCTTCTTGAGTGTGACAGTCTGATACATCCAGCCCAACACTCCTCACTTGTCCTTTTGCCCGTCTCCTCCTCTGTCCTGCAGCTCTGGGCGGAGGCTGGAGCGTAAACAGGGTGTGTGTGGGATCCTCACCTCTTTCCTTGATAACCAACACGAAGGGGAAGAGACTCCCGCTCTCTGCTTTCCTTCCCAAGCTCTTCCACTCGCACCCAGTGTAAGCTGGCCCCTTGCCTCGCCTCCCCTCCCCACCCTCTCTGTCTCTACTTCCCTCCTCTCTTTCCACCTCCCCTCCCCCCTCCTGCTGCAGCCAAACAGAGCAGCAGCGAGCGAATGAGAGAGAGGGAGCATGGGAGAGAGGAGGGCGTAGGACTGGGATTGGCCACCAAGGGGATCATGTGACTCCTTGCTAAGCGCTGGGAGACCCTCTACCAGCTGTCCAGCTCATGCTTCCCTGAAAACCTCTGTTGCCATTGACAACAGCTGCTGTGCAACACACCAACCACAGACCCTCAGACACACAGCTATTGGCTGGCAGGATTTATGGCCCCCGCCTCTTGTCGTCGGGGGGAGCATGTTGGGACGTGTAGTCCAATCTGTGCTGAGGCTGGACTGAGTGTGTAAGAGCAGACATCCCTGTGGCCCAGGGAGGAATTTTCCCCCCTGCTCTTGCCTCTCTGCTGAAATGTTTACACATCAGTGTTGCTCTGGGTGAGCTCCAGAGAGAATAAGAGATGGACAGAAGGTTGCATCATTAGCATGAAACTTTGGCATAAACTTATATATAACACAGACGAGGAAGGGAAAGACCTCGAGGCCCGGGCATTCTTGGTCAGCCAGGAAAAAGACATCCTCTGCTGTTTCCCTCTCGGGCCACATGGAGGGGAAACTCCCGCCTCAAAACAACAGGAACTCCACAGCTGAAGGCCACGGCTAAGCGCATATAACCCCCCATCTCTCCCTCTCTGTCTCCTTTTCTTTCATTGCCTTCTTTTTCTTTATTTGCTGTCTTTCTCTCTCTATCCTCCCCACCCCCTTCCTCTTCACCTATTGTATCATAACACCCATTCCCCCCCTCATATCACCCCCCTATTCTCTCCTCCCCTCTAAACTAGTCTCATTTGGAATCCAGAAAATGTTGCTGGAGGTTACAGGTGCCGCAAAGGGGAGATGTTATTACAAACTCGCAGCATATGCCAAGAGGCGCATTTTGCATCATCAATTTACAGAGGGATACACACAGGAGGAGACTCTGGGGCTGTTAGACATCATTTACAGAACAATGTGTTGCAGGAGTTTAGATGTGATGACATTTGTTTCTGATGTTTTTTCACTCTCCAGTTTCACTCTCCACTTTGGTTATGGATAGGGCTGGGCCATATGGGAAAAATCTAGCACGATACATTTTTTTTCATACGAGTCAATATCGATATATCACGGTATAAAAAATGAAAATAAACAGTGCTTATAGGTAGCCTCTTTTGCAATACAGTAAGCTACTGCATCTGTGAGGTCTTTGTGTCTCTTTGACGTTTTGTCGTAAAGCATTGCGCTACACACACCGACGTTATCATGCTAGTGTTGTCAACAATGTCATCATCTTTTGAGCCTTCATCTGCATTTTTGCTTGGGGGTAGCACTCATTTTCTTTTTGCTATGGTTGCGTGTAGCTGCGTGTTGGCTTTTCGTATTGTCTACCAAAACATGGCAGAATGCAGGTTATCGAAAAGCATATTGATCATGTTTTATATTGGTATTGAGGTAAATAAATTTTTCTTTATTGCTGTTATTGTTTTATCGCCCAGCCCTAGTTATGGATAACTAATTGGTTTAGCCAGCTGCATGTCATCTCTCTGCGGTGCCTTGTGATCTGTGGAGGTGTAAAGAAATCAGTGTCTCCCTCTCTTCTGTTACGGATCTCTTTTTTTTATAACTGACAGGTGAAACAAGTGAAATTTGCTGTATCAGTACCAGTGTGCTCTGCAGGTGGATACTTCCTTTTAACCATTACAAACCCTTTCAAGGCTCATGGACTTGTTCTGAATATACTCACAAATGATGCTCAGAGGGAAGCCCAAGGCCTCTGCTGTTACAAAACAAGAGAGCACCTGTTCTGGCTTATTTCCATTCAGTGGACGCATAACATGACTGTGACATAATCTGATATGGAAGCTTTGAGCCCTGTGACAGGTCAGTGAAGGAGGGAGGGAAGGGAGCTCAGGAATGCAGGTCTATGTTACAACAGCAGTACAACAAGGCCACATAAAAATGTAGAGCACCAAACAAGCAAACAAGTCCCTGCCCTGCTCCCTCAACAACCCAGCTGCATCCTTCTCTTTTATCACCAAACTGAGCGGCCCGGACTGCAGACTGCCGCAGTGTCATTTGATCCAGTCGACTCAGAGATGCTGTTTGATGTGAAATGACTGCAAAAGACAGTGTGTTTAAGAGTGTGTGCATGTGTGGTAGTGTGTTTGTGTGTGTGTGTGCTTTAAGACAGAACAGAGGTTGTATTGTAACGGTGAGGGGGGGTAGATTATATTATCAGCGGAGGAATTCAGATTATTTCACAGAGTGGGCCTGCCTGCACACATGTTGGATGTGCACATGTGCACTGGGAGGAGGGTGTCACTGTGAACCACATGTACACCGACATTAACAAAGCCAGAACATGCTAACATGCTGTCCTTCAGAGATTTCAGAAGTCAGAAATATTATTCTTGTTCTTACCATATACAGAATATTGAGCCAAAACAACTCTTTGAGAAATAGCCTGAGCAATTTTTCTTGATTTTTTTAGTTTCATACAATTACTAAACTGAAAAAAAAGTCATGTTGTGGCTCCATATGGTGTTTGTAATGGACTTATTTATGAAACAAAAAAGGTTCTTCTATTACTTCAGTCAGCTGAGTCCTTAAAGCCTAACGGTGAGTAAACAGCGCCATCTGCAGGACCAAAGGGAGCACGACTCAAATTATAGATGAGAGACTCAGGTCAGTTTCATCCAACAGGAAATCATTGTTCTTAAATCTTTAAAACATACTTTTGTACGGTCCACAAATATATAAATATATATGAAGGTCCTTAGTAGTAGCTGGAGCTGACTGATAGTGCCACCAGAAATGTAAATTTATTGTAAATTATCAGGGCTTTAGGTATATTTTTATAAAAAGACTGATAACGTCCCCGGTCCAGAGAGAGGTCAGAGGTCAGAGTCTCATGTAAGTTTTAGCTAATTTTGAATAGTGCATCACTGGATGGATGTTTTAGCTTACAAGCTGCATGTTCCCCACCACATATTTCATCCATTTTTAAAATATGCAGACAATGAGAAGATTTGGCCAAATGAAATGCAGCAACATTTTTTGTGGTAACTTTTGGCTTCAGCTACAATAAATTGACAGTTGATTTGCTGGGGAGAGGAGAAATACCTTCCAGGGGTGCTGGTGACTAGACTGTTCGTCATTTGTAGTGAAATAGACACTTTAAAAAGGTGAATTATTAATGGCTGGAAACATCAAATACTTTACTTTGAGTATTTAACCAAAGAGGGAGCAACTGGGTTTATTGAAATCATCTTTATTTGACAGAACATATGAAATACTGTCAATAACTTTAGTGAATCACAAGTGCAAACACCATTATTTAATCATAACGGGTAATTTGTATGAGGTTTGGTGGTAAAACTGAGGCATTCACCATTGGTCTTTGTGTAATTCTATAGCAGCCAAAGTAATGGAAAAAACAAACACACAAACACCACTTTTAAATGACGGTACTCTGAAACTCTGAATTTCCCTTTGGGATCAATAATGTTCTTCTTATCTTATCTTATCTTATCCTACATATCTGATCCCAACACACTGCCCTCTAATCTGATGGAAAATTCTGTTCACAGTAAGAAAAAAAAACATGTTGGCAGCACACAAACTAAATAAAATTAACACCATGGCTGAAGCTCCATAAACAAACATGAGTCCACAGAGGGGTTGGCATCAAAAGATTATATTGTACAACCTTATCATAATACAGTAATACAGTAAGAGCCACTCACAGTGCTTTTCAAAAGGCAAATCCAATCACTTAATTATACTCAACCTGAAAAAAAAAAACTGTCCTGCAATCATTCGGTTGGCTTCCTGCCGTGGTAACATTTCTCCTCAAATGAGGATTATGTGCATGCACAACCTTGAAACGCAGAGAAAAAAAAAACACTGATTAAACTGATTTTGTATGGAGATAGAAGTTTGTAGGGTCAGATAGGTCAGAGAATCCTCTGAATGGGTGGGTGTTGAAAGATGACAACAGTGCAAAGGGTGACAGGTGTTTGGCTTCATCTCCATTTGTTTTCATCCCCGCTGGGTTTGCTCTTCACATCCTGCGTGAGGGCAGCAATGGGACAACATCATGGTCCGAGCCTGGGTCTGCTCCCTGAAAAAGAGGACAACCGCCTTAAAACAGTTACCGTTTTTTATTGAGTTGATGAACTACTTCTAATCATTTTTTCAAGTGTAACAATCAGAAAAGGACAAAATTCTACATACATATCTAACACATACACATTCAGTCATACTGTTTTGCTGTTGCTGGGCAGATAGTCTAAATAAACTTCAAATATATTTATACAAGTATCATAGACATGCATAACTAACATCCCCACTAAGCTCCAACCACAGAGCATCCTCAGCACACGAACATCTTTACTGTACAAGACACCTTACTTACCAACTATCAAGAAAAGCCAAAGCTAAAACCTTCATACTCTGGATACTGTTCTTTTCCTCTCTACAGGGTGATCTATAGCCTCCCTGGAACTTATATCCTTCTTCCTGTTATCCATCAGAACATGATTGCAATGAGCACAATTGTTAATTCTTTATGCAGCTTCGTCAAATCATCTCCAAATTTAAAATATATCCTAACAGCCTACAGGGAGTCACCCAAGACTATCCTTCTTGCATTTTCTTTCACCGCAGCATCATAAAACATGTTTCCTACTACAAATACGCAAAACGTCATCGCCTATCTATTAGACCGTAATGCAATTCTACTTTACCATTGTCCATAACGGAGACCAGGGATGCAGGAGTGGGATAACACACACCCAGGGTACGGCTGAAGACTGGCCGTCCGCGCATCCGAACAGGACCCCTCATCATCAAAGCATGTAGATGATGTAGGAGAGGAAAACGAGGCCCATGATGGCGAAAAACATCAGCACCATAATGTCCACCATGATGGAAAAACAGTGAAGGATGGATGGTGAAGACGCGAATACACGCAGTAAAATAAGCAGCTGCACGGTCAGCTAGCGAGCGGTGCTCAAGATCGGACAATTTCGGAAACGTTCGGGAGTCCACAGAGAGCAAATCAGCCCGACCATCCCCCTTCCGATTTAGAAACCGGAAGTACAAAAGTAGATTTTGCCTTGTTTTAGGCTTTCAGGTAGATATGTTGAGACGATGTTGGACAGAAATTCTCCGCAAAACGATTTTAAGTTTTAGTTTTTATTCTAAAGCTTTAAGATGCCATTCCCGTGGGTAAAACACGAACCAGCTGGAACGTACAATAGCGGCCTGACAGGCTAAAATCAGGGTTTAAGGGTGCCAGCAAACGATAGCGGATTTCCTCTTTTTAAAATCGATTAATTGACAACATTTTTTCCTTACTATTATTTTTTTTATTTATACCTTCGCCTTACAATAATCTAACGCGGCATTTATATTCAATTTTTCTTTACACCATTATTGAATTCAACAAGATAAATTGGATCAAAGCGACGCATTAGTCTCAAAGAGTGCTCAAATTTAACATCTTCTGTGATTATAATTTAACAGTAATTTTTGAGGATGCAATAAGTGGCTCTGTTGGACTGTAGTATACAATTTTAAACGGACTGACTTTATTTGGATTACAGTCCTTGAAACAAAGCAAAAATAATAGGTCATGAACATGAATACTGTACAGACACAAACCTGAACCTCCTAATTGATCACAGGGTTTCCTCTGGTTCACTGTCAGTTGATATGACTATTGCCTCAATGTATGTGACTTTACATCTAATCCAACTCATTTTGGATAACATCATGCTCACACGGGAAATTATCTTTAGTTAGTTTTCCACTTTGTTAGAAAGAAACAGGAAATGTGAGAAGTAAAGAATGAGAAGACATCTAACAAAGGTTGTGGTTGGGAGTTGAATCAGCAACCAGTGCAGCAAGGACCAAAGCCTCAGTGGATGGGGCCATACCGAACAAGTTTGTCTTCATGAAATTACCACCAAAACAAAAACAGGGTAGATAGTCTTTAAAATGGACTTCAAGAAATGAGCAACAGCTGCAGTGTGGTGTCTAGGTTCTGTTTTGACAGTGCACAGAACAAAGTTTTAGGGGAAAAGGAACAAAAAAGGCAAAGTGGAATTAGATGTTATCTGCCATATTTGCTCTGTCTCAGTGAAAGAAGCTCTTCTCTTGAATCAACTCCTACCCCAGCAGAAATACCCATCAGCAGTTGACAAAATATGACAAAAATGTGAAGAAATATAGTAAAATTTGCAGAAAATTCTAAGTCAGACTTTGCTGCACTTTGGTTGAGCACGAGGAATGGGAATTGATAAGATTTTATTGATATCGATGCCATTGACACTTCTGCTTATCCGTTCAATTCTCCAACGATTCCCTTAGCAATACCTTTCTTTGATTTTGAAAAAATTTGATAAGAATAAGAAAAATAAGAATAACTTTATTCATCCCCGAAGGAAAATTCAATTGTCTGTTGTCTCACAAAATATGTCTCTCTATAAAGTCTGATGGCTGTTGGTACAAAAGATCTCCTGAATCTTTCTGTCCTGCAGCGAAGAGAGAGGAGCCGTCCACCACCATTGTCCCTTTGGTCCATCAAGGTGTTGTGAAGTGGGTGATCCATGTTCTTTAGAATAGACCTTCCTCAGCGTAGATCTCTCCACCACATCCTCCACTGAGTCCAACTTGAATCCAACCACAGAGCCAGCCTTTTTCACTAGTTTGTTAACACGTCTTGCATGATAACAGGTTTTCACCGTTAACTCAAAATTTTATTGAGTCTCTGATAACAGAAAAAGATGTATGCCAAAAATAATCAAACGACAAACTATTTGTACAGCAATTACTTCAGTCAGTATTAAGTCAAATACATAATACTTTGTTAAGTCTGGCTTGCATTGTGCTTATGCTAACACAGGACAACAAGTGTGAGACACCTGGACCCTGAAAAATAAATCTCAACTGAAATTAAAGAAAAACCACAAACCACAGTCTGAGAAAAAATGACATTTTATTGAATCTCCAGAATCATAAGTACAATTTGAAGTGCTGTGACAGGGCAACAGGAGATGATATCAGGTCCTTTCTGAGTATGTATCCAGTATGAGTTTTGAATACACATGTATGTCATTATGCATATGTAACCTTTATCTTTTTTTTTTTAATTAAAAAAAAATTATATAAAAAAACAAAACAATTTAAGATGGAATGCACAAAACTGGTCTGAATGCTAAACCTGATAGAGGATTACATGATTTCACTCTGCAAAGTCTACAGTTTATATCCAGTATCATAGAAGCGGGGAAGGGAGGGGTGGCATTGGTTCAGAAGCGCTGGGGTCTACGATGAAGGCTGAAGGAAAGAGGGGTCTCATCAGACAGGTGGACAGGATACGAGACAGAAACTGAATGGAGACTAGGTAATGATATGATCTTATGGTTCAGTCGATGAGTGATGCCAGAGCAGAAGAGCCGTATTTGGCGCAAAGAGGTCGCCCCCTTGACTAATATCCAGGTCAGGAAAACAACTTGCCCTGCTTCACAGCCTGGGAGATTCAGCCTTGTACAGATACACCCTCACTCGCTTGAATTTGACTTCAATCCATCCAGAGCCACACAGAATGCTGGCCGCCTTTGGCCACTTTTCATTTCAACCAGAACACCAACTGATGCCATCAAAACAAAAGGTGATTTGGAGGCCACCAGTTTTGTTGTTAAATTAGATTTGAGCAAACATTACTATAAAGCCAGGAACAACAATCATTTCACTTCAAACCAAACCAAAAACTCTTCAGTTTATCCAAAAAGAAGCACAACTAAGCTCTTCAACAGCTTTCCATTCTTGCATCTGTTTTGCAAATAAACTTGTCCTGTTGTCAAGTTAGAGGTTAATGCAAAATACAGGCGTACAAACAGTGTGTTCATTCATTCGTTCTTTCTTCCCAGTTGGAGATGTGTGTTTTATTTTTTCTGTTTTATAAACCTGCAACAACTGCTCACATTAGAAAGTTGCTAAACACAGACTTGCACCAAACTGGAGTTTACTTTAAAATTACATTGCTTCCCATAAGCCGCATTCCAAAAAACAAAAGTGGGAACCATTTTTCTTCTGCAGGCAAGCCACTTCCCAGAGCACCAAGACCTGTACGTACAATTTCCCTAACTCACCTTTATGATACATATACAATTGTACAATGTCCTCTAGCTACATAGTGAGAGCCTTGATTCTTTTAATAAAGCTGATCATATTGTATCTGCCCCAACCCTACCTAACCCCACCTAAAACACAACCACCCTGATCACTCACGTCTGTGACAGTCACAGTGCATCACAGGAGAATGAAACAGCAAGTAAAGGGGAGTAAAGAGGCGCGTATGGTCAGGGGCCGAATGAGACTATTTACACCACTGAGGAATGTTCAACATCATGTTTGAAGTCGGATGAGGTCTCCACAGACATACAGTATTGAAAGTGAAGAGTTGATGATGTGTGATGTCTGTGAGGAAACCAGCCAATTAAAAGCTTCATTTTATGATTTTATGAGCCAACAATCATCACATCATAATGACCAGCCAAATGACCGTCAAACAGTTGAGGGAATCACCTTCCTGTCTTTGATCAGCACTCAGGCCTGCCTTTATGGGTGGTTTTATGACCAGTGGATGAAACTAAACTCTTTTAAATTTGTATTTTAAACGCCAAATGACACGGCTGACTTCAAAGCTCAAGAGTATCAAACAGGAAATGAAGATCTGCTGATCAAAAACAGGTCTGATTGTGGTCGAGTGTTCTGCCCACAAACAGTAGAGACATTTCCCAAGACTTAATACTGTAACTGAGAGAGTCTGACTAAACTTTTCCACCATGGATCATTAATTGAACTGCTGGTTCGTTTGTTGAATAGACTTACTTTCTTCTTCTGTTTTAGAAAATAAGATTCTTACAATAACAAAGACAGTAAAAGAAGAACAGCATGGGGAAAACAACAACAACAACATTTACCACAGCCAAGGATTCGACATTTTTCGCACATTGAAATGGAAAAATAAAGACTGGAATGTTTACTCACAAAAACAGAGGAATAAATTTGAAATAAAAAAAGATTCACAATATAGTTGTGCTTGGCCGCTGCCTTCTTTTTCTATGAGGGTGTTTTCTTGTAGCAAAAAGAGGGGGAAGGATTAGACATGGTCCCATCTCCTTTCCCAAAACCTAGATCACCATAAATTTTGTTTCTCTCTGAATTGAAGGCATTCAGGCTGCAAAGAACAGGAATAAGGGTGCATATGTATAAATATATTGATATATTCTCTACATCCGCACTGACTGAGGTGATGTATCGAGTGTAGCTGCAAAGGATGGACTGATGATGTCCCCTAACTTTTCCCTGATCCCTCCTGCATCGATACCCCTGACTTAGGCAGCGACATGAGGGCTCTTCAGTTAGGCTCGATTCCAGTTTTACAATGATACCTGCGGTGCAGTGCTGAAAAAGAGGACACCTTCTTTGAGCACACAACGGCGAGATATGTGTCCGTCAATAAATGAATTAGAAAACTCTCAGTTAAGACGGCTAAACTGGCGAATGCGACACTTACAGATTAAAGGAATGTACACGAGTCAAAAATATTCAAGCATAGCTCTGATAGACTGAGATTCTACACTGCGTTTCCAGTCGGGGCCGAGATCACACCGCAAAATTTGAGACAAAAGCAATCAAAGAGGCTTGTGGAAATCCCACAGCCACCCACACTACCAACTCATTTGATTCATAAAATCATTGCGGTGATGGGGGAAAAAGTTCTTGTTTTTCAATATTGTTGTGTCAGGATTGTGAAGTACTACAGCTAGGATGGACTCGGCATGACCCCTGATATACTGCGATGAACTTTGAGTTTATCTTTTAAGACTTTTCATTTTCCACTTGTGATAACACCAGAGTGCAGCCAGGTTCAGTGATGAAGAACATCCAAAAAGAGATCGACATCAGTACAGATTGACAGACAGACAGACAGAAAAGCAGACGCACAGACGGAGAAACAGACAGACAGGCAGAGGGTGTCTGTGATAGAGCTGTATGGGCAGAGGGAGCAGAGAAAGGATGCAGGGGGGTAAGGGTCTCACAGGACAGGTTTTAGGGAACAAGAGTAAAATCAAGAGAAAGCGGCATTAAGATGAGATGGCACTGGGCTTTACTTTTCCTTTCCTTCTTTCTCTCCCTTTCTCTACCTCCTCCTTTATCTCTCCCTCTTCTTCTCTCCCTCTCACTCAGATGGCCTCAACGTAGTTTGCGGGCAGCATGCCCTGCTGGCCAGTGCGCTCCACGCGGCCATACATCCAGCCCTCGTCAATCTGCTGTACGTCTACGATCACGTCTCCATCCATGAAGGACACCTCATCCTCATCAGCAGCAGCGTAGTCATACACGGCCCTGTACCGCTTCTGTGAGAGACAGACAAGAGGGAGCTGGGTTAGTTTCAGACCACAGCAGCCACAGATCAGTTTGTCAGACAGAATTTTGCATTGATACTATGGCTGGGCGATATGTCCTCAAATCAATATCAAGATTTATTGAGCAGTTCACCTTGATTACTATAAATGGGCGATAACTACTCCACAAGCTGCTCACCCCCTCCCACATAATCTTTGTCTACTTCAGCCGCCGCTCCAGCCGCTACAACTTTTGAACCGTCCTCCAACACCTCACCTGTCTTTCCCTCTTTGTTACGGACTGGATGGGGTAGAGTCACGTCTTAAAGGGACATGAGATCATAGCCTACCTACACACATCCAAAACCAACTTGTATCTATTTATTTTTATGTCACCAAATATCCTGACATGGGCAAAATGACGTCGGTTATCAGTGTAAATTTCTGTATCGGTAAATTTTCGGTTTATCGCCCAGCCCTAATTGACACCTTATTCATGTTTAAGTGAAGATAATCCATGTCAGATAAACAATAACCTATAAATATTGTACTATGATTAACCTGCAGATTATTTTTCAACTGATGGACTAGTTTTCTTCATCTCTTCTTATGCACAACAAAAGTCCTAAACCATAATAATCAGAGGGAAAGAAAATCCAGATCTTCTCAGAAGCTAAGGGCTGGTAAAAATGGATCACTTTTGTTTATCAGTTTATCAGTACCAAAAAGCTCTCATTGCCAAAGTTCGATTTCTGAATACATGTCAGTGTTTTGCAATACTGAAAAAGTAACAGTAACTCTTCTCATTATGTTTCGCAACAGACTAAACTTGGAGCACATGAAACCCTAGAGGGGGCAATGGAGAACTTACCCCAGCACTGGGAGGAGGAGCAGCAGCCGCCTGGCGCACAGGTTCGGGAGTTGGCTCATATTGATAGTTCTGAGAGGCTGCAGGCTGCTGGTAAGCTGCTGGAAAATCAGAGCGAGGAGAAAGAGAAGAAATGAACAAAAAAAAAACGCTCTTAGAGTTTGATAAACTCACTGGGAGATAAACTGGTATTCAACAGTGTGCCACAGGTCTGCATGCAACAGTTGTGGGAGGATTAGGATTTTAACGCATACAGCAAAAGCTTGTTAATTCCTGTTTTTTTGCTTTTGTTTGTGTTTCTGCAATGACTCATCAGGAGAGGGAGGAATTCTTTAGCATGACAAGCCAAGACGTGCATCCTAAAGCCATTGATTTCCTTGAACAATGCTGTACTGTGTCTAAATCAGGCATTTCAAATAGAAACAGCAGATTCAGAGGATATTCAAATACAGAGCCACAGTTTTTTCACTGGCCTCATAAATGCTAACATCAACAAAGTCACAATCATCAACAACAACTTGTCGATTCATTTACTCAATCAGGGATAACGAGAATTACTGTGCGATTTTCAAACAAGAATATCTGCTGGAATAAGATTTTTTATGGTTATATAAATTGAATGCAGAAGAGGATTATAGTGAACAAGTTTGAACCTATGTAAGCTTCAGTGTAACAGCCAGCTGAGTGAGCGCATTATGCCTGTGGCAGAGAGGGGACTAAGTTAAGACACGGCACAGAGCTTTAAGAAGAATGTCGGTACTTAGTCTTAAAATTCTTATCAGGGGGTTTGAAGCCATGCAAATTCCAGAGGATCTTTTTTTCTTTTCTCTGTCATGAGTTTTGAGTAATAGTACAGATGTTTTTATAATGGTAGATGTTATTATTGTTATTTTTATTACCTCTTTCCTTACTCTTTTGTCGACTGCTTTTACAATAGGCTCCAATCAAATAGAAATGGTGTTTGATAAGTGACCTATGAAGCCTGTGTTTATTTCTGTGTGTGTTTGGAGGATACCTGGGCAGGGGTTGCTTGGCTGATGTTGAGGGGCCTCTCCTCCCATCTTTCTCTTCTCAAACTCCTCATGATACTTGATCTGAAAGGGACAGACACGATCAGTTTAGAGTCATCTATGAGTGAGGTGGGCTTCACATCCACAGGTGCAGTCCTCTGTTAAGGAAGCAACACCAGGTGTAGTTCACTTTCTGTCCACCAGAGGTCTCCTATGCGCGCCCCTACACCCTTGAGTCAACGGTGATAGGTGGGGCCTTCTACACGCAGCAGAGCCCTGGGAGGCAGTCTGACACTGACAGGAAATGACATCTCAGCGGCAGGAAGTAGTGTGAGCTCTTAGTTGCATAGCAACTCTTCGCTGACACATCAGGAAGAACAGGTGAGGTTAAAAAGAAAAAAAAAAGGGAACCAACTAGAAGTCTGGATACGTGTGGTGAAAATGAGCCAGCAAGAGGAAACAGAGAAAGAAGGAAGGAGGAGGAGGAGGAGGGGGAATGGGAGGAGGGGATCATATGACTTGGCGCAGCATAATCCAAATCATTAATACTCTGGGAGTGAACTTGAACATTTTGAACTTTCTCCTCGGGGTTGTTTGAATCCAACATTGCATATCTTGGTGTAAGTTCAAAAAGAAGCAGCTGCACTGCTGGTCCAGGTACAAAGACCTACCTACAACATCAGACTCTGACTCCTGTCAGACAGAGGCAGCATTCAGTGTTTCAACATGAACTAGGCCACACTCATGAGAAAGTGAAACTGAGTGACTGCTCGATGACTGCACTAAATAGGCCTTCACAGCCCGGCCCTTCTTATTACCAGGCTGATAACAGACTGACTCATAGAGCCTTGGTCAAGATTTACAGCCCTGATTCTGTCCCTGCTTACACCCGCACTCAAAGAGCTCCACTGTGCCTGCGGCCTGAGCGAGGAGGGTATTGACAGACTCGACGGGATGACAGGGAGTGTTTATGTGAGGACACTAAGACGAGTGAGGGGAAGAACACAAGAGACTGTTCTCAAGGGCAATATGCTAAGTGAGAGTTTGTAAAGGAGATTATTTTGTGTTTGTTTTCAAGAAGCAGGTCGAACAGATGGTGTGTGTGGATTTATAGGAAGTGAACTAAACATCCCCATCACTCCTCAGTGATTGTTGCTTGACACGGGGAAGATAATGAGAAATGAAAGCAGTTCAGAGTTAGGAGTTACGACATTATTTTAAAAAACACGCTAACAAGAATGGCAGACGAGAAGAGTCCAGACTGAAAGGCTTCAGATTGTTGACATTCCTGGTACAGAGCTGAGTAAACTGCTTCAAGTCCTGGGAGGAGATGGTTCACTTGTGATTGGCTGTGAACGACACACTGATTATAAGCAGATGTCTGAGTTATCAGCTCCAACCAACACATCGAATCCATCCTGCCATTTTACCCTCATTAAGATGATTTGGTTTGTATGTGCACACACCCATAAATACATGTTACATATGTTCATCTTCCTCCCTCTGTCCTCCAAATTCCTTGATTTCAGACATGCAACATCTCTCAGTACATGAAAGCAGTAATTACCCATCACCCCGCACACTAATTATGCCATTAGCGAGGCCAGCACAGAGCAGCGTATGCGTAATGATGCATGTTCTGTGTGTGAGTGTGTTTCACAGAGAGTTAAAGGTCTTTACAGCTGACTCAAAAAGTCTGGGGACATAAGGCAAATGACGTTTCAGCTGATGAGTATTTACAGAGAAATGGCAAATCGATAGCTGGAGCTGAGGGAGAGAGGGGGATCAATGTAATACAGGGAGAATTTTGAAATATAAATGAGGTGTACTATGAATTAAAGAAGCCTGACTTTTGTATGTGACAGTATAAAGGAGGATGAAGACACTTACAAAAGTGAAAAATGTTAAAATTCTTAAGAAATGAATGAAGAGGGTCTCACAGGCTTTGGGTAAAGATGTTACGCTAGAATGCGTAAGAGCTGACAAAAGAATGAATCTTAATTTCAAGTTCTTTTCACATGACAGCTGCATAATAAATAAATAAATAAAAGCGTGATCTTTGCTAAAGGTTTCAAAAACTGTGATATCAGTCTGGTTGTTCAGTCTCCGTGAACTGTCTTTAGGACACTTACATTGCTGATTTGGTCCTGCGCTTTCTTAATTCTCTCCATCTCTGGCGTGTTTGCGACCACACTGAAACCTTTCCCTTTATTCTTCTCAAAATCCTCCTTGTAGAGAACCTGCAACACAAACATGATCGTGTTAGGGAAAAAAAAAAAAAAAAAAGAGAAGGCAACCCAAAAAATTCAGGACTTATTATGTCTGCTGATAAATCACAACTGTGAAGTCAAGATTAGTAATGACAGAAAAACCAACAGATGCTTTAAAAGTGATTATCCAGAGATACTGAGACATGAAATTAAACAAACATGTGAGTTAGAAACATTTTGACACTCTGGGACAGGAATCATGTGATTCTTTGCACTTGCATCATCAGGACTGTCTAGGTAGAGAGTGAAATCCTGAGCTTTACATTCACCTTCACAGCAGGAGAGAAATGGCTTTATTCTTGACTTCATTCAAGGTTGAACAGCAACATCCCTCTAATTTTTCAAAATTATCTTCTGTGGATTTTCATTTTAGCAAATGTTATAAACGGTAACTTTTAATCGCCTGATTTGTATCGCTCTTATCATCAAGCTTAGCAAACCAGAAAGTTTTCAGTTCCCGTACTTAGATATGATATATTTCTAAAAAATGGCGTACTGCTAACTGTCACTGCTGAGTCTGATGTGGTGACGCTAACATCCGGTATTGTGGGGTAAGCGTCAGGCCTTACATACAGGACGTGGTGGAAACCATACATGGTCATAATGAGAGGTACTGTGTTGAAATAGAAACTGTGCATGAGTGTACGTGCGTTGGTGTGTTTTTGAGCCTTCCCACCCTATCCTGCCCCTGAGGGCAAAGGAGGAAATGTCCAGCCCATGCAATGTCTGATGAGTATCAGAAATAACAATGCAAGGGGCTCTCCCTAACAGCTTTGAGGGTGGTCACATGTTTTTAAACCCACAACCACTTACACCGCGGCTTAAACCAGACACAGGAAATCTGGTCGTTCGTTTTCTTACTAATAGCAGCTAAATCTTAGGAGCTCTCTCAGTATGTGCATGAATAATTTCAACAATGACAGAAACTTTGGTCATCTCAAACCTCAGACTTCTTCAGGGGTCTAACTGACAAGCTAGATCGACACACGCTCAGAACAACTTTATTTGACTGATGGAAATGGATTTGAATGAACTGAAGCTTCACGCCTTCAGTGAGTCTGCACCTGTCTACAAACGGAGCCTGGCAGCACGGTGCATTACTAGGAAACTCTCCCCCGTCTCTTCATCCCCTCCCTTAATGTCTAACACCACAAAACAGACCTCTGACATACCCTCCTTTCATCACGCCTTGTGATGATATGACGTGGGTATGATTCACAGATAATGTGTGCAAGCGTGATGCAGCATCATCATCACCATCACCACGGGCCTGATGTCCTCTGAGAATGGGCATGAAAACCATGGTTGCTCCACATTCAATGGTAAATTATGCAGCATTCTGGAGCCAGCACACACACACACACACACACACACACACACACACACGCGCGGATAAATGGTGAAAAAAATTCATGTGGCCTTGACCCAGCTTCCTCCATCAGCCTCTTCCTGCTCCTATCAGCCAACATGTGATCCTCCCCCTGTTCTTATTTATCAGTCTGCCTCCTTTGTCTTTTTAGGTCTGTGCAACAGCCTCGTCTCATCCAATCGTGCCTCTTCTCTCTTTCCCCACCCACTCTCTCTCTCCTCTTCTCTGGGCTCCTTTTTCATTCATTCATATTTTACTGCCTCAACAGCAGCACACCGTGTCGTCCCAAAGAGCAGCGGCTCTTTTTTATTATCATCTCTCCCTCTGCCTCTATTTGCATTCCTTCAGCTCCCCCTCCTCTGGGGATTTTACTTTTATCTTTTCCTCTTTTACCCTTCACTCCTCCCTCTCTCTGTGTTGGTGCCTTCCTGTCTCTCTCTTTCTCACTCTCTTTTTCGTTCATGTGTGCCTCATTGCTCACCCTCTCCTCCTCCCCAATTGCTCTCTCCAACTCCTTTATTTCTCTCGCTCTCCGCCTTGTTTCTCTCTGTTTCTCCCTGCAAAGTCTTGTAATGAGGTGTGACAAACCTCTACCCCGCTACCATAGCAATAGGGTTCCCGTAGCAACGCAGCAGCGGCAGCACTGGTGGTTGAATGGGGTTAGGTGGCCACAGTTCTCCGCCAACACCTTCAACTTCCTGATGCTGATGCAAATGCAACGTTACAGCAGGGTCATAAGGTGGATGTGTATGAGTGCTATAAAGTTTTTATGATTGAATCCTTTGTAGGAAATTATGTTCGTATGAAAGCTAAGTGAAAGCGATGTCACATTTGAGAAGATTTGGAAATATTCTGTTAAACAGGAAGTTCCCCTCGATTGGCCTTTCTCAAAGACTGTCTAATAAACTTGCAGGAAGAGCAACACTTCTTTAAATTTTTTTAACACCACTTCTCTCTTCTCTCGTTGTTACCAAAACTGAACTTTGAACAGTCCCATACAAGGAACATTTAAGTAACATCATGACTCCAAGACAGCGTTTGTGGAGAGCATACAAATCCTTCCCTAACATATTCTGTGTATGAATAATCTCTTTTTACGGCATGGGGCTTGAAATGACTGTCACTTGATGTATGATGCAGAGTTTGTGGGGAGCTGTAAGGATTCAAAATCCATGTAGAAAAACACCATCTGTCTCTTGATCCTCCAATTTTCCCCCACCCTATATGACCGCTACCCCCAATCCTTGCATACACAGCCTGACCTCATCTGCAGAGACTGGCACTGACTCTCAGATGAGACTTGACACTCTTTGATAAGCCCCTCCTCCTTTGTGGTTAACACATTTCTCTGCTATACACTGAAACGACAAACCACTCGCTCAGCTCTTCTCTTAAACCCTCACCAACTGACACCCACAGCTATTCAACGATCCACAATCAAGACTATAATGACCTTTTCTTTGTTTTTGCTTTTTAAATACATATTTCAATACAAAAGATGAACTGCAACCACCCACAAAAGAAAAAAGGAAACAGTTACAACATCCAGCCTTCCTATTTTTTAATGTATCTTATTCGCAAATGAAGGAGCCCCACAAAAACTCCCAACATATGATTGGCTATTGGCCTCTTTAGAAGCTAAATTTAGAGTATATTAAATACACTGATTCTATTAGAACATATATGCAACTAGAAATGCAATCCATTTATTAGTAGGCTTCACGTACTTTATGCCACCCTAACAGAAGTTAATACCCAGCTGGGCCACCATGAATTGTACATTCATGCACTACAGACAGACAGGAACTCAACTTTCACCCAATTTTTAAGTGAGACAACTACTCTGGGTCGTAGGTCCATCTTTCCTCCATCTGTCTCTTCTATTGCACTTCTCTAAGTGAAGCAGCGATCGGTTTATTTCATATCTGTAATACTTTCTTAATGATTCTGGAACAAACTAGAAAACATGAGAGATGTACTGGGGGAAATGTTGAATAGTCCTGCCTGATCTGACTGTGTTTCTGTTGACTGGTGAGCACACAATGTTTCTGATGAGAAAAGCTCATGAACATAGAGAACAGTGTCCTAAATGTCAATGTGTATCAGCAAGCGGCAACCCTTCTCCATCCATGCAATAAAAATAAAAAAAAGTAATAATAATAATAATCCAACCTGTTTATCAAACAGAAGGATTTTCCTCAAGAGAATCTGAATGACAGTGTCCTGAAAATAACTTATGTCGATTTTTCCACCATCTGTGGCAGGAAATGAACAAGATTGTATTTCGAAAAGCAGCATGCTTTCATCATGTGTGTCATTCAGAGTATTAATGTTCAACAGAAGCGGTCTTGGTGTTGTAAATAAACATCTGGAAGAAGCTTTTTTAAAAATACATCATAAAAAAAAAAAGAACGATGAATGGAAAAGAGTTCAACTTCTGCTGTTATGAGGTGGGGCTCAAACTGTCTGGCTCACTGCTGGTGAGATAGACCATGAAGAATGTGTCAGTCAAGTCTGTCAACATCCTGACTGACACGTCTAAGGACATTTCTGTGACCGTACTCATTTACATTTTTGAGAATGTTGTTGGGTTTTTTTGTGATGACTAGTTTTATTTTGATGTCAGTTAACAGAAATGTGTTCAGCATTGTAGCTAACTTTATTCCATTAATTTTCATTTGCATTAATGAGAATATCCTTGATTTGAGGAACTTTTGTATTGAATGTTAATCCATTTACACTGATGAAGTTCCTCGAATACTAAGCAGCATGCTCCATGACTTGAATAAGAGAAGTAGGACTTCACATGACAGCCTGACAGACTGAAGCCTGGCTGCTACTAGTTTTCCATGATGTTTATAGTGGCCCTATCAGTAGTTTGTTGTTCTGTTGTCAAGTGCAGAGAGGGAAGCACTGATAAGAGTTTACAGCTGAATGTAAATCTCTCTGGCTCTGGCTCTATCAGAGCCATCTTGATTTAGGCAATAATGCATGACCCAGTTCAGAGGGATATTCTGGTCTGATGAGTTTCTTTTTTTTATCCTGGGATATATTTGGGTCTTTGTTATTTTAATTTCTTCATATACAGCCATGGTAGCATATGTCATCATGGTTAACATGCAGCTATGGACTATTTTATAAAAAAAAACCATGAGCAGCAATTTAAATTTACCCAAAAAAGTGATATACAAAAAAGAGGTAAAAAAAAAAGGATTTATCGCAAAACAATCCACTGTGCAACTGTTATTTAACAACAACTGAATTTCACTTTGGGGATAAATAAAGCTATTCTTATTTGTATTATGAAAGGGAATAGAGGAGACAGCTAAACAACAGCTAAAAATAGGCGTATGTTTTCTTTCCTGGAGGCAAAAGGGTCTCTGTATATTTGGCAAACTTAAGGTGAGTTCCAGCAAGGTAAGGGTCTACATCTGTTACTCTCAGTGAGTCTGTTTCAGAGAAAACAAAACAAATTGGCTAATAGCCAGTACACAGATCTTTCACATGCAACAGGCAACACAAAGCTTGTTCTTCCAACAGCCAAAACTGACAGAGTTGCGAAACAGATTTACACAAGAATGATTGACACTGCATCACCTCATGAAATGATCTAGTAATCTAGCAATTCTATTTCTATCTGGGATTCGGGCCAAGTATGGATGACTCCTTATTTTGTTGAAAAAGCCAACACTCTTGCGGTACAGCTGCTCCTCTGTAAGACCACAAACCTGTACCTCACTGGCTTATTTACCCCTTCATAAAGTGCAGTATTAAGTGACCATCCCTATCTCTAAGTGTCTTAATGTTTCATTATGTTCCAATTTTACGCTTGGCTTCTCAGGTCTGTTGAGCAGTGACCTAGCAGCTATCTTGAAAATTCAAACTTTGAATATGAGCAACTGTGTAATCTGACAGTCAGTGCTCTGAAACACAGACTCCAAAATCTTATTAGTGTTCGCTCGAATCAGGCTTTTCTGTAAATATCTGTAAACTATCTTTTTAAAAATGAGAAAAAAGTTCACAATGAAAAATGTCAGTCCAACTGAAAATCTGAGGCTCTCAAATAGAGTATAAAATCCTCTTGAACAGGTGTATGTCAACAGGTTTCAACTTGGCTGAGTCTTCCTCAGTACATGATATAGACGATAAAACACAGGTGTTTGAATACTTATTGAGTTGTATCTGACCGAGGTCACATCACATATAAAAGGAATAACATAATTCTAAAAAGGCAAGAGTTTGATGCCAGGAACATGTCTCCAAAAAGTTGAGACAGTGTAAAATTGCAAAGGATTTGAGGATTTGATTATCTTTGATATTATCATTTCATTAAAGATGAAAGAATCTGGGGAAATCTCAGTGAAAAAGGGGACAAGGCCAAAAACAGGCAAGCAATGTATTAAAAACCAACCTGACTCTGCAGTGAAAATCACTCCAGGGCTCAAAATCAGTCTTGAAAAAAAAACCCTGTCTGTGAACAGTTTATACACAGGGTCAGGCCAAAACTGTACCACACAGAGAGGATACCGGGTATAAATATGATACAGACATATGTTGTTTTTGCAGTATTCCTATTGCAGGGTTCCTACGCAAGTATTGAAGAAGTTTGATCAATTTCTAGATCTGAAAAAGTATGGAAAAGGAAAAATAAAGTATGGAAAAATATTTATGTTTCCAGACTATTACCAAAGTTCAAAAATGTTTTCTATAATAGAAAAGCAAGTATATTCAAAAATAATTCTAAAAAGTAGGGTATGGAAAAGTATGGAAATTCCAACTGTGTAGGAACCCTGTTATTGGAAAAAGGATTTTACTGATTTGCAAACCATCAGAATAAGTTGCCAATTGCATTTAAACAGCGTCACAACTTTTTTGAATGAAGGGTCTGACCTCTTTGGTGGATCAGTGCCAAGTTAAGTAGAGAATATGTGTGTTTGCATGTTGCATAACTGTGGTTTGGTCTGAACATGAATCCTACAAGTAGCTACAACAGACACAAAGAGTTACCTGGCTCTGCATTTTGCTTTGCTGTTTGAGGCGGAGGTTCTCTGGAGTGTCAGCCACAATGGTAAAGCCTGCCTTGGGGTAGTGTCTGCAAAATAAACACACAGAGCGGCAAAGAAAGTCAGTACACAGTAAACACACACAGAGACAGATGCCAGCTTTTACTCAGACTCGCACAGTGCTGCTCAAGCCAAAAACTCTCAGAGAAAAACAGCAGAACTCAAGCAGAGTGCAGTCTGTGGCCCCACAGTGGGGGCATTTGTTATTCAAGGTGGTCCTGAGGTTGAGTTAGGAGCCCCTGTGTACAAAAAGCATGTCAGTATAACACACAATGCTCTGTCAGTGGGAGCCAAGGTAGTTTGGGACAGAGGAAGTGCAGGCAGCAGTCATGTGGGGGGAAGAGAGCCTCAAGGTTGCAGAGTTTTGGGGGTGAGCTTTAGCAGGTGTGGAAAAAGCTCTCCAAGCTTTCACACACAGACTTATAATGCACACACGCTAACAGACACAGCTCTGTGGGGGATAACAGGAAGAGGAAGGGCACGGCAGTCGGGTCAAAGAGACACTGGGTTAGTGTGAATGATGTCATGGGTAGCCCCCTTAAACTGAGCGTGAAGGCGAGTCTCTTCTCTCAATGGATTCTGGGAATTTTTCTCGACAGCCACAGACTCCACCAGAGTCCTGAAAATAAATCCTGAAAATAAATATAACAAACATAAATATACACAAGTTAGCTAAAACAAGCAGCTCCCATGCAGACAAACAAACATGCATTCAGCACTCGGAGCAGTTCATTATACTTAGGCTTATTGACTGCATCAACCACTGTCATGCAGGGCAGTGTTTTTATACACTGGTAGCTTTCAAGTTCCCAAAAATCGGTGCTCACAGTTCAGCGTGGTCCTTCAGGCAGCATAAACATATGGCTTAAGTCCAGCAGGAGAGGACAAGCCCTCACAGTTGATCTAACAGCTCCTATATAGACTGTAGTCCCCAGCTGGCCTCAGGGTGAACAGTGACCTCAAAAATCTCTAACCACTATCTGTGCCTCTGGGTAACCCATTCAGGCAATATGTCTACGGTGTCCATAGCAACGCGGTAAACATACTAAATGAGCCTTTGTTCTGACTTGATTATGGGATATGAACACTTTTACCAAAGGCATTGTGGTTGGTACACTTTTATAAAGCACACTGTTAAAATAAGATAAAAGCCACTTTAAGGAAACCAAAGCATGAAGCGTGAACTCTAAGTCTGTGACTATGAATGCAGTTAGATTTAAAAAACAGAAGCAGGAGGTGGTTGAAGTCGCATTTTAAGATTTGTGATATAAAACAAACTTGAGCACTTGAGTCCTGCTACATCCACAGAAACACATGCAAGTCTGTGCATGCTCGCACCAAGCCTTTACAGCTGCTGGCAGCACTTCCTGAATATATCTGCAGTATTAAGATTTAGCAGTTAGCTACGCTAGCAGCCTAGGCAAATGAAGCCTCTGTTCACTGTTGAAGGATATCTGATCAAATACAGAGAGCTCTTTTCTTTTGCTGCACATGACACTTGTTTTATCTCTGTATTTTTGACATCTGACAAAAGCTCTCATTCTAAGACTCATCTAATGTTGTATCAGAAATTATGTAGACCTGGGAGGGAACACAATAAACTCAGACATTTAACCTTTAAACCTTTACACCAAGTGTTACAAGGGGTGGGAAAGACTAGTGGCCCCACGAACAATATTATCACGATACTTGGGCCACGATACGACATTATTGTGATTTAGCTAATTTAGAATTTGGCTTTCCTATATTTGTATTGTTTACGCTGCATTTTATTTTCATGTAGAACTTCCTACAAACCTTATATATATTTGTTGCACTAACTTTCTCCTGCTCTATGATGTTACCTCTGCCAACCTCACTGGACAAACAGTTGATTTTATTTTTACATTATCATAGATTTGACTTCATATTAACAGTTAATTTGAAAAATCGATACTTTGTGAATGAGATGATTCAATATATCACCAGACAAAATATTGCAATACTATGCTGTATCGATTTTTTCTCCCACCTCTTAGTGTTAGTCTGAATCTTTTTTTAGGGACTCTCCCTTGATCAAAGCCAGGAAACTCAGAAGTGTTAATAGTCTGAAGTTGGGTGTATCTGGTTTGTGGTGGAACATACTCCCTTTGACAGAGCACTTGTTTTAGGGAGTGTTTGAGTTGCACACACTCTCATAAACTGCATCTGTTAAAATAAACGGGGTTCGCGTCATCTTCAGCGTGTCTTTGGGTCAGTAAATTGTAACGCAAACATACAGCAGTGTTGCAGATATAACCTGAGTGACTCAGTGGGATCCTCTGAAGTGTGTCTGTTTGAGGCTATGAATGACTCACAAGAACACTCGTCTATCTGTCAGCTTGTATAACAAGGTAATAAGTCCCAGACAGGAGTTGGTGACACATGCACAAACTCAGTTAGCCCCTGTGAAGACTAAAGAGAGAGTGATAAAAACGGAGGGGCGGCTTTGCTGAGGTGGACGGGTGAGAAGGCCACACATTTGTGATATCAAACACACACAAATACACACTCATACAAACTGCCTACTGTGCAGGAGGAGACTCCTGTTTGTATTGTGGAACCAGGAGAAGTTGTTGACGGCTTGGCCCTGTGAGACCTGAAAAGGTTTTAACGCATTAGTCAGGTAAAACAGTTTGATCATTTTCATCACGTCATGTAGAGGAAACCACATCTGATTTCACAAATATGACAAACAAGTGACTTTCAAATTCAGACACTGTCCGATCAAGACATGTAAACAGCTGTTGCTGGATGAAGCAAGGGCTGACTATTGTCAGAGTTTGTGGCATCTGGGTCTTGTTACAATGTGGAAAATGATGACAAGTTTCTCTCATGATTTGTGATGTTGTTTTATATTCTAAGTAAAAACAACAGAGAAAAATCAAAGAAGATATCTGCAGTAAACAAAACTGACCCCTACCCTATGCTAGCCTTTATCTGATTTATTCAACTGACTCTGCCTTTCTTCTGGTCGGGCACAAACAAGCCCATTCCCAGACTGATTGTGAAAGCAGCATCTTTCCCAGACCAAAAGAATCAGCAGTGTCCTAACATCCTGGGAGAGTGGTTTTAGTCTTACTGGCTGTTCATTATTCATTTAGGATAAGCTGAATGGAAGAGAGCCATGAAGCGATATGGATAAAAACACTAAATCAAGACACCTCTGGCAAGTTTTTAATAAAACCACATTGATCTTTAAGTTTAATTCATGACATTTGTCATTATGGCAACGTCTCACCATTTCTCCAGCAGTCTCCAGGGGAAATTAAGAGTGTTTTTTTATCTACTTATCTGCCCTTCTAAATCTCCCACAATCCCCCACCCCCTGTGACTCTAGCGTCTAATCAGGGATGAGATTCTCAGGGAAGAAGGAGCAAACTAACTTTATCTATACCAATTAGGAAGGACAAATATGGAGGAGAAATGATGAAACAGTTACTCAACAGAGTATTTCCAGAGACCAAAGCCTGCATTCCTCTCTTGAAGTAGGAGGCTCTTCCACTGATGGTGTTTACTCAAAGACGGCTCGTTTTAAACAAACAGAATAAACATACTGAGGAGCTGAGCTGCTGTTGGCTAGGTGAGGTGAGGGAACACCAGAAGCAGGAAGGCGAAAAGAAAACATGGTATCCTGAAGTAGGACAACACCTGTTGAAGGAAGTTTGATGGAGTTAAGAGGGACTAGAAGAGGAAGAAGAAGGGTTCCTATGAGATATTAGTTTACTGTTTGAAACAACATTTAAAAAGACCATCTCATCATCTAATGTTTATTTTTCATTACACCTGCACACGTGTCTTAAACCTTAGACCACTGCTTGCTCAGGTTTCATTTGGGTGTGGCCATGCTGAGGATTTACTGTGGTCACCCAACCCTGAGCTTGAAAATGAGTCATAGAGAGGTGCTGTCCCGTCTTGAGAGCAGAAAAGCCAAACAAGCCGAGGAGACGTCAAAGATGACAAATTTACTTGGCAAATCTGATTCCTGCGCAGTCACAAAAGATACAATAGTTCACTGATAGGTGTTTTTAAAGGAGCTCACCAAACAAGAGACAAAGCACAGGTGTAAACAGTAACCACTCATGTGATGGTTTCAATCCCTGAGGCGCATCACTTTTCAGGGTCCTCTGGGGGTAGATCAGATGGGTTCACAGGAGCACTTTAATAATACAGATTCTCAGTGATTCTCTCCTACTCTCAAATACTGTTTTTTGATATATGTCTGTTTCTAAAACAAAAAGACTGTCATAATAATGATATGAGGTAAAGTCACACTTAAGCCTTTGCAGAGATTGTGTTCTTAGCAATGAAATAATGTGTATGTGTAAGTACTGGATCTGTGTTTCTATGAGTTAGATTACCCTGAAGAGTAGGGAATCAGCAAAAAAAAAAAAAAAAGAAATCATGCATCCCTATAAATAATCAGTTAATAATCAACAAAAAAGTAGGTTAAAAGAAGTGAAGCAATTTTCAGTTAGTGGCAGCCCTGTTTCACATGTCATCGGTTGCATCCTGTCACTGTTAGATTTGCATCAGCTTTCAACACCTCTACACCAAGTGCAGCAGGACTACACTCTGTCTTACTTTCAGTCTGATTGCATCTTCAGGCTCCAGCTAGAGGTTGCAAATGTAATTTAGGTCCAAATATATAGACAAGGATGTAAGACGTCCTTGGAAAAAAAACAGATGGTTGGAACAAATCACTTATTCCTAATATCAATCATAAAGAAAGCCCAATACTGTAAACAACAGGTGTGCATTAGACAAACCAGAACACCACTGGTTTCCCCCTCGAGTTGCAAGTGGCAGCACTTGACGTCTTGGTTTGTTTTATTTACAATAAAACAGCACTTGATGCGAAATGCAAAAAAATATGATAATAATCAGTGCTTGTTGCAACGCCTTCTCTCTGCATTCCTCCTCAGGACACGCACTCATCATCAAACTTTCTCACTCACAAAGAGGAGAGGGAAATCATTACTAGAAATGGACGAGGGAGATTCCAGGGATTCCTGATGAGCCTCTAGTCAGTGAGTATGTGCTGAAGCGTGAGTGGACATGCTAGTTTTCAGTGTGTCCGCCTGTGTCACTGTAGAGGAACTTTAGGAATTTCCTTTGTTGACGCCCCCCCCCTTCCCAAACAAGGGGGAGGAGGGAGGCACTTTCCCACACCACATATAGGCCTTTTCTCTAAGAGGGGAGCTGGAATAGTCGCTGATAAACAGCAGAGGAGGCAGACAGGGGCCTTGGTTGGGGTTGCAACATGAACACACACGCATTTAGAGAGTCGTATTTCTTTCTGCGGACAGATTAAATGCTGCTGTCAGTGTCCCTGGGAAGCAGGCTGAACCAGTCGGGAATAAAGAAAAACATTGGACATGTTTACTGACACACAAAATAGTGACTCAAAGAAGGACAACTTACGAATTGCAGTATGGTCTCTTCTCGAAGCCTTTGTAATTCTTCATGTTTAGAGTCATTTTGCAGACTTCGCAGCTGAAGCATCCTTTATGCCAGTACTGTCAGAGACAAGAGAGACAGAGGAGACATTAAATGTTAAAGAGGCAGAGATCTGTGACATTTCTTTCACCTTTCCCAAGCAATATACAATACACACACACACACACACACACACACACACACACAAACACCCATGCTAGCACAGGAGAGCTAATTGAATGAGTAAGGCCAGAACTACTTTTTATTCCCTTGAGGTTTCACAGCCACAGGCGCTAGAGACAGAAAGAGGAGTGAATGTTAAGACTTTGTGGGAAAAAAGGAGAGCAAAGTGGGAACAGAGTAGTTTGTGTTTGCAATCACAAGTTACCACCAGTGCCCTCTTTTGCTAACAGGCTGAGTGGTTGAGTGGTTCCTGTTTATATGTGGACAGATCTGTATAGTCTAATTTTGTGCTGTCTTTTTTTATGCTTTTTTAATGACTTCAAAAATGTTGATTTCTGCATATATGGTAAACTAAAGTGGCTCTGCTTTGTGCCAATGTCAACCGCTGTGATTGGTCAATAAAGCATAGATAGATATTTGTGCTTGATATGGATGGAGTAAATACTCAAAGCAGTTACGCTGTAATCAACCAAAGAAATTCTTGGTCGACTGAAACCAGAAATTTTCGTCCAAAAATCGACCCTTTTGCGGCGGGGCACGACGCGGCTCAGTGGAGTATGGCTCCACTGGCAGGGGTCAAGATACACTGATATCGGCACAAGAAGACAATTAAACACAAAAGGCTTAAATATAAATAGCATGGACGGATAAATAGCATGGATGGGTAAATAACGTGGACGCTCTTCAATCTCCCTGTCTTAAGCTGGTCTCCAGTAGGTTGGGCGAATCTAAAATGGTGAAAACAAGGGGGGTGTTCTGAGACAGGCCGTTACCTGTGAAATGGGGGTGCTCAGAAAACACCCCCATTTGCACTTTGTATGTTCCTCCTGATGAAATTAACTGTAGACTGTAAATTGACACGGAAAAAAATCGAGTCAACCAATCAAAACTTTGGTCGACTCAGCACATATCGACCAATAAGTCGACCTGTCAACTAGGACTTTACAGCCCTACAAAGCAGAATCAGTGATAAAACCCTGGCTTTAGGGGGGGGGGACATCCACTCAATGATCATGACAGCTTGACCAGCATCTCCCTGCCTGTTCAACCTTTGTCTGTTCCAGACAGACATCTCACCTGAGCTGCTTTCTTGGTTTGTTTGTTTTTTCCACCCAAGTATCTTTAATTGCCTGTGTGTTCATTGCGCAGAAAGGGAAACCTGTTTAGATAATCTGACTTTCTTTACAACATTTGCTAACAACCAACACTGTGGGTGTTTGAGCCTAAAAACAACAAGATGACCTAATGTTAGCAACAGATGAGCACAAAGCTCAATCAGGGATTGCTGTGTCAAGAGAGTGTCTTAAAGAGACAGAGTACTCCATTTACTAAACTTCAATAAAAACAATGCACATATTAATTCTGCGCATGCCAATAAACTATGATCTGAAGCTGGACCACATGTGCCACTATCATTATTCAGACATTCCTCAAACAAACAGCATTCTCAATTTGTAATCATAGCACGACAATCATATTCTTGCCAGATTGCCCAGCCCATCTGCAAATCACAGTTTGAGATTCTTTCTGACCACCCTCCTCTAATCTCTGAATGTTTCACAAACTCCTCCATCAGTCTCTCTAAACATCGTCCTCCCTTCCTCCTGTCCACTTGCCCTCTCGCCTCCCTTCGTTTTCCCTCCTGGCACTGGGCTGATCTGCGGCCTGAGGGTTCAAAGAGGGATTGAGGGAGGAAAAACTAGAAGGAGGGAGGAAACATGAAAGGAAGAAGCCGGAGAGCGCAATAGGATGGGGCATGTGGGGGGAGGGGGTGTCTGAGGGGGGAGAAAACGCCAGAGAGTGAAGCAATGATCTGGCTGCTCCTGCTATCATCAAGGGACAAGAGGGAGGAGTGCAGAGACACCGAAAGAGCAGAGAAGATTGGGAGGGAAAGAAAGGCAGAGTTCTTGTTAACATGGCCTCAGGGTACTCTGTCATCCTTCTCGTTCTTTCTCCCACTCTTTATCACTCTCTCTACCAATTGCCCCCACACAAAACACTAATCTTCCTAACAAACAGTGCAGGAAAGATGATTCAAAATGCTAGAACACATCAGAGTAGAACATTAGTTCCTTAATGTTGCCTTTACAAACACATGCACAAAACAAGCTGACTCCACATGGTCTCTTCAGGGAAAAAAACAGAGTGATACCAACAAAAAAAAAAAAAAAAAAAAAACATCACTCTCCTGCATACACTATGGTAACTAAGAGAGCATAAACTACACTGATTCACAGTGTGCGATAAACCAACAGGAAAAGAAGAGCCACTATTTATGAAAGCTATACATGGACAAGGACCAGAGCGAATAGAAGTACGTCTGAATACAGCACAACGAGTGTGTCTTCAGGCTGGATTTAAGAGAGGTCTTGTGTGTTGTGACTGGATGTGATGGACCACCCAAGGTTGCAACAAGGGAAGTAAGTGTGCATTTGACACGGTGTCTGTAGCTGTGGGCCAGCAATATTGTACCAAAAAAGGGGGAGGGGCTGTATGTCAAAATCCAGCCTCAGCTCTGTTGCTGTGATCCACAGCCAAACACACTGGACCAAGCTTTCAAATGCAAACTCCTTATCCCTCTTCTCTCCAACCCAGCGAGGCCTGAGGGAGCTGCACATGGACACATCATGTTCCTCTTTCCACTGCTCTCTCCCTCTCTATTGTTCTGGTTAGTACTGCAATGGCAAATCCCCTTACAAACAATAACATACTGCAGGCAGATTCCATTTCCTCCTGCTTCAGCTGATCTGCAGCTGTGGTGGCCGCCATCTTTACATATGTCTGGTTCGTTTACTCATAGGGTAGTAGCAGTCATATACAGTAGTCTCAACAAATTTTAGTTAGTCCCATATGAATCTGTAAAATCAGACTGTCCAGGAATAGAGCCCTGAAGGAAAGGAAAGGTGTAGACTCAACTGAGCCTATCAGCTGAGCTGACTATGAACTTTGATACTGCTGCTGTTTTTCAGGACAAATATTGACCTTGGGTGTACCCCACAGAACAAACCCTCTAAACACGAGTGTTTAGCAAACTTTTCCAAAGCCTCACAAAACCTGCTAACCCACATTTCACTGTGACAATCCTCATTACCCTCTAGACTTAGCCACATGGGTAACATTACCCTCTCAGGTGGACAAAGGTCAAACCATTTAAACTCCAACGCTGTATCAGGATCAAACAGGAGTAGGCCTGGGTGATAAACAGAAAATTTACCGATACAGAAATTTACGACAATAGCTGATGTCATTTTGCCCCATGTCAATATATTCAGTGTCAAAAAAATAAATAAAAGTTGGTTTTGGATTTGTGTAGGCAGGCTATGGCCTTATGTCCCTTTAAGACGCTGTCCTACGTCAGAGACATGACTCCACCCCATCCAGTCGGTAACAAAGAGGGAAAGACAGGTGAGGAGATGTAGGACGGTTCAAAAATTGTGGCGGCTGGAATGGCAGCTGAAGTAGACGGAGTTAATGTGGGAGGGGGTGAGCAGCTTGTGGAGTAGTTATCGTCCATCTATCGTTATCGAGGTGAACTGCTCAATAGATCGTGATATTGATTTGAGGCCATATCGCCCAGCCCAAAACAGGAGCATCTCCAATAAAGGTGCAAATATTCAAAGAGGGCACCAAACTATGCTGGCATAGCAACCTAAACTAGTCACAGTGTAAACATTGCTTCTTAAATACATTCCTGACATGTTTACAGGACAACCTGGTAAACTTTGATGTTAAATCGCTTTGCATCTAACAGCTGCAGGCTTCTTCCCTTACAGTACGGCTGAGCACACAGATTTTCTGCTCAGCAGCGGTTGCAGTTTCTCATAGATAAAATCAAAAATGCTCAGAGAAGTGAAACATGATAAGAGGTCACCGGACACATTTGAAATACATTCAAATGCCAAGTGTTTTGCCACCCATCTGAACGAAGACACAACGGTCATACATTCTGGATGATATAAGGGGTCTGAGGCGTGCACATGAGGCACAGGATTGAGCTGAATAGATGCCAAAGAGGAAGGAAGGAGCAAGAAACATGCCAAATGTGTTTTCCAGAGACCATGCAGCAGTTAGCCCTGTCCAGCTCCAGGACAACCTGGCTCTTCCCAGCCTGGATCTGGCAGTCAGCTGGAAAATAAGGACACTGCAGAGACGGAGCCCTAGAAATAAAACACACATGAAAAAAAAAAAAAAAAAACGCACTGTCTTCCTGCATCAGTGCAGCTCAGGGGCACGTGTGCATACTTGTCTTTATGTGTGCCTGGATATTAACACTGTGTGTGTGTGGGTGTGAACTTGTAGTGTATGTAGGTTACATGTCTAAATGCATAATGCATGTGTGTCAGCAGAGATCTAAGGCTCCAGACAAGAGCAAAAATGCTCAGTCAGCCTCATGGCCCTCCCTCTTGGTGAGCACCAGTGACAGTTTAGCCAGGACCAAAACCCAGGGACACAAACACTAAACCTGAACCCCATGTATTAAGGCTGGGCGATAAAACAATAATGATATATATCAAAAATTGATTTTCCTCGATATCGATATGAAACATGGTCACTATGCTTTTCAATAGTCTGCATTCTGCAATGTTTTAGTAGACTAAACAAGCCAATGAAAAGAGGAGTTGCTTCAGGTCCGTGCCACGCTGAACCAATCATGTGCTGAATTAGAACCAAGTAGCAAACAACTGTGTAGTAGCAAACTGCAGCTACACTCAACCATAGCACTTCAACACGTGAAGCTGACAGCACTTTTGGTGGGGAAAAAAGGAAATGTGTGCTACCCCCTGACAGAAATGCAGATGAAGGCTCAACAGATGACAACATTGTCAACAACACTGGCATGAAAACGTCGGTGGTGTGGAGGTATTTTGTTTTTTTGAGGTTGGACATGAAGCAGAGTAAAATGTGCACTACAAATTATGTCGAGAACATGTTCTCGCAAAGTCGGTTAATACCTCAAATCTTTTTCACCATCTGAAGCAGTGCCACGTGCCAGAGCATGCGCAATGCAAAAGTTTACAAACCCCGAGCGGAGCAAGTGCAAAGCAGCCCATGGCACCTGTGCAGCCAAAACAGCCAACCATTCAGTCCGCTTTCTCTAGCACAACACCTTACAACAATAGTTGAACAGACACAAAGACCTCACAGATGCAGTAGCTTATTGTATTGCAAAAGACATGCTGCCAATAAGCGCTGCTAAATTTCATTAAAGAGTAACAGGGAACATTTAAGATTGACGAGTGATTTTTTTATATCGTGATAAATATCAATATCAACTGATATGAAAAAAAATACATTGTGATAAACTTTTTTCTATTTCGCCCGGCCCTACCATATATGCTCGGTCACACAGCACACACAGAGGAAGAGTTTGTGGGTATCTGCACAGGGACTTCCTCTCACATACAACATCAACAGCAGTTTTCGTCACTGAATGCTACAGGCCTCTTCCTTCGTCAATATCAGTCTCAAAAAGGAAGAGATGTCACTTCTTTTGCCTTCTGAAAAAACAACAACACATTCACCAAAACATCTGTGATTTTGATGGAGACTGTGTTTTGGCTCAGTAGAGTGGGTACCTTACAAGTGCCTGTGGAGTAGAACTTAGCTGGTGTTGACATCCACACTGATTAGATGATCCCTGGCTTTGTTACTTTATTTCTAACTGAAAAATTACAAGTCTTCTTACTCTACTGTCCACCATAGATGGATTTTTCCAGTCCACCTAGTAATTCTCAAATGGAGCATCAAAGGCATTTAGAGCCTTGTAACACTGAAGGGCATCCTAGTTCTGACCCTAATGTTATATTTCATGATTCTTGGTCAAGTGGCCCCACAGTAAACCCCTTTTGCTATGTTTCTCAGCGGCTTAGTGGACCTATGGTTTAAAAGAAGCTGCAAACTATGATGTTAGACTCAAACCAGCAGCAGCCTGATGACTCAAAAACCCATTCACATGCACTCAGTAGGTCATTAGAGCGGGTTTTCGTGCAGAAGATTATTCATGCGTTAGATATGTTGAAAGACAAAGAGCCCACATCTGGCTGGTTCTAATAAAAGAAACCCTATCTATCTCATTACAGCATGCTGGTTAATTATTTGCTTACCTGATGCCATTAAGCAAAGGGCTCTGATGTTTACCAGCAGGCATAGCAGACACTGTTTTTAACAGACAATGCTATGCTGGATTAGCACACTTTAACACACTTTTCAAACCACTTCAGACCACAACATGCACTCACACACAACGACACACAGTGCTGCCCCCACAATCAGACATTAAAACACGTGATTCACAGCGAAACCCAGAAATTAAACATAGTCAGGGGGAAAGTTAAAACACTTCTGCCTAATCCAAATTCATCTGTGTAACTCACTTTCCAAAAGTCCAATAATGTTACTGTTGGCCTGATTTGAGGGTGGTTATGATGGTACTTGTATAGTTTGACTCATAATAATGGTTTTAAATTTCATGATTAGTATGCATTCATTTATTTCACATTACGAGCCCACACCACTTTGTTTCTGTGTCTTCATGGTTTTCTTCATACTGAAAGCTCATATGCCAAATGAAGGTTCAGGACTGAAACTTCACTACATGTTAATTTTTGCATGTTAGACAGTGTGAAGAAGTTTCGCACTTTCTGAAACACTGCTGTATGACAATACCATAGTGTACATTCATAAAATAATGCTTTAAGTCCATCAAAGAAGTGAACATGGTGTACAGGGTTTTTTTCCCTACAAGCTTAACAGCACACAGCACACAGTAGGGGTGGAAATCACTGGTGGCCCCACGATATGACTACGATAATTGGGCCATCATACGATATTATCATGATACCTGGGCCACGATACAATATGATCATAATACTTGGGCCACAATACGATATTATCACGATACTTGGGCCACGATACGATATTATCATGATACTTAGGCCACGATACGATATTATCACGATACGATATTATCATGATACTTGGGCCATGATACAATATTATCATGATACCTGGGCCACGATACAATATTATCATGATACCTGGGCCACGATACAATATTATCATGATACTTGGGCCACGATACGATATTATCATGATACGATATTATCACGATACTTGGGCCACGATGCGATATTATCATGATACTTGGGCCACGATACAATATTATCATGATACCTGGGCCACGATACAATATTATTATGATACCTGGGCCACGATATTATCACGATACTTGGGCCACGATACAATATTATTGCAATTTTTAACATTTTGCTACCGTGAGTATTGCAATACCATATATTGCAATTTATAGTTTTTTTCAGCTGTTTAGCTAATGTAGCATTTGTCTTTGCTTTATTTTTTTTTATTTACAGTGTATTTTATTTTTATGTAGCATATCTTGCAAACCTTATATATTTGTTGTAATATCTGTCTCCTACTCTATGATGTCACCTCTACCAACCTCACTAGACGAACAGTTGACTTTATTTTTCCATTATCATAGATTTGACTTTATATTAGCAATTTAATTTGAAAAAATCGATACTTGGTAAAGGAGACGATATGACATATCACCAGAAAAAATAATATGTGGTATCGATTTTTTTCTCCCACCCCTAGTACATAGAGTTGGCTCACTTCTCCCTAATTCCCTCATTTCCTCACACTCATTTCCCATATTCAGCCAGACTATGTCATATGCATGCATTACCCATAAGGCCACTTTGCTTATAAAATTGCAACACGTTCTGACTAACTGACCAATAAAAACTGCTCATCAGCTAACAGTCTGGTGTCTTTTGGCCTCCTTCCTCTCTTCAGAGGAAACAATAACAACCCTCAGTATTGGTTCATGTTATGTTTAACTGCACAAAAAAGAAGTACACGGTGGCTCATTGTGTAGTCAACACCTCATCTGATAATGACTGTTATGTGTGTTTGTGACTGTGAGTCATTAAAGCAAGGTGACTGTTAGTGGTTGGACAGATTGCTCACCTCTATTTGCTTCACAGGACATGAATCAGCCTTCAAAAATAATCCTTCTATATATAAAAAGGCGCCATTCAAGCTCTCAATGCCAGAGTCAGAGGAAAAGTGTTGACACTGGACCATCAGAGAGCCGATGAATGCAGACAATCCTCCTATAAAATTTGTGTAATGCTTCAACATGAAAAAAAGGAAGGAGCTTAGTGATTACTCGTTGCACACTGTGGGCAACAAATTAGTTCAGGGTTTACGATGTAAGCTGTACAGACCGTACAGAGCTGCACAAGTTGAATACTGTACTCCCCTGACCTTTAACCCCCTTCCTCAGTCATTTCCTGGGATAGAGAAGCAGCATTACAATAAGGCTCACATGTTGGCCAGAAAGACCACACTGAAGCCAACACAGGCTGAGTAATAAAAAACAAACAAATCAGTTACAACTCGAGGACAGAACTCAAGTATGTCAGATTTATCAAATCGTGAAGCAAATCAAGTATGAAATCAGATTTTTACAAACACTTCTATCAATGACAGCCATGTCTGAAGATTTCAGATCATGTGAGTGCAGCCACTTCTTTTGCTACCTACCAAGCTGAGTTTGTGAGGATGTGTTTTGACTCTTTTCTGAAACAACTTTATCAGTCACAAGCCCATCATTACTCTATTCTGTGGCCTATTGTTGGTATTTAAAGCAACATATGGGCTAAAAACTATTTTTGACACATCTATTACATTCAAAACAACTATAAGAAAACCAAGATTTGATTAGAGTGAAATTAAAAATATATATATATTCCTGAAATTAAATGAGAAACTGTCTTCTCTTGTCTCATATTTGAGTGTGCAACTTGGGCTGAGTTAAGAGTCAATGAAAGCTGTGCTGCGTTGTTCTCAGCCCGTTTCCTCAGTGTCATATGTCTAATGATGACCAAACTTTTCTTGAGAATTGAAGATATAAAAAAATATGAAGCTGTGTTTTTCCCTTATATGGGTCTTAACAACAAAGCCCACACAAGATATTGAACAGCTAATCTTATTTGCCTTGCTTGTCATGGCATACCTAGCTGGAGGGAGAGTGATTCAGACGTGACACAGACACACAGGATATAAAGGCAGGTTGAAGAGATGCCTATTTAGTTTGCATCTTTGTATCTTTGATGATTATTAATACCAGAATCAGAGTGAGCTTTAACAGCTTTTAATAAAAGCTTAATAATCAGCTTGATATCTGTCCACAAGAATACTTAGTTACATCTCTGGCTAATATCAAGTGAAAACACTTATTTTGACCCAAATAACAAATGCTTATATTTGAAACTTAAGCATAAAGGATGGATAAAGATACACCAGTCAGTTGTTAGCACTATTTATGGACAGATGTAGAATGAGGAATCTGGAAATTCTTTGCTGATTTACTGCCAGAAAACAAGTAATCGTCCCTCATAATGTACCGCTAAAATGCACCTGCTCATGTTATCTTATGAGATCTGGCAAGACTGTGTCTCCTCCTTACCAGCAGGTAGAAACAGGCCTTGTAACCTTAGTATGTAAGATGTAGACAGCACGTACAGATAGGAAGTACAAAGACACTCCAGCAGATACAAGTGCTTCAGCGAGAGATGAGCTTCGAGCTTTCAGCGCTCAGCACTGATCTCTCAATTTGTCTTAAAAACACATGCTTCCTGAGTGCTGCAAATGGCTGTTAATCTTTTAGAAGCACACATACAAATCATTTTAGTCTATCCAGACACTACATATAGACCTAAATGTGCCTTATTCAACCTTTACAGCTTGAAAAAGGGCTTCCTGGTTACTGGTTTCCACTGGCTCCAATCCAAGGGGCCCTGAACTCAATCTACAAAAAGCTACTTAAAAAGATGTGACTCAGTCTGATCCACATTTGTGGTTCTGAACTCATTACCATCAACAAGGGGTTTAAGAATTGATGGGATGCCAAAAAACAACAACAACAAAAAAAATGCATCGCCAACATGAAACTCAAATTCACTTCCTGTCTTTACATGTGCTCAGCTTCCTGCTCCCTCTGCTGGGCCCTGCCTCGCTATACTGGAATGCAGCTGACAGACACACATGCGTCTGTAGCTTTGTGTCTCTACAGAAGGATCTTATAGAGGCAGACTGTCAGGTAAACGGTACTCATCTGCGGCTGAGAATACCAATGTAGCTGCAGCCTCTACCTAAGCTAGCCTAGCACACAGGAAAATCCCCAGCCAGTATGTCCTTAAAACAAAACAGAAGGGCAGTGTGTGGGTGTGCCAAAGAGAAGGAAAAAGGGAGGTTGTTTTGGCCCGTGTGAAGGTTTGAGCGCTGATGCAGAATGGCAGTGAAGACAGACGGCAGGCTACTCTCCTGTGCTCGCTCCAGAGCAGGAAGACACAGCAGGCCTCTGACAGAGCACGTTTTATGGGAGTGTCTGTCTGCTGGAATGCACTCTTCTTCTGCTCCAGGCCAGATTCCAGCGAACATCCAGGCTGTTCTTGTGGCAATTTGATTCTCATCAATAACAGCCGTCTCACACGAGTCACATTTCTATGATTGGTTGGCTTTGAGCATGAAGATGTCTTGAGAGGTAAATCAATTCCAGTCCAGAGCACTTAAGAAAACATTAGTCATTGTGCATTCAATTTTACATCTATGCTGCTGAGGAGAAATGCATCAAATCAAGAGTTGATTTTACTTCAGATAATGTGTTAGTGTGCTCTTTCCCTACTTTTCCTGTTCCCTTAACCCAATAGATAAGCATGTCTCAGCAGGGAGACAGGTATTGTTTTTCACTGGACACCCGTTTGACAAATTACTGACTGTCCTCAAGCGCTCCTTCAATAAAAATACACAAACATTGTTGTGTGTATTAGGGGTGGGACAGAATATCAATATGGCAATAAATCCTCATCCTATCTTGTTCAGTTATTGTATCATTTGTACTTTCAATTTTGGACCGTGGCACTCTGGATTTCTCCGCTCATTTTGGCTGATTACTTCATGATTCCTTACAATGGTGCTATAAACATTCATCCTCAAAACTACCTCTTAAACTGAATGTTTATATTCTTTACTATATAGGACACTGTGAAGATCATTAAAAGGGTGTCTTGCAATTGATCATCTGTCCAATAGCATGTTATATCCTACTAATAACAGCAGGCCCCACCCATCAGTAAGTCAGCTGTGTTGCATGTTTATTATATTTGCTCTAAAGTTTTGATCTATCTTATGACAGCAGCTTTTAATACACGGAATTATCATCATAAAATCATTATCTAGAGCTTTGGAAAACTTACAAGAGGTCACAGGAATAAGACTGTTCAACTTAATTTGTTGCCTCAACGTGAATTAGAGATCTCGACAGAGACAATATGGGTAAAATTGACAGGATTACAACTGTGATTGAGATTAGGCTCCTGTCTCTGAGTGGAAACTAATCGAGGTTGATCGACTAATCATACCTGACTTGGATTAGCAAGTGAATTAGACAAGAGACAGACACGGTCCAGACCAGTCCACGCTGCAGCCTCGCATAGTCATGGCACTAAGATCCTGGTTATACAGTGCATGTAACGCTATGAAACGGAATTCTGGCGCTTAGTTTCTCATAGGTTTAACTGCTGCGGTTTAGAGGAAGGTTTCAGACGTTAGCGAAGGTTTTTCCTCAAAGCAGAGGTGCAAGCCAGGCCCAAACCCAGCTCGTCTGGCGGAAACGCTATGAGGCGCTGGTTCAGGCTAAATCAATAATATAGCCTACAGCCATTGCTTTGATGAAAATAAGACAAATTCTGTGTTTTGGGGGGAAGCCATGATACTCAAACGTGTTTCCTTTTCATCCGTTGACCGAGTTCTTATGCTAGTGCCTTCCAGACGTTAAGCTAGCCGTTAGCCTGTCTTGCTAGCGAAATACCTGTCCTGTTGGGGTGTTCAATTCATTCACAAAAAACATGTGAAGGGTGTGATTTTCCACCACAGTAAAAATGAAAGCACTCGGGAAACATGAGAGGGAGCTTTGTGGAGATTATATTTTAAAGCGGAATAAGAAGAAAGGCGGTTCTTTCATGTTCTTACCTTGTCCAGACAATTCACTTTTTCCGTGGGGTAAACGACTCGATTACATCTGCCACACAACGGATTCATGTTGGAGGAATGCTCTTCTAGCTAGTTAGCACCGAAACCGCCGATGAAACTGGTTGTAGCTGTGTGCTGTTGAGTACACACTTAAAAACTAGCCACACTGATTGATTATGACCAGTTGAAGACCAACACTAATTCAGTTGAATAAAGCAAATCCGGGAGGTTGTTGTTGTCGTTGTAGCCGCACAGCTGGCTGTCAGTCCACCAACCAGACACGGAAAGCGCGTGCCTGCTTCCCCCCCTCTACCTCCCTTCCTTCCTCAGCTGCGCGTTCACGATCGAAAAGGGAAGAGGCCGTGTGGGAGGTTCAATTTTTGGGAAGTAGGGTTTTGATATCGTTCAAAGGAACTGTATTTTGAAAATTTAGATATTAACTTTCATGACACATGTACTGCTTAAATAATAAGTGACATTGTCTCATGTGTTGTAACTGAAAGGGAAAGAATTTCGATCCATGAACATGTGCAGCACACCCGTCCTGATCCCAGCTGTGCTTGCATAACAAACTCATGCGATCATCTCTATTGTTGCAGGTTTGGAAAGGGGTTTACCAATTCAATGATCACATTTTTACACATCTGCCACGTTCACTGCATGCCCTACTTGACTTCACTAAGATACATTTGGGTAGGATGACATCTGCTGACCAAAGTGTGGTACTATACCCTCTTTCTAATGGATTTTTCTCACAAATAACAGTCAGTATGAAGTCTGATCAACAGCAGTTATGTTTGACTTGAAAATTTAGAATAAAAAAGAATAAACCAGCTATGGAGGATTCAAAGAAAATGCAGAATCTGTAGAGTTAGTATTTCTTTCAACAGTAGGATCTAACACTGCAGCACACTCAGATCTAGTGTTAGGGGGATTTTTGGATGTGTTTTGTGTGCAAAGGTGTCTGTGTATTTTTTGTAAAGGCCTTGTTGGTCCAGCAGGTGGCATATGTACTGTGGTGTAAGGGTACAAATGGAAGGTAAGATAATTACTGGGAGGTGAGCACCACACCTAGGGAGGCTCATTTTTCTGACCATGGTCTTTGTTACATGAGTCATTGTTAAGCTTTTGTGTGTTTTGCACATATGTTAGTTATCACCATAAGCACACATAGATACACGTAGCTGTTGTTGTGTCTGAGGACTAAAAATAAATGCTATTGTATCATCGCATCAAAGTTTGAGGACTCAACCATTTAACTGAAAATCCTTCAAGGACGTGTCAAAGAAGACAGCCTGAACCCCGGTATAGCTTCCCCTTTGTGGAGTTTATGCATTTCAACAGGAGAAATCAAGTCACTTCAATCACTTTGACAAAACAAGCACAGTTTGGGGTTTTCAGAATTGTTTTGCACTTTATTGCAGTCATATTTGGTCACATTTTAAAATGAATAATTTATTCCAGCAGAAATGATCACTTCTATTGAAACAATTTGATATCAAACAAAACTTACCAACCTCAACAGTTGCAATAAGTTCGTCTTTTTATTGGAACCCCGGGTTGCTTAAAAAACTTATATACAGAATGTAAAGGCTGACTTGTTTTGGGCATAAGAGTGTGATTAAAAATGTATAAACTGGGTTCATTCTAGTCTCTTGTGTTTCCATCAGTAACTTCAACATGGCCCAGCTTCAACAATACAGGCCTTTTCATGACCTTCGCCCTCCACTTCTGTGTAACCAGGCTGCGGCTTCTTAAACTTCAAGGAAGGCCAGTAGTTCTTTCGACGCTACAAAAAACAAAAAAACATGATGTAACAATGTGATACAGTAAAGGCATGTCTTGCTTCTGTCAGGACAGGTGTAGGACACACTCAGTGCTCACCTGGATGAGGTACAGTGGTGATGCAGAAGTAGGATGATAGTTAATGTAAAGAGCGACAAGAATCAGAGCCAAAAGTAACACCAGTGCAGCTGCTATACCCGCTATCACTCCTGTGTTTGCCAACACGTCACCCCTGGATGAAGAATCTGTCCTCACATCTGTGTAATAGAAAGATTATTGGTTGTACCCTTTCATAGAACCGAACACATTTTTTCTCAAGTATGAACTCACCATTTCCTGTCTTAAATATATGATGTTTGGTCTCATCTGAAAGGGAAGAGCATGCATTCACTTTTTTATAAATTTCATGGCACTTAAAAAAACATGTTGCAGTTTAATCATTATACAACAGGAAATAGTATCTTGACCCACCATCACTTATACAGCCTTTCTGTAGGGGAGTCAGAGGGGTCTCATTCTCAATTTCCGGTATGATAGAGGAACTAGTAGAGCTGTCGACCCTAGAGTACTCATCACAGGCTCCATCTTCACTCTAAGTAACAAAAACATTTGTAAGTCTCAGACAGCAAACAACCAGATATTCACTCCTGGTGATCAGCAGTACCTCCTCTGAACAGCTATAGTCTAGCCATTCTTGTCTGTGTCTGTCCATGCCATCAGAACACCTAAAACACACAGCATGTTTGTAACTCAAGGTTCAAACTGCACCGAATTTAAGTTTATCTGTACTCGGCCAACACTGCACTCACCTCTGCAGCACATTGCACCAGCTGCAGCCAGAGGTTTGGTTTGAAGAGAGGCAGAGTTCACAGCTTTCATGTTGCAGGCAGGCTGAACAGAAAGAAAGAAAAAAGTATTTCTGTATAAGATGAGAAAGGCTTTATTCATCCTTTTTTATGGCGAATACCACTGATCATAGCAGTATATCTAAAGACAAGCTTAAATCTAATAAATTAGTGACTAAAAATGGAAAATACAGAAGCAATCACTCAGAAGTCACTCAGAATCCTTGCACGGGTTAGGTTGCAGGGGTGTCCGAAATACAGAAGTCAGTTAATAAAAAATTGTTGGTTAGGACACATATAAACATGTCAACCTATCCGTGCTAATATTATCATTCAAAGAAAAATGTAGGGGAGACCGGGGATGATTGTAACAAGAGAAGAGTTGCAATATGACCATTTTAGCCAGAAGTCCCATGATCATTTCAGTTAGGTGAAGATGATTTTTGAGGCTTTGTCTTGTTTGTACAGACTTTGATGTATGAAAGTAAAGTTAAAGTAAATATTTTTAATCTCTGTATTTTGTTTTGTACTCACACTATTGCCAATAAAATCTCATGATATATTGAGTTAAATTGTAGTTTTCAGGCAAAATGTCATGAATTCTTTACAGTCTATCTTCAAACCACTAAACTGATACAGCTCACTGAACTGGTTGATAAGTGAGGTTGATTTTTAACATGGCAAAAAAAAAAAAAGATTCTGCTCAGGAAGACTAGTTGATGCACTCCAACACGTTCACACACACACGTCTGAGTCAAACAGAAAGTAGATCAAAGTTGTGGTCACTCACAGGAAAAGCGGAATCATTCAATCGCTTTTGTTTTACTTTAGCAAACCTCTTTCACATGTTGTGGTCTCTGCTTTTGCATATTTTGGCTATTAGTCACATAAGGATCACCTCACAAGGTGTATGATATTCTCCCACAGGATTCCCTTTTGTATTTTATTCTTTTGGCTCAAATTTTTTGGTATACAAATGCGAAAACTTTGAGCTAAAAAAATGTAGTGAGTAACAGGTGCTGAAGCAAAAATAGTTACAACCATCTTCGGTCTACCCTAGCAAGTCTCCAGATATAAACTTTAGTAATTGCAAATTCCAAGTAACAGTCGTACATCCTACAAAGATTAATAAGTGATATTTCATCTGAGAAAAATAGGGCAGTAAATATTTAAGCTAATGTGATCCAATACTGTGATAGATGAGGATCCTTTACTTGGCAGTGCAGTGAACTCAACAGCAGAGTAATTGGTGATCTTAGTTGTGTCAATCTCGACCCGATGGTACTCGTAAATGGTCCGCCTTTCCCCGTCTGTGTCAGAAAAATCACAGAGTTCAATATGTCAGTGTGTTCACGAGAGTTCACTACAGACAAAAGCATCATTTCTGACCTTGAGATGGAGAGGAAGGTGTAGTGACCATGAAGGCATCAGACAAACCGGCCTTTACAGGATGGTCAGCTGAGCTGATAAGATCTAACGACAGAGGAATCTGATAAACAAGTCAAAAGAGGAATAGGGATTAGATAGAGAAGAGGTTTAGAAAGTGAATATGAGACCAAAGAGGGGGGTGTTTCTCACATCTCTGTAGCTGAAGGTAATGGTTCCTGATTTGTGAAGCGCAGCCTGAAACGTAAAGGCTCCTGCTGACTCTTTTCCGGGGAGCCTGACCTGCTCCCACTGGACCACAAACACCTCACCTGCAAACAGCAGATATCCAACACTAGTCAGACAATGCGGATAATCCAGTACATCTCAGAAGTGAGACATGCTTCAACATTTGTTAGCATTTTACCATTATCCAGGTACTGCACTGTGGAGTCTTTGGAGTAGCTGGGGTCAAAGTTACCCATTAGAGGGGCGATGTACTGTGTAGCGGTCAGCATACGGTGTGTGATGTCTCCTGTAAAGATGAACCCTAAAACATGACCAGATGGGAAAACATGTTAGATGTGCAGCATGAGTAGCCTGTTACACTCCTGTACTCCGAAAATATGTAGTTAAGGTCACTTGAACATCTGTTATAAAAAGGAAGAGTACCTCCTGTTGCTATGGTGATCTGCCTCAGGTAATGCCCATAAAAAGGGAAGGCGAATGACAAGGCAACTCTCTGCAGGGAAAAGGGGTAAAAACAGGCAGAGAAGATATGTTTTAGTATCCATTTTTTTGCCATGTTTATTAGGTAAACTTAGTTTATTTTGAACTGACTGATCTTCTGAAGGGAGATTTTAAGTCATGAAGTTGGAGTATTCAGTTCTTTTTTTTTTGTACTGAAAGGAAATCGAAAAAGTTGGTTTGTGCTTGGGCAACAGAATTTGTTGTCTCTCACTGGAAGTTCACATTTGGATAAACCCTGTTGCTTCATCAGTTGTTCCAAAATCAGTCTGTTTCTCTGAGTTCTGTTGACTTTTAAACAATTTACTCAAGAGCACACATTAACAACAAACTTCAACATTCACACAAACCAGCACTTTACTGGTCTATTACCACCCTCTGTGATAATGGCTGGACTCATATTCCAGTCTGGAGCGAACAAGGGGGCACCCAGATTTGAACTGGGGACCTCTTGATCTGCAGTCAAATGCTCTACCCCTGAGCTATACCCCCACACACATTGTTATGTTTAGAAATAGACAAATTGCAAAAAAAAACCCCAACAACAACATTAAATCAAATTAATGAATCTTAATGCTGTCATGATAAGTATAAAGATCAACTGAGCAAACATATCCAACTCAAACCCATGATAAAAGTCATTACCCTAGAATAAAGTTTTTACCCTAAGGTGCAGTTTTAGTTGTTTCTGTGAACACCCAATCCAGTTTCTTTGTAATAACCCTTGGTTTCTGAGAGAACAGGACTATTTGTTCCACCAAATCTTGTTAATGTGAGCTGTGTGGCTTGTGTAGAAGCCAGGTGTTGAACAGGAGAGGTGAAGACCTGCCAGCAACTAACAGAATCAGGCAGGCATGTACTGTAGATTCAAACTGACAAGTCCCGGCTTCTTTGAAACAGTTTAGTGTTGGTTTTCATAATTGAAACTAAAATCCACTGTTGATAAAACACTAAAAAATACACAACTAGACGGCACTCAGACTTGAGCTGTTGGCCTTCTGATCTGCAGTTAAATACTGTTTGAGAGATCACCCCTGTGCAGATCAAAACACAGACAGAAATATAAAGCTACTTGATCCCACTCCATTATTCGCTTGCTAATCACAGTCAGTAGCACCTTTATTGATATCCTGAGATTTTTTAATTTCAGGATATCAATACCATTGGTTTTTAAGGTTTTTTTTAAAACATGTTAAAATGTTAAAAAAGAGAGATCAAAATGTTGAATAAGATTAAGATGAATATGTTCATAAACAGACCAAAATCTCATATTGAATAAAGTTCAGTTTAATTAAAACCAAAGCTGTAAGTAAGCTAACATGTCTTTGTTAAGGTGTTGAAATTTTATAGAAATTCAGTCAGGTATGTTTGCAGCACGCAGAGGAGCAGCTCAGTTTATTCAAAACCTAACTTTAAAGTGCATCAAGCTGTCAGTCTTTTACTTCTGTTAATTGCATTGATTATCACAAATCATTTAGCTCTATCAGACAGCTAGAGCGGCAGCGTTTAATCAACTCCTGAGAGCGGAGCCAAGAGTAACATCAGACCGAGGATTTTTTAGTCTAATACTTTAGTGTAGAGTCCACTGACTTGTAACAGACATTCATTCACAAAAGTATAGACATGCTGACGTATCTATTTGCATACTACTAATCTAAATTGTAATATCCATGTTCAGGTCTACTGGTATATGAATAAATGTAAAACCTGGGCCCTACCTCTCTCATCATCTTGTGAAAAAAACTTTTTTTGTACCTATGTTTATATTGGATTGATTGGGAATTGCTTATATCAAGTTCAATTTACACAAACTTTTCCTCCCTTTACTATTAATGAAGTCTTTAATTCTGTCTTCCCTCTTCAGTTTAAGTCCCCTCTTCTTTAAAAAGATCTAACTTTTTCTTAAGGAATTCGGTGCAACTGTTTCAGTGTTGCAAACATGGTGCAAATAAAGTGTTTATTGTACGCAAGAAGTATTAAGATTTGAAGCAGGAACCTTCTGATCTACAGACCAAGAGTCTACCACTAAACTACATCCCCAACTTCATTACTTCGATATCAAATACACAGACAAAAGAAAATGCTGATACTAAACAAATAATGAGCGAGCATTCTGACATATATCAGTTTTTTTTTCAGGATGTTTCTTACCTTTAAACAAAGATACTTCTGTTTTGAACAAAACAGAAGTATCTTTGCTGCAGTGCATTTTGTTAGAGCGTTGTCAAAGATGTGTTGATTTAATGACATTATTGCCGAGGACTCCCCCCCTCCCCTTTGTTTTCTTTTTTCTCTGTGTCCTATGACCATAAAACCAGATTAAAATTAACTGTCACCCAATCAAAGTTATTTAAGACATTCTTAAAAATAGCGTTTAAAAATAAACCTGTGGCTTAATTAAAAATTTCGGCCATAATAATACTTAAATGAGGGTTTGTGGTCATTTTACATGTGTGTGACTCACCACGGCCTGCTTGTATGAGTTTGACAGGATGCCATGGACCCTCACTTGTCCATGTCGAACGTCGTTCATGTCTACCCAGAGTTCCTGTGTGCGCTGGTCCTCTGGGCCGTAGCTACGCCATGTGTAATACTTGCCAGAATCCTCCTAACAGGAAGAAAAACATCGGAATTAGAGGTTGTAATGGAGTGATTGTGTTCAGGGAGTGTGTCACTGAGGCATTAAAAGTTCACTCTGATAAAAGTAAAATCCTATGATGTCATTTATTCTCCAAGTGAAAGAGTGAAAAAGTGTTGTTTTTTTTTCCAAAAGAGGGCAGCGTTTAACTTCAGCTCAAACAAAAATAACAAAGGCAGAGGCATAATAAATGTCACGCCTGTTGCTGTAATGGCAAACAGTGTGGTGCAGCACTCACCACTACGCGTGTCATGTTGTTTGGCAGGGTATCAATGGTAAGTCCTCCACCTTGGACAGCCTGGCCTGGAAGGGACCTCTGAGCCCTATGAGGATGACTGTCCCCTCCAGCTGACCCTCCGGGCTGCTGTGAGATCACATTGTACCACACATCTGTGCAAAAGAAGAAATATGAGGTCAGCGTGTTGTGAGGTAATGATATGAGCATTATATCCTCCTCTGTGTCCACTGAAACATTACACCAAAGCTTTTTTTTCCCCTGGCAACAGCACCATAGTCTGTCAAGAGCTTTCAGAAGAGCAACATTTACAGTTTACAGGCTCAGTGCTCAATCAGCCAAATGTGACATAGCTGTTTGCTTTTGAATATTTAATGTTGGCCTTGTGAGTTACAGCCAATAATGTACAGTATGAGGAAAAAAACAATGCAAACCTGTAGAGCTGGAAAGATGGGACTGTCAAAACCAATAAAAAGTGCTCACCATATAGTAAGCAAACTGGGTTAGGTAGACTTTGTTTTAAAGTTTGGGGTGTTTTTTATTGACATCTTGCTCTTTTTGAGCCACATGCCAAAAACCACACGCTCCTGGTTTATCCTTAGTTCCTGAATGTGGTAAGGGCATACCTGCTGGTACATCTATACTAAGACTGTGATGTGGGTCTACTACACTCGCTGAATTTATAAATATAAGTATATAAATATATACCTATTGGCTTAAACAAATGTGTTCAAGACCGCTTGGCTGGCTTAAAAACTGACAAACAGGTATAAATACGTGTGAGTAAATTTAGTGAAGCTATTTTGGTACCAAACTAGTTCAAATCTGTTTTAAGGTTGCCAGTGTAGAATAATGTTTGCTTTCCAGATACACCAGCAAGGGCCATTTTTGAAATCTATTTTCCGAAACCAAATGGAGAGAGAGGGCATTTCTTGTTTTCTGTTGTACAGTCAGCCTGTGTGTGTAACAGAAATATAATCAAATTCTAAGTCAAAAAAGTTTTGTGCATTCTACCTTCAGTTTCTCAATAAATGCACCATAAAATTCTCTCCTGAATCTATATTGTGTATAATGGTCCTTTCTCCACCCTAAAGTCACCTGTTTTCCAGTTCCTGTTGTTCACACCTGATTCAAATTAAACAACATGACCTCCTAGTTCCCCTCCAGTGCATTAATATTAGAGTTCAGACAGGGCTGGGCGATATGGCTTTAAATCAGTATCACAATATATTGAGCAGTTCACCTCTATAATGATAAATGGATGATAACTTTCCACAAGGTGCTCACCCCCTCCCACATTAACTTTGTCTACTTCAGCTGCTACAACTTTTGAATCGTCCTCCATCTCCTCACCTGTCTTTCCCTCTTTGTTACGGACTGAATGGGGTGGAATCAGCATCTCAAAGGGACATAAAACCATGGCCTACCCACACATATCCAAAACCAAATTTTGGTATCGGTAAATTTTCGGTTTATCGTTAAGCCTTAAGTTCAGATCATATTTTGAAATCTTGAAATTCAAACCTGCCAATTAACTTTTGGTTTTCTAACTATGATTGGGAAATGGCTGAGATGCTAATTTCTGCCCTGCACAGATTTTCACGCTCGACTGATTTAAATGTGTTGCAAAATAAAGCATCTGAGGACAGGCAAACATGAGATTAGGGCTGTCCAGAGGTTGTAAGTACACTGTCGGGGAAATGTTTGTGATAAAGCAGTTTTGGAGTATTTAAAAAAAAAAAAAACTATCTAATCAAATCAAGTCACAAAAGGAGCAGGGAGCAGCTCAAAGATGTGAAGTAAATGGCTTGATAATAACTGTAATGAATTCAATTTTGATCCTTATATTACAATGTGTTATGCTGAAATTGAATGTAATTATAAAAATGTTGTCAGTGTTGGAGCAGACTGACTTAAATGCAGACAAAGCTTACAAGTTTATAGACAAGATACTTAACCTTATAACATAGTTTGTTGTTCATTATTAAAACAGTTACAGTATAAAGGCTGAAAAAACATGATTAAAAATATGAAATATGGCAAATTTGCTTTCTAAATGATCCTTCAGGATGCTGGTGCCCAACTCCTCTTATGTCAGTGAAATGTTAGTTGACTTTGGTCTGGTGCCTACATTTTGTTCTGAGTGTGGGAGGGCACATCTCGCGCCAAACCCTAGAGTTCAGCCTGTGTGGGACATTAAACTGGCATGGCCTGCTTTAACCATCACATTATAACACTGGTGTCCTCTTCAGCCATCTGAAGTACACTACGTCATCCAGCAAGTTCCTTAAGAGACAAACCAAATGTCCTGAGCAGGGAGCATGTTGTTTTTGTTCATGAGCGTTTCCCTCCACCCTTTGATTCAATTAAGCCGTGCGTCAAGGCGTGCGTGGCAGTTCATAAATTAAACCTCCATGTGTGATTACTGAGATTTGCCTCCACCCTGTTATGGCATCCATGAGGTAAGAGGGAGATGGTGTGATGCACAGTAATTGAGAGTAATGCAGATGGGAGGGGTGAGTATACTTGATTTGAAGTGGGTCATATTGAAACATCTGCCCTGATTATCCACATCACAGCCATCACAGCCAGCAGCTTTAACCAAAACACAAAGACAGGAGTCACTCGTCTTTACTGTTGTGTTACATCAATTAGTAAAATGATGTTATGTTATTAAAAACAACTACAGTATGTTTCTGAAATAGTGATACAAGTTTGGTTCAAGCTGGTTAATGTATGTTTTAATGCATGCAAGGAGAGGATACAGTAGATGACAATTTGCATATTTTAAAGACCCAGAATGACAAAAGGGGCCACTTTTACTTTTAATTATACAGGCAGTGAAAGGGCAGCTGTGTCGACCAGGGAACTGACCTCTGCCCACTCTTTTAGCAGCTACCAAACCTCAACGTTTAGTGTCCTTTTTCTGTGAGCGGTCAGCTCTGAGTGGTCTGAAAGAACACACCCTTCCTGAGCACAGGCTGGAGGAGCTGGCACACACTCCCTAACATCGTCCACAAACAGCATGTATAGTTCATTTCAAGGCTGAAATACAGATGTGCAATTTTTTATCCACACTGTAATACCATTCCAGTTCCAAAGAGTGTGCTTTAATTAAACATTCCCATCTTCTGTTTTAAAAGGATCAAGATGCTGATTTCTGTAAATTTTTTGGCCAGAAACAAGCAACTGACATACTCAAGAAACAATTACTATTAATGCTTTAAAAGGAGGCTCCTTTTTACAAACGACCCTGAAAAGGAAAAATGATGGTTTTCATTACCAACATCCCCATGACTGGCCAACCTGTTAGATTTCAATATAAAGCAAAAGAGACAAAAGACACTCCATATTTGGTCAACTGTCTGATTGCATCTCTTTAATCTCTGAAAGGTGAAACCAAACCATTGCCTGGAAGTTTAAAAATGTTATTTTAAGCTTTTTTTTGTCTGATAAGAGAAATAAATGAAGAACGCTAACACTGGTCTAAATTACATCAGGATTCAAAGAGCCAGTTGCTTCCCCTGTTGGCAGATGAATGTTTTTGTTCATGCCATTTTAGTTTTCCTATAACACAAGCATGGGCTTTGTCAAACAAAAGACAACCTGGGATCAGCAGACAATAACATCCCATCTATGATCCAATCTTCAAATCCTTCTCATGCTGTTTCTCATTCTTTTGGACTTTGCTCAGCTCCAACATGTCTGGATCTGCTTCAGGCTATTTGTTAAACAAACTTCTCAACAGGACCAATGACAGAGGGCCAAACACTGAGGTCATCACAGGGTATACAATTCATTTTCAGCAGAAGGCTTTTGTGTTTTTACAGTCTGGTTCAGATGCTGTTAGTGGCTCTCTGGAGAAAAGAATCACATTTTAAAACTGCAGTGAGAAGGCAGAGAAGAGCAAATTAGGCACAGGACAGGAGGGTGTGTTAGGTAAACAGCTATCTGTCCTCTCATTTTGAAGGCTGAGAACATGCTGCAAAAAATCTATGAAGCTATTTCATCTGCAGCATTTCCCTAGCAGGACAGCAGGACTATTGCATGACAGAACTCATTTTCTAAAGCAATAAAGACAAAATATAAAGTGACCAAATTCCACAAAAACAGACAAGAACAAAGAAAAGAACAAAGAAAGTCCAGGGCACTCCTCCAACAAATCCCCAAATCCTATTGTCAAGAATTATGTAAAAGACTAAACCCAACAGCGCTTTAATTTCTCTGCCAGAGTCTAATGGGTAGCAAGAAGAAAAACCAAGTCTATGTCTAATTTTAAACCTGAGACATGGCTGTTTGTGGCTTCTTGTTTAGACTCAGTCGCATGCTTGTGGAAGAGGGTATGTTAATTGTGGACTTTGTTGTAAACTAGGTCAGTCGCTTCTTTGCGTATGGTGTGCCCACTTGTTGCCCCATAAAGAGCTCTGCTGCAGTTCTGTGGTTTATGGTGGATTAAAATAGCAACAGTAGCATGAAGCTACCATAAGAAAATGAGTTTAAGAACAAACGAAAAAAAGGCAGATATTTTTGAGATATTTCAAGTACTTGCATGCAAAGCTCAATTGCAGAGGCTTCATATGAATGCATCTGTATTATTTGACAGAGCAGACCAGTTGCAGTGAGCACAGGTGGGAACGTTATAGCAGTGATGGAGAGAAAATAAACACAGCTCACCTGCTTCCCGTTGGTCCCAAACTCTTGAAGTCTTAGTTTGGGAGACCCAGAGTAGCAGCATCACCAAACTTAAACACATGTTGCACCGCAGAACAACAAAAATGAACACAAAAAGAACACTTCTCCTCTTCTTTCTTCTTCTCTCCTCTTTACAAAAGCAGTTTTCTCTTGAATCCAAACTCCACCCGCCACTCTCCTCCTTCCCTGTGAATTTTGCTCCCTCCACACTGTCTCTAAGTACACCCTTCCTCTCCTCCTCTGTACTGTTCATCCGTTGCCATGGTGATTACAAAGACACAATGATCAGATGGTTAGGCGTTGCAGCAAGAAGACCATAAAGGTCAGGACAATGAGTTATATCTCTGTGTTTTGGAGGATTAGATTTCTCAAATGGGGATTTAAAGTCCCTTATTTTACAGCTCACTTTTGAACCATCACCCTCAGTGATAAATTGACTGTCCAGTGAATGTGTGTGTGTGTGTGTGTGTGTGTGTATGTGTGGCGCTTCCCAACTGTGTGGACAGTAAATAATCTGGCATGTACGATTAGAAATGGATATTGGGATGCCAACAATGCCAGACTTAAAGTCTCTGCAAGTCATATTACAAATTTTAAACCAGCATTCGCAAGACTGTGTCTCTATTCTTACAGCAACTTCAAACATGAAACGGGAAAGTCTCTTTTCCAGAAGTTGTGTAAAAGCCTTGTTTTTATAGCACTGAGAACTAAAAAAAAAATAGAAAAGAAAGTAGGTTTAACAAGCCCTGTGGCTGACTCCAACACTTCTCAGGCCACTGCTTTATCATTTCTATCTGTTATGGGAGCAAACATGGAATCCCTGGCAGAGAAAATGACAGCAGAAGGTTTATTGGACTCACAGCTGGAAAGACCATCAGTACCATGTCCCACAATGCAGACTGTGAACGGAGTGTACTGTGTGTGCTGCAGCAGGTGTGGGTTTTCTACAAACAAATAAAAACACAGTGGACAGAATAACGTCTTTTAAACTGCTTTGTTGAAATACAGATGGAGATTTATACATGAAAAGAACTACGGTTATTGACTTGACTTTTAGCGCTGAGGCTGGGTTCAAACCTCAGCAATAAGAACTGGATTAAAAACATCAACAGTGTCCAAACTTTTCAGAATTGAACTCTCTGTTCATGTTTACAGGGACAAAGTTTTCCTGTTCAAACATCAAAAACAAGGAGGGAATTTGCTCTTAAGATGGCCTAACTTTGGAAGATACCAATCTGTTTTGTCTAAATCTGACAACAGCAATCTCAGATTGAATAATTCTTCACAGACTGGTTTGCAAGCATTGTAACTAGATGTTCTGAAGAGTTTAATTCTTCAGTTTCAAAGAAAATGGCTTGACAGAGTTCAAAGATGGAGTTGCTTATGTGATGCTGCAGTTGAGATACTGTAAAATCCCCCAAAGCAACTGAACTTGTATGAGTATTGGTGAAATTTTAAAGTTGAAATATTTTAGACTAAATTCTTGGATACCTATTGCCTCAAATGTATAAAATCTGGCACGCTAATTTGGATTAAAAAAATTATCAAAAGGAGCAAGCTTTTATTGAGTGTGTTGTGCAATCAACAGGAACTTTAAATAGCATGAAAAACAGTTGCGGTAATTTGCACAGAGATTGATGCACTGGGGGAAACCATGAATAACAAACAGATATTTATTCTAGGTTTTGGAGAGGTTACAAATGATTAAAATGTTCAAAATGTTAAAGGAGGCCAAGCCTTTGTGTTTCATTCCCTCAGCTGGAACTTGTTAACCTAACTGACCTGCCTGTGAGCAGCAGGAGTGAGTCCATCTTCTCATGCTGCCTGGCTATAAACCTCAAACCTCATACAGTACATCGAATCCATCTTGTTGACATGGTTTGTGCTTGAGAACTCCCGTTTGAGACATGGACACTGAAGTTACAAGCTGACTTGACTTCAGGCTTGACTCAAATTTGAGCTTCAAACATCTGAGACTTGATTGAGAGTCTTTGAGACTTGGAAATATGAGATTTATTGTTGATTCGGTCCACTCGTGGGCTGATAAGAATCAGTTGCCATGAAGCACATGAAGCAATCCATTGGTAGCTGGATAATGCACTTTTGAATCATTTTTTGATTTAGTTAATAATGAATTGATTTATTATATGGGGTGGATTTGTTTCTTTTTTTGTAGGCTGGGTAATAACTGAGATTGTGTTTGTCTCATGTAATCACCGGGGTCGTGTCTCATCAAGTCTGGGTCTAACTTGCATAACTACCCTTCACTGAGCCATAAATTATCACTCAAAAGTGTATTTTTGATCAAAATATAAAATGATATTTTTAAAAGCTGAAGTTTTTATGATAATTCAGATCAGCTGGAACACTTCATTAGGATCCTCCATTGTGACCAAATTCTACATTACTGACCTCACAGTGCATAGGATCTAATCTTGGACCTTGATACTGTAGAGAAAGATCATTGCAAGGCAAACACTTGACCAAGCACAATCTCATTGTGTCTTTAGAGCAAATTATCGATTCCTTTAACAAGTACGACTTTACCTTTGCCAGACCTCTGAAACTATTGCACAGTTTCACGTTTGTGAACTTTCTGAGCAGATCTTTCTGCCTGTCATCTAAGTTTATCAAAGATGTTTTATTGTTTCATCTTTATCCTCTCTGTGCCGCCATGGATAGAAGATTTCCTTTTTATTACCTGAGTGCTATTCAGCTGCAGCAACCTCAGCTTCAGTTCTCAGACAGTTACATCATTCAGCGTCTAAGAGACACCCTTAATTCCACCATTAATGACGTGAAACTTCTGAAAGAGCAAAATAAAGCACTGAAGAACCAACAGAAAGAAACCGGGCCGGATGTGACTCTAAGAGGAGCTTAAGGTAAAGGATGATCTCCTTGTTAAAGCTTCTCTAAAAGAGCAGGAGATAAATATGGACATAGGTCTATGCAATCACCTTGGACCTGCTGGCCCGAAAAGAGGAGGAGGTAAAACACCTGAAAGAGGAGCTGCAGCTCAAAGACGGGCTCCTGGAAAGTGCTGTAAAGAAGGAGCAGAGAAAAACCAAGACTTGTGAGGATGCACTAGCCCAAAAAGAGGTGGAGATAAAGAGTCTCAGAAATAACCTCAGAAGGGAGCTAGATCTCAAAGAAGAACTTGGGGGTGAGATAAAGGAGAGGGATGAAAACCAACTGGCCACTGAAAAGTTGAAGGTGACCAGGCTCCAAGAGAAGTTGGAGTCAATGATTGAGCTCCTGAGCAGGGCCGTCAAACAAAGACCGAAAAGAACCACGGCCTATCTAGACACTATGGACCTGCCTAACCGAAAGGAGATGGAGCTGAAGAAGACTGAGTACTGGAGGAGCAAGTGCACCGAGCTGCAGAAAAGTCCTAATGACCAGACCAGCCAGCTGCAGGTACTTCAGAGCTCGGATATATGACGGTAACTAATGATCCAAATAATCTCAGATTCTCTAGTAAAGAACTTCAACTTTTACTGAATGATCTAACACACAGTTTCTTTCTCAGCTCTCTTCTCAGATACTCCACCTCACCAAAACAGCACAACATCAGCTGGACCCCTCAGAGGAGTGAAAACAAGAAGAGGAGATGGGGAAGAAGAAGGAGAAAAGAGAGGAGGAGGAGACAAAACAGGAGGAGAAGGAGAAGAGAGAGGAGGAGGAGACAAAACAAGGGGAGGAGAAAGAGAAGAGTAAACAAGAAAAGGAGGCAGAGAACATGTTGAAAGAAGAGGAGGAGAAAGAGAGAAAAGAGGAAAAAGGAAAGACAAAGAGGAGCACGAGGACAAGAAGAAGTCCCCAGAAGAGAAGGGGTCAAAAAAAGACGAGGAGGAGAAATGGAGTAAAGGAGAAAAAATGACAGAAGAAAAGCATGTCAAGAATAAGAAAAAGAGAAGAGGACAGAAAAAAAGATAACTGTCCAACCCTCTAAATCCCCCTTCCCTTCATCTTTTAACCCTTACTATACCTTCCTTCCCACCTACCCTCCTGCCTATCATCCTACCCAGCTACCCTCCTTCCCACCTACCCTCCCACCTTCCTACCTACCTATCCTCCTACCCACCTCCATACCTACCTATCCAACTACATTCCTTCCCTTCCTCCCTTACTCTCTTTGTTGTGTGTTTTAAAGTATAAAAAGCATCAATAAAGTTCTGAGGATCTTAATCATTGTCTTCCATGGTTATAAATCCAGTCCTTAGACACTTGGTAACACTTCAGTCTCATAAATCTTTCAAATCAAGATATGAAAAATGTTCACAGCTCCAGAAAATCATTGTGGTCAGTTGAAAAAAAAAATCTAACACTTTTTCACTTTTTTTAAAATGATTTTTGATTCTGATTAACCAACTCAGCTCATTTACATGGTACAGGTTAACCTTTGTGGGTTATTCTTCCAACTATTCTTCCAACTGAATGAGCTCTAATTAAGGTAGAAATAAAATAAAATGCAGAAAAAATGTGGTGAAAATAAACAAATTAATAAATCATTAATTGTTAATAGTGATCACAAGATGAATTCAGGTCAAAATGTGAATATTCAGATCCAAAAAATTTAAAACTCTGTGAGTTAGAAATAGAGGTTTCTATTAAACCTTCACTCCAGAAGACGTCCATACCTTTGTATGAAAACTGCACAGATTATTGAGCATTTTTATGTAGACAAATAGGACTTTTTAAGACACATTTAACAAATGTAGACTACAAACTTGCAGTCTAGTCTGAACATGCATTTCTGGCTGACACACACACACTGCAAGAACTTAGATTTTAGTAAGTGTGCTTGTCTAATTTATGGTTTAAAAAAAGGAAAAAAAAAAAAAAAAAAAAAAAAAACGAAAAAAATCTCTTTTTTAAGTCACCGCACACCAAAATAAGAATGAATTGCTTTCAATAAGTGAAATATTTTTGGTTTAATTTTTTCTAAATAAGAGTATCCTTGAAATCAAAAACCTTTTAGGTAATAAATTTGATTATGTGACTTTTCAGCAATTGACTCGGAATGAAAAATAGCTTCTATCGTCCCTATTATTTTGAGTAAACAGCCAAGAATGCAACTTTTCTTACGTTTAAAAGACTGTTTAGCAGTTAAGTTAGCCATTTACAGAAGAAATTGCCTCTTTCCCTCCAGTAATGTGAACCTCAACCAAAACCGGTAACCTACACATAATTAGACCAGAACCACGAACTCTCCGAACAGGCACCAGCCACCTTGCTCTTAAAACTCCTCAAACATCCTTTGGAGAGTTTTCACATAATTAAAAGAGATTGTTCACTCAAACATATTGAAACCGCCAAAGAGTTTGATAGCGTGACCATCATGGCGTCGGACCAGGAAACATCTTCTTGTTGTGGTGCATGTTACACATATCTGTTGGTCGTTCTACTTCGGATGATATTCAAGTTTTTCCGCAACAGCAGTAAGAGGACACTTGGTCTAAAATACAGGCGTATCTCACCCCCTGGTGGACAAAGTCGAGTTGTCTTTAAAACATCAAGTACGCTGCGTCACACGCCTGTCGACCAAATATTTTTAATGCTGCCTAATAGTGTACCCGATAATAATAATAATATCACAATATTAATCTTAATCAACTAATTTTTTGTCATCTGACTATATCAGCATATGTACTTCGGCGGAATACACACGGGGGTATAGCTCAGTGGTAGAGCATTTGACTGCAGATCAAGAGGTCTCCGGTTCAAATCCGGATGCCCCCTTCAATATTTTCTTTTAACGCCCTTTTGTATCATGAAGCACTCTACACAGAAATCCCTATCAGTGTTATAATAAAGTCATTTTGCATCAAAAAGAATTTTTTTTTAGGGCTGTTAAGCTCCATCGGTTCATCTAGGCTACACCATGTAGCTGACACAAAGCAAACATATCTGTCATTCTCATCGACCTGTTAGCTGTTACAAATCACCCCAACATATCTTTTTGTAAAGGCCTTGACAGCTGAATAATAGAAAACAAACACAGTGTTTTTCAAACAATATGTATTGAAAAAAAAATACAATTTACATGGTATACTTTTAAATATGACTCATAGTCCTTAGCAGCTAGCTCATTCCCTTATCTGGGAAATTGCTGTAATATAGGCCTACAGTAAGCAGTTGTAAAACTACTTTTTTCTCCAAAATAAATTACATCTCAAAGTTACAAAAGTTTCCTATTGTTCATTATCATACTGTACAATTACATAAATCTGGAGCTAAACAGTTTGTGGGTAAGGCAGGCCACTGGAGCTACAGTTTTGTTCATCTCGGTTGTGTAAAGGTAGAATAAAGGCTTGATACTTGGCATTTTCATAACTCACTTTGTGATTGAAAAGTCTCATTTTAACCAGTGAGATACTACATAAGGGTTGCAGTAGATGACATTAACATAAATGATACTTATCACTTAAAAGTCAGAGCATAGTGGAGGATGTTGCATTCAAGTACCTTGGCTTTAAAACATATTAGTTATTTAAATCAAAAATCAAAATCTGCTCTACACATAAAATCCATCTTTGACCAGCTCAATTTTTTCCTGGACCCAAAGTAATGCTTGTGTGAATTAAAAACTGGATAACAAGAGATAGATTTCTGTAGAAAAGGTACACATAAAGCAAGCAGATGAGATACCTGTGGTTCCTTGTCACAATCAGGATGCCTGGGCACACACACACACACACACACACACACACACACACACACACACACACACACACACACACACACACACACACACACACACACACACACACACACACAGATATATAAATGCTATCCATGAGTTCAAACCAAAATGTAAATCTACCTTTTGGCTGGTAATAAAAATATTACACCATTACACATGGGTCACTTAAATAAACTTATATATGCGCAAAAACACTCTCTAACAGTGCTCATCTTCAGCTGACCAGCTCTCAGCTCAATGCATGTGTGGTCTGCTCCTTAGGGGGCTCCTTGCAGACAGTCAGATTGCATGTTGAGTGCGGCAACACGAGCTGTGCAATTGTCCCAAAACACTGTAAATAACTCGACTCTTGTGGCCTTAGCAGGGCCTTGGAAGTTGGCTCAGTTTGAGGAAGTCTGTTTCCCTGCAGTGAAATCTAGTTCGCAACAACCCGTGACTTCATCCAGTCCAGACTGGCAGGTAGACTGAAAGAGAGCGAATGAAATAAGAGTTAATACAGCCTATTGTTTGCTAGTCATTTTAAAGATTGACTCATCAGAGAAAGTAGGATGAGTGAAGACTACTCACCCCTCTCCTGTGAGGGCGCAGCAGGCTTGAACATGCCAGGAGTGTGATGTGATGGAGTCAAGTGTGAGGCACTGAGAGATCTCTGCCGCCGTCATTGAACCTTTGACGTCCTGTTTGTTGGCCAAAATGAGAACTGCTGCATTCTGTAGGTCCTGTGTCGTAAAAAAAGAAAGATAGCGTACAGATTATAGCTGAGGCGTCTCCACTGGAAACCCCAAAAATGTCCCCACACCACCTTTGGGAACCGAAAACAACAATGTCAGCGGAACTTTTAGACACAACATGTCAAGAGGCTGACTCACAGTCTAAACAGAAACTTCCTCATCATATCGTGTCATGGGTTTGTCAGCTGCTGTGGCTGAATGCGGGAGTGTATCTTTTATATCTATGTTGTAATAGCAGAATTAGGTGTATTCACCTACTTACAAAAGGGTTTTACTCAAGGGTACATTCAAATGAATCAGTTTGACTTTACTGTCACACGCCCTGGTGTAACTTATGTAATTATTAAAGCAGTAATTTGATATTATGTAAGTGATAAATTGTGTCAAAAGAGAAAAGACTTTGTACCTCATATGATAACATTCGGTGCAGCTCCTCTTTGGTGAGAGTGAGGCGTTCACGGTCTGTGCTGTCCACAACCAGAATAACAATCTGAAAGCCATGACAAAAAATGAATTTAGAAGAGAATCAGCACAAATCTCAGGGCCTGCACTTTCACGAACTGTTCAAAGGACTGGAGGGGGCTCAGTGTATCAGACACTTTCAAGGATTATGCAACACTGATAGGACACTTTATCAACACAAGGAGCAGGGTACAAGAAAAAGAGGCCAACAGAGGTTAATGTGCATTGTCCCATAAACTGCTTTCTGTTTCTGTTTTTACTCTCATGTATCAGTTGTTTTAACTACCAGAATCATCCACGATGTACAGATCAAACTCTTGATGTATTTGTGTTCTTTGAAGTCCTTTTTTTTGAGTCCATGATGAATACAAGATAAACAAAAGTGCTGACTTGTTTAGTTGTGCACATCTTTTTGGATTGTTTTCGAAATATAGTTTCACTTGGTTTGGGGTGTCTTGTGTACTGTACCTCTGTATTGCAGTAGTATGAGTACCAGCTGGCTCTTAGGCTCTCCTGCCCTCCAATATCCCAAACTAAGAAGTGCGTGTTACGGACAGTGATCTGCTCCACGTTGCTGCCAATGGTAGGGGATGTGTGGACAGCCTCCTTTGTCAAACTGTGGAAGGAGAAGAAACCGGACAATTTAACAACTTTGATTATTGAGATATGACTGATTATAAGACAATGCTGTCAATCTTAAAAGTCCCTTACAATTGATAAAGGATTGTCGTCTTTCCAGCGTTGTCCAGGCCTACGATAATGACTTTGTGCTCTGAAAGAAAGTCAAAAACAAAAGTTGAATATTTAACCTAAAAGGTGGACCGCATGTGCCCGTGTTACCGAATACACACAGTTTTATCTGGGGTTGCGTAATTGGTTTGACTGCACTGCAAAGCAAATGTACACTGAGATAAGATAAAGAGAAAAAGATTGAGATGAACTGAGGAGGAACTGTTTACCATCAACAGTGAGGTTCATCCATGACAACAACAGTGACAAATTAAGGTTTAAGAACTCTCTTCTCTGTATAAATACATATACTGTATATTTTTTACATCATAGTGGTAGACTGTGCTTATAAGTTGTTAATGGAACTTAAGATACAGAGTGCATACAAAAGGCAGTAAAAAGCCCATAAATCCTGAGTTGTAAGAAATTGAACTTCGACAGCCACAAAAAATTAAGGAATAGAAACTGAATACAGTTAGGATAAGGGTTACGGTTTAAACACATATAAAATCAAGAAAGGCTGTCTAATAATATCAGCTTTCAGAGGAGGCAATCTGTCAGCGTGATGTCACTTTTTATAACATTGTCTTTGGTTTTTCCCTTATGACATTGAAGCTATGCCAAGTTTCTCGAGAGTTTTAAAAGCAGACACTGAACAACAAAAACACCACTGTTAAAAAAGTTAATCCTACCTCTATCGCCGAACACAGCCATCATCTTGGTCAGGAGGAAACCCATATTCAACAAGTGTGTGTGAGCTGAGACTGACTGACGATTGAAATCCAAACTGCACTGAGAGTGAACACCTGACTGTCACACTCGCACTGTTCCTTAATCTAATATCACACACAGCGAAAGTGGGCGGAGCTTTTTAGAAAGCAAGTCTTAGGTATTTTTTAGTAGAATGCGTCACGAACAAAGGGAAAAGCAGCGGTGCGTTCAATATCTAGGGAAAACTAGCTTTACGTACGCCTGTGGTTCATACGGTCAGGTTTATTTGATATATTGTAATCCTGTTGACATGATTCAATAAACTGATAGTGTGAAGGGCAAACATACGTAAACCTACATCAGATATTTATGGCAATAACTATTTTTGATTATTTCCCCTTGTTGCCTCGTTTGCTTCATAACAAATAACTCTCATCGCTCTCTCTTTTTACAGCAACAAAAGTGAAGTGAGTCATGTTTTCTGCTTTCCTTTTATTTCAAAAAGGCTGTTAATGCCCTCAAATTTCCTATTGTTAAGCAGACATAAATGTTATATTGTTATAAATTCAAAACTAACCTTTTTTACTCATCATTTAAATGTTGAAAACATCTCAAGTCTTCAAGTTTAGCATCTCAGAATTTGATCAGAACGTTTAATTTTCAATGACATTCCTCATGAAATTAGGTAACACTTGTTTAACAGATGAATTACCTTTTTTATAGTGGTGATGTTTTCTCCCTGAGCCGTCGCAACTCAGACGTCAGATTTCAGTCAGGGGTAGTAAAGGCAGCACAGTACAGGGGCGTTCCCTCTGTCACACCGTCGAAAGGAAGAATTGATGACGCATTCAATGACACACGCGCACCTCGTCCATAAATGGGTTAACGGAAACAAAACTGCGTTGCTTCCTCTTTCCTCTCACACGGAGATTATCGTGACCCACAGAAAGCAAAACTGTCTATGAGAAGGAATCCCCGGAATGTCCCGGGATTTTTTCCAGTACTTACCCAGGCAAATCTGTGAAATGTAATTAGGCTATAAAACAACGAATATGAGGGTGGGATGCAGTCAAAAGTTTTAGCTTCTCTAGAACTTTGCATCAAATGTTTTAACCAGGTTTTAAACATTGGTTTTAATAACTCAAAGTAGCTTTTTATTCGTTTACTTTCTGTCCAGGTATTGTGTACGTGTATCATAATGTTTTGATGTTAATAGGCCAGTCAAAATTGTTAAAATAGCTATGTTACAGTAATCTTGTTCCCAAATGTCTGTTATTATTTGTGTTTCTAGGTTAAACAGACTCTGCAAACACTGTACTTTCTGCTCCCCCACACATTGTGATGCAAGGGTCACGTTTAGGGTTAAGAAAGGTTTGAAACTCGAACCATATTATCTGTCACATTTCCTTCACAAGCAGAGCTGATGAGACAATAGGTACACTGATTGTGAGAAATAAAACCCACATCCTGTATTCTGTTAGGACTACTGTCATTTTTTCATGACTTAAATACATGGCAGGTGTGAGCAGATGTGCTGCAATTTCAGAGAGTTCATACTTCCTGTGAATGCAAATGAGAAAACAACGAAGTGACGCTCAGGTTCACACCCATCACAGCACTTTGAAGGGACAGGTCCAACAGGCCTGGTAATTCTAAGTATTACGTTACGCAAGTGATGGTAAAAATAATCTTTTGTTGTATTCTGATGCAAATAACCCAGATATAGATAAGGATGTGGTTAAAGTCAAGAGCAAGAAGAAAAAATTAACCTTTTATGTTGGTGGTGTTTCCTTGCAGTTAAATCTCTTATTTTGTATGACATTCACTGTAACGCCTCTAACATATTAAAAAGCAATTAGTTATGAATTGGTAGCTGAGGTTCGCATTTTCTAGTATCAATTCAACAACACAACATCATTTTCTGAATTACTTTTTAATTAAAATACGGATTTATCCACAGATTAAAAATGAAAGGCAGAAAAAGCAAAATGTAGCTACAATCAGGCACCAATGATACATGTTATTTAATATTTTTAACAATTGCGATAACGCAACAATAACATTATTTACTGATCATTATTTAATATTAATTTATTCAACTGAAGACAGGCGGCCAGAAGCAGCCCACTGAGGACATTAATGGATTTTTCCATTATAGATAACTGAGTAAAGACCAAAGCTGATCCTAACCCCCCCCCCCCCCCCCCCCACTCCCATCACCAGCACCCCCTCTATAAACTCCTCTCACTACCGCACAAGAACTGAAGCTTTAAAATAGAAAAAAATATTTCAAACATTCACAGAAAAAAACAACACTAATTCAGTCAGAAATAAAGAGTAAGAAGAGAGTGGTTTTTCATATCAGACAAGCTAGCTGTTTGGGTGGAAGTCGGGGTGATTAACCACACACACAAGGACTTTTCATAGAACCATTAGCCCTGAAGGACAGACAACGAAGCAAAAAATAGGCGGTGAGAAAAGTGCGGGAGCAACAGCATGTGCTACAGCGCGGAGTAGCCTCGAGACACAGAGACGCACAGATATGGTATGAAAACATTAGTTAAGACATCCCACCTTGGCAGTGGTGGACATGGCTTGGCGAGACATTCCGGCACTTGTGATTGGAGTTATCTTGAAATAAGGGTGTTTTTCTTTTTCTTTTAAAAGGTGGGAGTGACTAAGGCAAGACGCTTTGTTCACGAAACGACACCTGCAGTGCTGCTTTATATCTGCATCACGGCAGAAAAAACAGGGAACAGATGAAAACTGCAGGTGCCCTCAACACCCACATGGAAACAGAGGGGCTGCAGTGGATGGGTAGATCCATGTTGGGGAGGAAGTAAACATCTCTGAAGTTAACTCTTTTCTAGCTGACACGGGTGGAGCAACATTAAGAAATAGAGTTTAAATATGGCAACTTCTCCACCTGCTTTTAAGGTCTGGGTGATCAGTAAAGTGGAGGTGAGAGGCTCTTAACTTCAGAAAGATCCATCAGCACTGAGTGAGATAAAGGTAAAGAGAAACCCTGACCCTGTACACAGTGACATTAGACCCTGTTTGGACTGAAGAGGACAGACATGATAGACTACAACAGCTCTACCAGCCTGCACACTCTACAACTGAACTAGAGGTTGAGTCATACAGATCACAATCATAGGTTCACAATCATTACAGTTACTGTCCTCGTGCTGTCAGTTTAGAAATCCATGAAATTCATGCAGTATCAACAAAAAGAACAAAAACAGACCAATAGTATTTTTCCTAACATAAATTAATTGAATTGTAAGAAGAGTGGATGAGGATGGCATCTGGCAGTTGATGTTTTTCTTTACACTGTAAGTGGGATGTAAACAGATTAATTTTTTAGCCTGACTGGCACGGTCCCAGACCACACTTCAGTCTCCCTCCCTCCCTCCCTCCCTCCTCAGTCTGTCTCTTAGCTCCCCTCTCCCTCTGGCAGGAAACGTTCAGCGGATGTAGACATCCCGTCCCCAGTCGTCTTGGTTCTTGTTGCGGCTCTTGTGGGCCCCCGTGTCCACAGGGTCCTGGCAGTACCGCTCCCTAAGCTTGGCCCTCCCATGAGGCTGTGTTTGGCTTGGCATAGGAGGGTGGTTCAGGTTTTCTTGGTCTGGCTCAGCGCCCTCGTCCTCCCAGGAGGCCTGTCTGCCATGATGCTGTGCCAGGTGGAGTCGGCTGCCCCCGCCGCCTCTGTAGGGCTCAGGCTCTTCATAGGGGTCGGTCTCAATGTCCATGCAGGAGTCGCCGGCCTCGGTATAGGCCGAGTCCCGGCTGCCCTGGGTCTCAGAGTCGAAGGTGTCTTGCCGTGACAGGCCTCGCCCACTGCCAGCCCGCAGCTGACCACGAGAGGAACGCATGTATGTTTGTTGCTGCTGCTGCTGCTGAGGTTTTCCTCCCAGGTCTGTCTGATAGTCATGCATGGTGTCGCTCCCTCCACTCTCTGTCAGAGGCCCCTCTCTCTTCTGCTCTCCGTGCACCAGGTACGGCCCCTGCAGCCGCCACAGCCATGCAGCACGGCAACCATGCAGACACACAAAGAGCAGAGCGAAACCAAAGTGTGAGTGTAGTAAGGGTTAGTCAGCAGGGTGAGCAGGAAACAGGCAACATAAGAAAAGACTTACATCTTTGTCCTCTAACATTAGTTTGTTTACAGCACACATCCTTCAACAGAGCATGCACACACACACACACTGTCCTGTACTCAAATTAGTCTACAGAATCAAAAGCATTGGGCTGACCAAACAAATGAAGTCTTATTGACTTTCCTGCAAAAACAAAAACACTCAGAGCAAGAAGCAGACTGTGTGTCTACCATGGACACAGTGCCACCTTCTGGCAGACTGACCACATGACAGATAAAAGCAGATACACCTCTATTAAATGATTATTAAGCTGATTGTACTCTATGACAATAGATGCCCATAATGACTCGCTTTGTATAAATAAAGACATGCCGACGAACCCCTATTATAATGTCACTTATATTCCTTTGGCTGGTTTAATTTCCTCTTTAACAAAAGCCTAAATATCATAGAATTACAATGCATGTTTATCAGCCAGTTGGTGCATTGTGGCACCAACCGGCTGTCATAAATATCCCAAACATGATTAGCAGCATTTCTCTCTGTCAGTGAATTAGAAAAGATGTAGCTGATTAGTACTTTACTAATTAAAATAGTTATTAAAGATCAAAATGGACAGAGTGTTAGCAACAGCCTCCACCAAACTGAGCGTTTCTGTTTGAAGAGGCGGACATGACTTGCTGTTTTCAGGGGCGGTGCCATGGCAACACGGAGGAGGACAGCAAACTGGATTTCAGCCTCCCAGAGTAGAAAAGTGCAGGAGAAAGGAGGCCACAGAGCTAAAGAGAGGAGAGCAGGGGGGCAGCAGATATCATTTTACTCTTGATTACAGAGAAGGGGGAGGGAGTGGGCCGCGGAGGGCAGGGGTGCCGCATGGTTATTCCTTAAGTCCAGAGTGGTTTTAAGGTGAGCTGCTCTGTCAGTGCGGTGAAGTAAACAGCGACCTGTTAATATGCTACCCATGTAATTGTACCTGTGGGTGTTCTCAAACTGGCTTTTTTTTATATGTGGGAAATAAACTAGATCATTTATAAAGGCCTGCATGGGTGTATCTGTCTGAATATGTTCTGCACAAACAGGGTTTTGATGCACTTTTCCTTGAGGATAAAGGGAGCAAGCTGCTAATTTGAGGTTGAAGTTGAGTTGCCGGAGTCCCCATCCCGCTCTCTGCTAGACTTCAGAGCGTGTGTTCTTCCTCTTTCCCTTCAGTCGCTACAGCACCGTCCATGTCAGGCCACAGATCCAGGTTTCTACGCAGGGAGGTGAGCACCTGTACCTGCAGGTTGGAGACGGGCTCAGGGGAGGCGGCCAAGGCGGCTGTGGCCATGGTGCGGTTGAGCAGAGGGTTAGGAGGGTTGCTGCTCGGGGGGTGTGTTGCCTTCCAGTACGCCTCAAGGTAGTCTGCCAGGTGCTCGCAGGCATCCTCCAGCTGGTTCTCATCCAGGATGATGTCAAACAGTTCCTGCATGTACAGAAAATCAATTTTCTGGTTGAATGGAACCACAACTCATTATTTGTTTTGTCTAAAATGAAATTCTTCCTTTTGTCGCCTCAAGCGATGAAGAAAAACTCACAGGTGGGCACTGGGCCAATTTGTCTGCCGCAACCATCTGCACGTTTAGGTGTTTCGCCTGGGATTTCCCTCTGGATTTGATGAGCCTCTGGAGGACCTGAAGGGAGACAGCTACACTTTGTCAGCTGAAAAACAAACATTTATGTGAATGGGGTCGCACAGAGGTGAGTTTATAAAGCCTTCAATAATGAATCAGTGTCAACTGGGGATTCTGTGACACTCTGAAATGTTAATATGGTCCTTTACTAAAAAAAAATCGGTTTATCAATTTAAAGAAATAAACAAAAAAGGAATTTTAACTTTAAAGAAGAGCAAAACCTTATTTTAATGCTTCTAATTCTTGATTTTTCTTTAAAACATTGCTTAGATATCTACTTATCTCTGATTACTAATTCTTGCTAATGAAATGTTAAAATGGGAAAATTAAGAGCTTACATGTTTATGTCTGTTCAAAGTTCAGGCCAACGTTTTAAGTTAATATCTGTAAGAAATCAGTCCTGGTTGATTTGAGCTTTTTTAAAATACATATCCCAGAATTCTTAGGGTAGGTTTCACACTTTAAGGGACTACTTTCTGAGGATTAATACACAAGATGTCAGAGTCTGTGCGCAGTGCAACCAAACAAACAACCATTAAACGTGACAAACTGTTTGCATCAGTGGGTTCAAAATGTTCTGCCACAACCCCCTTAGAAAAAGAAACATTTCTGTGACCTGATCTATCAAACCCTTTTTTGTGACGTTGGCCTCTACGTTACGGAACTGTGTTAAACGCTGTGTGTGTTTAAACAGAAAAAACTTGTTAAAAAACATTGTTTGCTACAAAAGAATGACTCAGTTTTATGTAACACAGCCCTTTATGAAATTTAGCGCTTAATAACACTGTACTTCTTCAAAAATACATCAAATGTAAAAAAGATTACAATCATATTGCTGCAAAAAAAAACTTCACTGTTGAAACTGAACACTGTGATATTTTCTCATTAATTTCTTTATAAGATTATATTTTAAACATTTGCAATTACAAAGAAAACAAACGACCTCTCTTCCAACTTTAAAAAAAAAACACTTTGTGTGGCTGTGGTCTCTAAACTGCAACAACAGTCTTTGTGCAATTTTAAAAAATTAAAGATTTTCATCTTGCTGTATCAGCCTCAGTTATTTATAATTTTGTGTGTGGTTTCTTACACTCCCCAACTCTGTATGAAGCACTGAGTGCTTCATATTTACTGACGCAGCTGTAACAGAATGACCTCAAGTAGTTCATTGACGTGACCAGACTGTGATGTTTCTGAGTCTGGTTTTTATTTGTTGGGTACACTTCTATCATCTGCCAATGTTTTCAGACACAGACTATAAACTGGTCTCTCCTCATGTCCCAATGTGAACCCAAAAGCAAGACAGGCTTTGTAATGTTTCTTTGGCTTGGATTTTAGCAGATTACTGTCACTTGTCTTGTTTGTCTACGAAAATTGTGCTTTTTTTCCTGTCAAATATCTAGGGATAGGGATTAATAAGACTTAATCGATACCAACGCCACCATGCTTCTTCTATATTGATAAACTCATCAATTCCTGTTTTCTTTGTCAACAACACAAATCTTATTACAAGTTTTATGACCTTCACGGCTTTGCGCAGATGGAAAAGCCTGACTTCTGATTGAACCTTTGAAGGTAAACTGATCACGGATACAGCCTCTGATTGGTCGGAAACACACCAAAATTATCTGTGGGGTTGAGAAGCTCACAGAAAAGTTTATCTTTAACAGGCTGACAGTCCAACGGAACTAGTGGATTTTAATTAATTCAGTTTGATATGAGCTGATTTGGTAACCATTGAGTATAAAAGCAAACAATGCTGATAGCGAAGACTGCTCTGAACCATTTATTAGGGGAATCCCGATACAACTTTTTTACTTCCGAAATGGTACTGATATTGTAGCCTTCAGTAATGGCCAATACCGATATTGATCCAATATTGGCAAAAACTTGAGCATGAAAAGTTTTGCACTCAGCTGCAATGTCTTTTTAGGACTTATACAAAAAATACTGCCACACAGCTGACATCACTCCTACTCGTCTCTACCTTGTAAGTACCTTAGTACACACTGTTGTTGTGATTAAATGGGCTCTACATGCTGGATCTGGGCACTGCAAGATAGAGGTCATGGAGCTGAGTCTGGGATGGACTGCTTGTATTAGAGTACTGATATCAGAGATTTTAGATGCAGGTCAGTATGACCCAATATTTGTTTTTTTGCTGATGTTGGACCGATATCTGATATCAATACCAGATTAGAACATTCCTACCATTTATTGATATCTATTGCTACAGATGTATCTCTGCTCTGCAAAAACTGAAAACTTCGTGGAACACTACTTTAGGCTGAATAAAAATCTTAGGGATTAAAACTTCCTCTGTATTGGTCTCCTTACCTTGGGTGAGGCTATTTTGATATAGACAATAATAGGGGCCAGGGAGGTCTTTGCCAGCTGAGAAGGGTGGTTTATGGTATCTGCGTCCAGTGCCACAAGCTGGAGGGTGCGGGCCAGCTCGAAGATGCGCTCAATCTCACTCTGAACCTCCGCTGAAGGCCAAGGACACAGAAAAAAAAAAGAGTGAATACATCAGTAAGAGCAGAGAGAGTGTGCAGAGTAGATGTCTTTCTCTGAGCAGATACTGCAGTATATAACAGCCATACTACCTCTGCTAGGTGCACAAGTACATAACAGATCTGTTAGTGCTTCATCATGCATGTTTAAGTTTGAGGAGTACTGGAGATCCAAGCACATGAATAAGATCAGATCACAGTTGAAGCTCCATTTATGCACAGCTAAATGGAGCAGTGCAGCATCCTCATTCTGTCGTAACCTCCCAACATTTACAGTTTCCTCATGTGCTTCGGCTTTTCTTTTTTTTTTTTTTTCATTCAAAGCTGCGGAGGAAGGAGGCACTTAAGAATGAGATGCCTGTGGCACTTGTAATTACTAATGATAAGGGCACAATTTCTCACCATGAAAATACAACAGAAAAAAAATACAAACACCCCCATCAGACAAATTAAGTGGAACATTAGTTCTTGTTAGCACTAACAGGCACAGCAGCAATTATTCTATCAGGTAAACTACTCAACTCGGTGGACTGCTTGGTGTTTTGTTTTCATTGTTCCTCAACAAAAGCAGATAAAACTTGTTATTTAGGATTTCAAGCACTGTTGCTGGTGTTTCTTATTTTTTTATCAGTCTGTTGACATGTGAGGACAGAGATTAAAAGCGTAAACCATAATGTTCCCTGTCTGTCTGTCTGTCTGGCCTCTGAGGTGTGCATGCTGCCGGCCCAGCACCTGAATGAGATAACAGGAGCAAGGCAATCTGCAGAAAGACAGAGGCCTGCGTACAACCCTGCAGCCTCCAGAGAGCTGCAGGATGGAGACTTAAAGCTGGAGGCAGAAACACAGGGCCTTTGCCTGGTGATAAGACGCATGAACTTTCACTTAGTTAAAGAAGAGGAAGGCAAAGCTTCCATGAATCTCAACTAACTACTGCAAATTTGGATTCGGCTTTTAAGGGAAACTTGCACCCCTGCAAGGACTGAGGGATATAAAGTGCAGCTTCCAAGAGAGCTTTTCCTGGGTACAGGTGAAAACATAGAAATGGATAGCATAAATATGTAGGTCATACATGGTAGACAGGAGAAAGTATCAACTTCCCTCTCTGCTCATTCCTGTCACAGTTAAAAGCAGGAACCAGCCACCCCGCTGCCCTCCCACTGATCTATTTCTGCTTTGGTTTTGTAAGGCTTCTCTTTTTGTTCGAGACAACTGGCTGTCACACACAACAAATATGAGGAACAGAGAAACTGACAGCCAAGCAGACGAGCAGACAAACGATGGATGAGCAGACGATGAATAAAGTGAGAAGAAAAATGAGAGGAGGGAGGAAGGAGAGCAGCTTCGTTGTTTTTCATCACGAGGAGAGCATACGTACCCAGTACGTCTGAATCAAAAGGAAGAGATGGAGGGAGATGGAGGGAGGGAGAGGAGGTGGGGTGAGAGGGGTCAGGGGGGCGGGTGAAGGGAGGAAAAAGACAGGATGAGGAAAGAGAAAGGAGGTCCGATCAGAGTCAGGCAGTCAGAGCAGGTAAAAAGGGAAAAACATGACACTTTCAGGTCTCGGGAGGATGTCCACCTTTAAAGCCTCTGACATAAAACTGTAATTTTAAACTTGGAAAATGCTGCATTCAAACTTTTCTGTAGCTTTGCAGTTTGTAAGTCAAGTTTCTATTGGCAAACATGTCCTTGTGTATGGTTAAAGTTGTAAATGTGGACATCTTTGCAGTGACATAGGTGTGACTCTTTAATTTGATCTGATCAATCATGAATAAACCAATCAAATCATGAATAACCTACACTGGTATGTGTTTCTGCGATATCATTAGAACAGGCAGTGATTTACTTTGAGCCACACACAACATCCTGCTTTTGTGAATGCTGACTAAAGCAACAAATGTGCATTGCTTCACTTATGAAAATAGTCTTTTAAAAATGCACACTGCCCTCCTGTTTGAGTGGCATTTGGAAAACACAGTCACCAGCTGCTGAAACAAGCGACCTATTCATCTAAACAAGTACGAGGCGCACCCAAAACAATAAGGATATGATACACAAATAGTGAAATGTGTTTATATGGATTTAAACCAACAGGATGTGATGAACAGATATGTCTTTTGTTGTGATGTCACCTTTCACTGAACTCAAACATCAGTAAAACAGAAAACTCTGGTATGGACTGCTTTGTATGTGTTTTCTCACCCAGGCTGGAGCGGGTACTGGAGCGCTCGATAATGGTGTGTTTACTGGGGTTGTTGAGGACTGAGCGTTTGGCTAGGGAGATGTCCGCTGTCACCCGTGTGATGGATATCCTGAGACAAACACAGATCCAGTTCACCAGCTGTTAGCAGGTACGTGAACAGAAATCTGTCAATGTAGTAATTGGTGTACGTTTTTTTTTCTTACCTGCCCTCAAACTTGTGCTTCAGGAAGTCGAAGAGCGCTTTCTGCATCATATCTGTGACCTGAAAATGAAACGACGCTGTTGTTACAGCAGAAGAGTCTCTCAGGTCCCTGCTCACTCTGTATAACTCTCTCCTTGGGCATATATCCCTTACTTACCTCATATCCTTTGAGCGACGGCCCAACCAGGATGATGGGTCTCATGGAGGGAACCACGTCATAGGGGGGGACATGCTCCATCTGAGCCACACACAGAAACACAGCACCGACATCAGACTGAGTCACACTGTCATGTTGTTTCCGAGCATGCCAACTCAAAACTCTTCACACTGATGTACAGTCACATATGCATTAACATTAACCCGACGCAGACGCCCTCTCTGCCTTGTCCTCCTCCCCTCTGGGAGTGCTCAGTCTGATGGATAGTGAGTCTCAAACCCCAGAGTTTATTCGGTTTATTGACCAGCTCTGAATGTTTGAGGGCAGGGATCCATTTTTCACTGAAAGCACTCGCCTCCTTTTCTTCATCTGCTGTCTCACATTTAATTTAAGGTCCATAATTAAAGCAGAGTGTTAGGAAGGCTCTCGTGACTAACACAGTCATCATTCCTCACACTTTTCTCTTTTTGTTATACATCAACTCTTGGTGTGAGATGTCGGGTTATTTCTGGCGGTTGCAGTTGCAGTGCGATTCTTGCTCTGAAAATGTGTTTTCTAAACCCTTGATCCATCCTACATGAAAAAATATGCAGGGAATTTAAAATTAGTACACTTTTCTGAAGTTTCCACTGCCATAAGATTTATTTTAAATGTGTGCCTGTTTTCCCTCAAATGTTGTGCTTGAACCTTTTTAACCTTTTTTAAAATTTGTTTATTTCTTTAAATCCTATTAAGAGCATTTTTGATGATCCATAGTAACAGAAGCATGTTTATACATAAAAGGACCACATATAAATGATCCCTTCTGTTGCTTTTTTAAACCTTTTTAATTAAAATTGGAAAATTTTCCCTGTTATTCTTTAAAAAGTCATTTAAAAACAACTTCAATAAAAGAAAACACACAAACATTTATATATATATATATATATATATATATATATATATATATATATATATATATATATATATATATATGAAAAAGGAAATAAAGGGTGCAAAGAGTGTTATATATACTCTAGTCTATGGTTTTCCTAAGCTATATATACTGCAAATGGAGGAATCTGTAACCGCCGCAGAGCCCTCTATATAACAACTACACATAAAGCGGATCCATACTGCAGTGCGTGAACTTTAGACTTATTTGTACATTATGAATCATGTGTGATTCATCTATAAGGACTCCATAAGCATATGTTCTCCTTAGAAACATTGAGTTCTTCAGTGAGAATGGGGTGAAAACAGCCACACATCCTCTACACTTTGACAACACTGATATTGGCTATTTGTGTACGTGTGTTTTTGTCGCTCTCTTTCTGATCTGTATTCTGAGCACACCTCCTCCTCTTTGTGTGCGTGTGTGTGTGCTGCGCTGCTCTTAAAGCATGAGATAGAGCTGGAGTGCTCCACTACATTACATTACATAAAGAGCGGAGCGACGGAAGCTCATTTCACCTCATTTGTATTCACAGCAGCTAAAAATACATATTTTAAAAGTTTCCAAATGGCTCTTGTCTCTACTGAGAGCTGGAGCGCTGAACATAACAATAGCGCTCATTGGTTTTGAATAACAGGAGTGCAGTGCTCAGTGTCCTGCAGTGAATAACAGAGAGTGGGCTAAACTGAATATAGATATATGGATGAGAGGTTAATATACAGTTTACAACCAGCCGTGTTTACAGTTTTCATCAAAGTGGCAGTAAAAAGCAGATAGTGTATTTTTTTTGGAGTGACCTTACATCAAGAAAAACTGAAACATGTTAATCATATATTTTTTTTTCAGGGTTGATATGAAACAATTTCTAAAGGAGAGCAAAACAAGATTTTTTAATAAATAAGGATGCATACAAAAGTTCAATAATGAGATGATGTGATTAGAGTTTGTCTGATTAATATATCCTCAAAAGTGAAGATGACTGAGGGGAAGCAGTTTCTGGAGTCTTCAAAGGAAAATGCTTCTCTGTTTCTGCTTGATAAAGGATTTCAGCTGCCAAACTGTTTGGCATCTCCTTTTGTTCGGCATCTCCTTTGTCATTTTTTTTCTTTTTATGGTGCATAAACAGTTTTAATAGGTACCAAGTCAGGACTGCAGGCTGCCAGGTTTAGCACTATGCTGTTAAAATATGAAAGGTCTTCTTAAAAATGCATTTGTTGCTCCAGCATTGATGAACCCCTCTCAGGAAAGCTAACCATGCCATCACTGGTGCTAGCTTTTGACCTCACAATAATAACAAGCCTGATTGCTCTGAAGAGGACATTGACTTCCAAAACCTTTAAGATTCCTTAGTTAAAATTTTTTTTCAAAAAAACATGACCATGCCAAACTTTGATTTATCAGACTGCGGGATAGTTTCCCACTCTGTCCACAGCCCTTTGTCAAATAACTATCCATGTTGCAGATCAACCTGAGAAGCTACAAGGTGTTTTTTCAGGTTGTTTTGACATGTTCTGTTGATTTAGTTTTTCCAAGGTTTTGTTATTTGAGTGTATTTTCTTTGTGTATTTTCCCTAGTGTTTCTGTTCCCTTTTGGTCCTGTTCCCCTGTCGTCCAGTCTTGTAAGTTTTTAGTTTGTATTTGACCCTGTTTCCCTCCTGTTCTCTGTGTTTTATTCTCTAGGTCAGTTTTCTGTGTTTCCTATGTTATTTTGTAGTAGTTGATTCCTTGTTTTCTTGTGTCTGGTTTTACTCCCCTAGTTTTCCCTCCTTCGTTAGTCATCCATGAGTTTCACCTGTGTCTCGTCTGCCTCACCTGTTGCTCGTTTCACAGTGTGTATATAGTCTCTGTCTTCCCTTGTTTCTTTGTTGCTTCATTGTGGGTATGTGAGCCAGTTTACTGTGCTCCTCTTGTGTTTTTTCTCTTTTTGTTGCTTTTCATTTAGTTCTTTTTAATAAATCCTTTTTTTTTTGGTCTGTATTTTTGGGTCCTTTTCCTTTGTTTAACCCTGCTTCATGACACAGGTGTTTCTTTAAGCGTTATGAAACTTTTCTCCATTGTGCTGCCTGTCTTAACTTTTAAAGCAATGCTGCCATTCGATTCAAAATGAGCCCATACAGTATAGTTTCCACTGAAAAACATTTCAACATTGATAGGTTGTTTTTGCACTGTTCTCAATAAAATGATTTTAAAACCATCTAAATAATATTTCTTGTGTAAATAATAGACAACTTTTAGGGACATATTATGTGAGACAACAGACAATTGAATTTCCCTTCAAGGATTAATTCAGTTCTTCTTCTTCTTCTTATATTTTTCAGTGGCTAAGCTGTTTTGGTATATGACTCAACCACAGCAGACAGTAACTCTCTTCAGCTAAAGCTACTGAGAGAAACTTTGCGTTTTGCTGATCTTGTATATGGGAAAGTATCATTTTCCCCTTTGCTGTTTGAACTCTCACACAGGTCACTTTAAGTCTTTACTCTTCAGAGATGTAAAAGTTGTTCCAGCCTTTCCTACACCTACCTGGAGGCTGCAGTTTTTAGCGTTAAGAATAACTATAGACGAAATCAATTTGGTCACAGATGCTCGTATTTAGTTTTTAGTTTTAATTATCATGACAGGTTAGTAAAAATTTCAGTCTGTTTCACAATGAAATCCCCACAGGAGCTTTCAATCAAACTGTCAAACGCAGCAAACACTGAAACAGGTTTTAAAGAGATTGTGTCCATGTGTCTCTCTCCTGACAAACTGTATAATGTCTTTACTCTTCAGTGTCAAACATGTGATTCAAATTCTGCTGAAAAGCATAAGAAAACTGCTGATTGTGGGATGCTGTCACTCAATGCAGCCATCATAAAAGGAAATGAAAACATGTCAGGATGTGTTTCTGTTACATCCTGACTAACAGGGTCTGCGATAGTTCTGCACCTGCATCTGCGCACTGACAGCCGTGATACCAGCTCCGGGGAAATGACCGAGACGTCACTGTGAATTCGAAATGGTCCTGTGAATATTTCTGCCTTAATGTGTGCCCAAAAGCGTGGAAAGGTGTGAAAAATGTATTCTCAGGACTGTTTTTTTAGCACCACGTGTCACCAGGAAAAGTAAAATGAAAGACTTCCAAGGAAGAGGAGGAGGAGGAGAGGATAGAGTGGAAATGTTAAAGGTGTTATTATGTTAGTCTGACACTCACCGACTTCTGTTTCTGTTTAGCCGGGCCACCTACAGTTTCAAACCACACAGATGCATGAAGAGACAAAAAAGTAGAAAACACAAGAACACATTTAGTTACTGACAGGTTAGGATAAGGGAGAGGAGGCGGTTATTGATCAAAGAGAGTTTATCAAACAAACAGCCCTCCAATATGAAGATATCTATCTAATGAGATAGATTCAGCAGCAGCCATGTCAGATTATATCAGTTAGCACCTTTACCTGCCAATCCACAAAACAAGCGTCCAAACATTTCTGAGCGTTACCACTGTCAGTGTTAAATTCAGGAGCTTTAGTGGTGAAGAGTTAGTGAAAAGACGGAAACAAGCGAGGAGAGATTAGTCCTAAACCTGTGGGAGCCGGGGACAAAAATGGGAAGCAGGAGGCTGGCGAGGTAAAGCAAGGTGCTGTAAGCCTCCTCATGTTACCTTCTTAAAGAAGGGCAGGCGGTGGGCGTTGGCCTGAGGGGACGTTACGCTGCCTGACTGGCCCTTGGGGGAGCGAGGGTCACCCTGGAACTCAGGGGGCTCCTCGGCATCCAGGTCGAGGGGGTCAACGTCAAAAGGCACAGTGGACATGTCCACGTGAGCTGATGAAAGGGTGGGAGGATGGGCGGTGAAGAAAGAGAGAGAGGGAGCAGAGAAGAAGGAGGAAAGAGGCGGATAAAGAGGAAATCAATGAAAAGGAGAAGGAGAGAGGACAAAATAACAGAAGGAGAAAAGCAAACAGGAGAGCAGATAGAAGTAAGATATGAGATGCATCCAGAGAGGCATGGAGGAAATTGCAAGAGATGGCAAACACTGAGATCAAGAAAGGTGACATAATATGATGAAACTGGAAGTAGCATTGACAAGAGTTTACAAAAGAAAACATCAGACTATTATGGAGCAAGGCGCAAACACGGCAGGATGAAGGAAAGGTGACAAGGAGAAAACAAAGGTAAAGAAGTGTAAAGAGGAACTGGAGCAAAGGAGCACAGAGTAGGAAAGGAACCAAGCTGGGGGTCAGATTCAAGTGTGTGTCTGCATCACTGTTGGTGATGCAGGTGTGTTTGGTGTGGGGGAGGGGCGGATAAGGCAGGCAGGTGACTTTTTAAGGGAGTCATTCAGGATGTTGGGATTCATGTATTTTTTCACAGAGCATTGAGAAATAAAAACACTGAGTCCACTCCAAGCACTGACCAGCTGAGTAAAAAGCTACAGCTAGCTTAGCTCAAAGGCTCGAAACATGAGGAGACAGCTAGTCTGGCCATGCAAGAGTTTGCATGACTATTCTAGACCAGAATCTGAGCATAAGGGTACTGTCTTTTAAGCAGAGTCCCTTATTGGTTGATATGAACTCTTAAGTCCATGAAACAGTGTTTATTTTTCCCATGTTTGCAATTTCCTCTCCTGCTGTCTGTCTTCGACACTGAGCAGTAGTTCTTTGTTGTCCTGGTGACACAGACTTGCACAAACACAATCACAGAATCACACAATCACACACATAACGAGACGTACTTATCAAGTCTATTAAGAGTTACATATCCTCGGCTCTATTCCAGTCCCGTCCTGCGTGCTAATGACGGACCTCCTCAGACCTCTCTCACTTCACTCGGCGACCCACTGAGACGTTCCTCCCGTGATTCATCATCATGCTTCACTAACTTGCCAATTAAAAATCTTCATCTGAAAATCAGGCACCTCTCTGTCTGGCTGTCTCTCTCATCAAGAGTTCACACACACCCACACAAACACACACTACGTCACTGCTATGCAGGTTGATAAGGAGACCCCGTTGCCCTCACCTGTGCCTGGTGGGGTGGGCCTGCGCGTTCCCGTGGCAACATCCAGACTGGAGCTTCCTCCAGACTTACTAAAATAAGAAAAGAAGCATGAATCATTCAAAGACGCTGAACTTATGATTGAACTTTTTCACATTATTACTAAGAAAATACAATTTTGCACATTCAGGGGATTGACTGTAAGATATCTTCCTGTGTGAGAGCGCTGACTGTCATTACTCTGCTGTAAACACACAGCAATTTTAACATAAGAAACTATGAGAGAGCATTGATGCGCTGATTAATAACAGAGTTTGGTTACAGTAGGAGGAGAAAAAGGATAAAAGAACTACGGAGAGATATATTTGAACTCTAAAGAGCCTTTGTGCCACTAAAAGCACTTTACATGGTCGAAATAACATCTAAAGCCCCGGTTTCACAGATATGAGGCGGATACTCTCCAGTTAGTTGGAGAGCAGTCCAGTGACTCACTGTTGTGTTCTTTGTCTATTTTAGGAGGATTTATGTTACCTGAAGGGTGAAGAGTGACTCAGGCTTGAGTTGTTAAAAAAAGGGGTTAATGTTAGTGGAGGGATTTTTCAGGGTTACCTGGAACTGAGCCGGTTTTGTCTCATCCTCTGCTCCTGCAGCAGGCGAGTGTTCTCCAGTTTGACAGGGCTGGGGATGAAGCCCACCTCACAGCCCTCCTTCACCAGACGCCCGATCCACCAGTCGTTGTTGTACTTCTGCACTCACACAGACAGCAGGAACAAACAATACTCATGCATAGGGCTGGGTGATATGGGAAAAAGTTTATCCCGATATTTTTTCATATCAGTTGATATCGATATAAATCATGATAGAAAAAGATTAAATTTAACAGTGCTTATTGGTAGCATGTCTTTTGCAAAACAATAAGCTCCTACATCTGTAAGGTCATGGTGTCTTTTGAACGTTTTGTCGTAAGGCGTTGCGCTAGAGAAAGCTGACTGAATGTTCGGCTGTTTTGGCTGCACAGGCGCCATGTACTCCTTGCTCTGCTCAGGGTTTGTAACCTTCTGCATTGCGCGTGCTCTGCCGCATGGCACTGCTTTAGGTGGTGAAAAAGATTTGAGGTACTCCCCGACTTTGTGAGAACATATACTCGACATAATTTGCAGTGCACATTACTCTGCTTCATGTCCGACCTAAAAAAAACAGAATACCTCCACACTGCCAACGTTTTCGTGCCAGTGTTGTCAAGGATATCATCATCTGTTGAGCCTTTAGCACATCATTAGTGCAGTGCGGCGCAGACCCGGAACTACCCTTTTCATTGGCTATTCGTATGGTCTACCAAAACATGGCAGAATGCAGACTATCAAAAAGTATATTGACTATGTTTCATATCGATAAATTTAAAAAATAATAAATGATTAATAAATTAATTTTCAATATATATCATTATCATTTTATCGCCCAGCCCTACTCAGGCATCAACATGTGTCAAAATACAGCCACAGCATCAAACTAAACTGGTTTGGCTTTTATGTCATTTTTAGTTTTGTTCAAGATGTTTTTACTAGAGGCAAGTTGGGGAAGCAAAAGCAATACTTTCAATCAAATTTTTCTTATCCAAAGTTAGTTCACCCAATTCTGCTTGCACTGCAGCTCTTGTTACTGCTAACTCCCACTCAAGGCCTGGCTCAAGTTTAAACAGAAGGAGACAGTGCAGTGAGTTGCAGTAAAACATGATCCTTCACTGCATTCACACCCACCATTACTGCCAATTGTTAGGAGAGGCCAAAACTCCCAAACACAAATCTACAGTTGCTCTTTTTTTCCCTCACATCATTTATGAGCCTCTTTAGGCATGTTTGGTGAAATGATTTATCAAAAAGTTCAGATGGGTTTACACATTTTTAACCCTGCAGCACTCCAGAGTGAGTAAATCTACTCTTTGAAACAAAATACATTTACTGCAACTCTTCCTTTTTGTGTTTTTAGATAAGAAGACAACACCTCTTTGATGTGCAAGAAGTCTTTGGCTTCGAAGGATATGGCCATGCCCTGCACAGGAACATCATCACTTGGGCCGGGGTTGTAGCCGACATTTGTCCGCACAGCAAACGCCACAGGTTTGGTCTGGAGAAACCAAGTGAAACAAAGACATGAGAGAACAACCAGCTCACAAAGGCTATAGGACAAAAATGTAGCAGCTGATCTCTGACCTTTGCTTTCTCGAGTGTGGCAAGAGCCTGTCTGTCAGCCTCCTTCCTCAGAGCCTCAGGGTCCTCTTCTAGGGACACATCTGAGTCCGACGGCCGGCTGGTGTAAGAGTCTGCAGACCCCTGAAATGCACAGTGAGTTTACATAACGGTTAGCAGAGGAACCAGAACTAAAGTGCATCACATGTCCATGAAACAACCCTCAAAAGGAGCAAAAAACAAAGACAATAGCCCAGTTTTAATGTTCAGACCAACCTTTTGGTTCATCTTTGGGTAATCCTAGTGTCCCTCTATTTCCTGTTTTAAAAAAATCAACAAGCACAGGAGAGTCTGTGTCTTTGTAAATTTTTTGCGCCAAGTGTCAAGACTGCCTTGAGAAGCACAACCCGCATGGACACAAAAGGGGCCGTGGCCTTCATATTACATGAAAGCTGACTCTGTGTAATTTGAGGTGGAGAGGATGCACAATAACAGGCCGACATTTCCACTGCAGGTGCAGCGAGGCCGAGGTGTTCGTGTTTTCACGTGTGGCGCGCTCAGTGTGGGTGTGTCAAGTAGAGACAGCAAAAGTTAGAGAAGAGAGAAAAAAAATGACTGTTTATAATATCAGAGTGGAAATAAATTCCTCATGAAGTGGACACGGTTTCAAACACATCCACCACTCATGCTCGGTAACTTGACCCCCCTGCTGACCCCTCATCCAGACACCCATACCACAATAAAAACCCAAGCCTCCTGCAAGCCTGCAGCCCACTGCAGCGCTCAGCAGTGAGGGGAGGCAGCCTGAACTTTTAAATGTTTGAGTGTTTAACTTATATAACAATCCCACTTGTTCTCTTCTTGCTGTTTCTCTCTCTCTTTTTCTCTCTCGCTCGCTGACAGGCTGCTTGGCGCTTTGTAGGAGGTGCTGACAAGAATGCGGACAGCTGAATGTGCCAGGCAAGAGAAGTGAGTCACTAGGTGTGGGTTTTTAAAATAGAGGTGAGAATGTGCAAAAATGACATACACCATATGTAATGAGGCAGTAAAATTCCCTGCACATGTGTGGTGAGACATCATCCATAGCGTGGTTAATGAGTACAGTAAACATGGCTGTAGATGCGCTGAGAGATGTTTGAAATATCAACAATGACACCTCAGGGTTAACGTCGTTATCTAAAAGCACCGTTCATGACAAATATGAGCGTGTATGAACCATAGACTGTATATACTATGGACAACTTGGCTCCGCCTTCCGTCGTTATACGAATTTGAAGCTGAATTGCTCTCGGTATTTCCGGGATTTCCTCCACTTCCAGGAACCACCACTTGTACAGTAGTGTTGTATGCATCCGGCAGGAGAGTCGCTGTGATGGCACTCTGCTCAAACAGAGTATCCCCTGGGTGAGCTACGCAATCTTCGTACGCCCATAGGCTGTATCAGGTGTCAATCATAAAAAACATGAACCCCCAAAAACCTTTAAAAATGGAGCTGCACAGAAAAAAGAGGACTTGAGCACAAACCAGTCTTAAAGTAACCACATGTTAACATCACAACCGGGGGGAAGAAAAATTTATATTCTTTGTAAAAAATTTCTAAAATTTGTCCACAGCTTAGTAGGGATTGCTGGGGAAGGTGGGATTTGTGACCTATACTGCAGCCTGTCACCAGAGGGTGCTGTTCTCGCGGTGGCTTCACCCAGCGAGGAGGAAGACGACATCCATTCTATATACAGTCTATGGTATGAACCCTCTTGGTGTGGTGTCACCTGAGTCAGAATTTGCTTTCAGTAAAGATAGTAAGTTAAAATAAAAAAATTAAATGTCCGGCTAACTGTATGCTTATTGTTTTGCTATTTTTCCCTTAAAGTTCAAGGAAAAGAGGGGCGGCATTTCCTCTAGGTGGTGCAAACATAGCAGGTTTGAATTTGGTTGGGGGTCCTCTGATGTTTTTTACCTTATACGGTACACTGCACAAAAAAAGCACTTTAGTTATGTGTCATCCTGCAAGTTAAAGACCAAATATCATTTTTCTTAAGTTGGGTGTAACTGCTGCAGTGTGTGCACCAGTTAAGTGAAAGAACAAAACCTCATGTAAGTATCATTCAACTTTCCAGAGCTGATTATCTGCTTGTCAATACTGCAGCTCAGACAGAAAAGGCTGCATATAGGCAGGATACCAGCGCCTCCTGATCCATCTGTGTGTATAATCACAGATTCACACATGAGTCCTTCCCTTGTTTGTTGGTTTTATTTAAAAAGCCAGAACCAAGTTAAATACTAGAGAGACATGAAATTGATTTTGTGTCAGGATACAATTCATCAATTTTTCAAACTAATTATTAATTGTAAAGAACACTGTGTCTCTCCTGTGCTAGAATTTTCCAGTTTCTATTATGATCATCTATTTATTTTACAACATATTTTTAACTCTCTCATTAATAACACGTGTATTCATGTCATTCAATAACATGTCTGCTGTCTGTTCCGGACTCTCCAAAGAACTTCCACACAGCCTGCATGATGGAAACTATCATTACAGGCAGATAATTAATGGATAAACTTACCGGCTGTACATCTCAACGCTAAATTCAGTCTGTAAGCTGTTATCTTCCATTACTAATATTTCTGATCATATCTTGCATCCCTGTAAAACACTAAAATAATGCATTTATCTGGAAAGAGGTCAGTGAAACCAATTATTTCTCCCCAACACGAGGGTCTGGAGAGAAATATTTGTTGTTTTTGGTATAGTGCAACATGAAGCATAAATAAATGTCTGGTTTATGCTCTTCCGTACATCCGATTGCCATCCATGCATCTCTTTATGACTTGAGATGACAGGACAAACACAAATATTGATTCTAGCTCTGCCACTTGTTGAACTGAGGCTCTCTGTGACTTGACAACCAAATGTAGTCCCTCCTTGTTGCCAAGGCAATGGCTGGCTACTCCTCGTGTCCTCGGGCATCCACAGACCATCCGTACTTCCTGTTTCATTTTACTCAAACGCCAGTAGTGGTGGACCCGCATCCCACTCTGGTAGGAGGCATAATCCGCAAGTGGCATGCAGCATGTAATGAGCACAATAAAAGCCACCTCCACCTCCCTGCTCTGAGTCATTATCCAAACCGTGCAGGTGTATCCCCACAATGAGCTCCCACTAAGTGATGCTAAACCTTGACAGGGAGCCCATGAGGGTGCTCTGAGAGAAAGAAAAACTGTTGCAATGACGTCTGAATCAACTTGAGACTGACCGACTTGCTACAACGGGTCAGTGATGCGGCAAAATGTAGAGCAAAGAAAGAGTGGGAGGGAAAGGCGATGACTGTGTGTGTCTGTGTAAATACGTGTGTGTGGACAAACACTTGGATCTGAGTCACACATGCAGTGAAGTCACGTCACACACACAGAGGAAAAGGAAAGGGCTGAGAGGAAAAGATGGATTTTTGAGCTGGACAAAAAAAGCTTTTATTTGTATCTAAAAAAAAAACAAACAAAAAAAAACAGCAGCTGAACAACAACAACCTGTTTCCACACATCCTCTCTACAATCCCACCAGAACCTGTTGATACATCATGGGAACAACTTCAGGCTTTTTTCTTCTTCCTTCCTTCCTTCCTTCCTTTCTTTCTTCCTTCCTTCCTTCCCTCTCTTCTTCTCCACCACTCATGTCAATGAGTTGTGTCTCTTATTTAGCAGCTTGCTTCACTTCACATACAGCTCCTGTTCAAAATAGCAACAGGTCACCTGATCCTGGAGCTGGCTTCCTATTGGCGGTGCCAGACCAGAGACCCCGGCAGTGTCATAGTAACCGTCTCTGCAGCTTATTACAGGCAGCGAGCGGTGAGCGCTGCATATGGACAGAGATTAAAAAAAGAGGAGATACTGAAATCAATAGTAAATAAAATACCCTGAGGGAAAATGAGCGGCGGAGAGATTGCATAAAAGCTTTTCAACAGGTGATCGATGAGGCATTTTCTTGTGCTGTGAGGCTGCAGACTGGTCAATATGTAGGGGGATAGCGAGGCAGTGACAATAATAAACAAAATGCTTTGGCCTTTAAGGCAGACAGTCAAGTTTTAACTAACAAGAGTCCAAAATAGGAGCTGTGACATTAGAGCAAACTACAGGAAAGCAGCGAGAGGTGAGACTCTGTGATTCTCCAGAAAATGAACTGACAGTGTTTCTCCTCCATCTCTGCTCTCCGCCGTGCTGCCATCATGATAAATTTACACCCCCTTAGCATTGATATTGAATAAATGGAGGGGGAGAAAAAGAGAGCAACAGTGTATGTGTGTGTGTCTGTGTGTGGGGAGGGGGGTAATGGAATAAGGAGTAAGGGCGGGCCAGCCGAAGACAAGTGCTTTGAATAATGAGGTTGGAAAAGAGTCACCCTGCAGCAGGGAAACGAGTTAACAGAGCTAGCCTGATGCACCAGCACTCTTAAAGAGGGAATTTCAAAAATAAAACACAGGAATAGAAATGTCCAAAGATACTGATCCAGAATGAAAATAATACCAGTCTAATATTTTTCCTGTGGTTGTTTCAGATAACAGGTCAGAGAGCGAAGATTTGAATCTGCTTCTGCCGTAAACAACGAGACCACACCAGACTTATAACTGGGGGACTGATGACTATCTAAGAGAGCTAACACATCCCACAGACCCCTGCCCTGATAGAAACAGCAGATTAAAAAATATCTGCACACTTATCAGCCAACATAATGTGAAAATCACATACAAATAATCATTATCCCCTTTCCCTTTTTGCTTTATCGCTGGGAATCAAACAATCCACAAAAAATCACATCATCTCACACAGAAAAAAAGACACAACACGTCCACAATGAGAAGAGCTCAGTCCAGACAGGTCCAGGATAGGAAACTGGAGTAATGAGGTAAGGAAGGGGAATATATGTCTCACTTCTACAAACCGAGGGACAGATTTTCTGTCTGAAGCTCCAGGGCTGTCGGCAGTAAGAGGCCATATTTCTTTTCTTCTTTTTTTTTTTTCTGTCACAGCAGCGTCATGGCAACCAGCTGGACAGTGAGGAGATGACTGGAAAGATGAGTCATGGCCTGAAATCCCTGTTTTCACTAACAAGCAAACAAGGAACTCCAGTAACAAGGTGTTCCTGAAAATCTCAAAACAATCCAGTGACCGGTTTAGGGTGGGCGGGGGTTTTAAAAATAAGATCCAAAAATAATACGCCACAATTCAGTCTAGGAGCATGCGCCGAAGGCAAACCCTCAAAATACTGACAGATTTCAAGTGGAGTTAGAACTGCTAACTAACGCACCAAGAATGCCTACATTTAAACTCTGGCCTTGATTGTAGACACATTATTTAGTGTAATGATCAAACAGTGGTATGGTCTGGGGTGCTGGTTTGGCCCCAACCCCTCAACGGATGTAAGTTCTCACCACATTCAAGCTGTCCTATCAGGGCAACAAAGCCTGAAGACTAACCATAAAAAGTTGTTTGGTTTGATTGAATTTCCAGTCTGAATCATGATAAATGAGTTTGTCACTAATTGTGCACATTCATTCATGCTGTGAACATACAAAAAATAAATATCAAAGACTAAGAAACAATGAATGTTTTCGGTTATTATTCTGGAGGGAAACGGTTTGATTTTCTTTTCTGTGTTTTTATGACAGCAAACTTGGTCATTTTTGGAAAATCTACCAGACAAAACAAACAACATGAAACATCAATTTTAAAGTCAGTGCTCCAAAAGGGAAACACATTCACATTTGCATGTTTTCCTCTATTGAACCTGATCAAAAGTTCTGCAGCAGAGAGTTTTGATTTATCATGCAGGCCTCTGGACAAAAGAAACTTTGAATAATCCATTTGGAAAACAAAGGCATGACAGGCTTCTCATATAATTTTTCTGTGATTATCTTTTTTTTTCTTTCAGTCATTTAACAGGCAAACTTTGGAAATATTCAACATAATTTTTCTTTTATACTCTTAAATGTGACAATAAGAGACATTCTACCTAGCTTTGTGTTCAAAATGGATTGCAGAGCAAACAAATACTTTGTTTTCGAGACAACAAGCTGGACTTGAAGAGTGGATTGATCGATCTAAAAATCACCTGACGTATCAAACTAGTCAAAGGCTGAAACAAGTTCTATCTATTCTTCAAATCACAATAACTGTTCAAGTAGAGCCTTCAATAAAATATAATAGTAACAACCGCCTGGCGCAGCAAACACCAAACAATCCAGATTCAAGTTTTTAGAGCTCTAACAGCTGACTGAACCTCCAGCCTTGGCCTGTTTGGGACATGGGGACAGCCGTAAAAGAAACCCCCCTGTAGCAGCCACAGGGCAGGCGCTGCACATAGCATTGGAGGCGGTCAGTGAGACTGGAAGTCTAATTAAAAACACAGCGCCTTTCCAGCAGCTGTGGCCCGGCCCAAAATGGAATCACCCTCACAAGAGGGGCAACGAAGGAAGAAAGACGCAAACTTAAAGGTAAGGCGCTACCGGAACACAGACAGAGAGTTATTCCATATCTCAGAGCTCAAGAGTCTGCTGAACCTTGAAAACTTCATCCAGATCGTCACAGAGAAACTCAAACACAAACTGATTCTAGATCAGTCAGACGCAGGAATAACTCTGGATTAATCCAGATCCTTCTTACCACAACGGGCCTTTGGATCCTCTCAGTCCTCTCCATACCTCGTTTGCCACGCTCGCCACACCACGGCAAACCAAGGGGGCACCACCAGAGTCCACAGACGGAGTTATGTGTGTTTGTGTGTGTGAGAGATAGTGGTAACCAATGTGAGCGAGTGTGTGTCAAGTGCACAAGTGAACATGTGTGTGTGTTTGTGCGTGTGCGAGAGTGCGTGTGGTGTGTATGATGGGAGAGAAAGCCAGAAAAGAGTGTCGTATATGTGAAACCAGGAGAGCGCTCTCTTAACCTCCAACCCCTTCGCACACACTCACCCCCTCCCACACACACAACCCGGAGGAACGTGAACCCTGTGTAGAGGAAGGGAGCCGGGTGGAGGGGGGCGTCGGGTTGCAGGACTTGTGCTACATTTGCAAAGTGGGGAAATATATTTAGACCAGGCCGGGGCAGAAACAGGGACATGAACGCAGTGAGACCCAGAAGGAGGCTCGGTATGCAGCCGTCAGCCATTCAATGCCCTGGCTGACGTGGGAGAGGGGCTGGGCAGTGTCCAGGGAAACCCCCTTCTTACCTCTCTTTCTTTATTTCATACCTCTTGTCCCTCTGATCTCACCCTCCCCAACCCCTCTCTTTGTCTCTTTGTGTATCTGTGTACCTCGCAAAACAAAACAAAAAACAGGGATCAGACCAACAAGGATACGAGGGGAGTCAGAGCAGGAGCAGTAGACTGGGGTCAAAAAAACAATAACTTCTCTTAATGAGCCTGGCAAGCGACTGTTATCTACTTCTCAATATATCATTCTCTACATCTTTATATCACACAAAATTACTCTTAGTTTAAATCAGTTGGGACACTGGTAAAAAGTAGGCGTGGTTGGGAGGGTGGTGCCGGTGCATGGGGTCCAGTGTGTCCACAAGAGGGCGACCTTTGACACCATCAAAGGCGTGTCTTCATGACTGACCACCTCTTCTCTTCCTCAGCAGATGACAACAAAGTCAGCTGAGGAAGGTGGAGACATGGGAGAACCAGAAGCAGACCCACCAGCTGGCTCTTCATACAGTCCAAGACAACAGCAGCCAGCATTCATCTGTCAGGACCAACAGGAGGCCTACTTTCTTCAGGAGCTCGACCCTCAAAACCTTCCACATATGAAAACACAGCCAAGACCGACTCTTATCCTCCCATAGGTATCGGAAAATGTTAGTGGGATACAATCTCTGGTCTTTACAGAACATGAGAGTTTTTTTTCACCCATGCTTTATGGTTTTAACTTCGTCATATTTAAGGCATTTAGGGAGATTATGGAGGAGATGCAGAGTCCTCAGCTTGCTCCAAAATGTTTAAACTTCTTACTAGGGCTGGGCGATAAAACAATAACGTGTATATCAAAATGAATTTCAGTCAATATCAATTAAAAACATGTTCAATATGCTTTTTGATAGTCGTCATTCTGCCATGTTTTGGTAGACTATACGAATAGCCAACAAAAAGGGAAGTTGCTCTGCTGAACTGAACCAATCATGTGCTAAATTAGAACCAAGTAACAAACAACTGTATAGTAGCAGGCTGCAGCTACACACAACCATAGCACTTTAACGCATGAAGCCGACAGCACTGTCAGTGAAAGAAAAAAGAAAATGAGTGATGCAGATGAAGGCTTAACAGATGATGATATCATTGACAACACTGGCACGAAAACGTTGATGGTGTGGAGGTATTTTGTTTTTTTAGGACGGACAAACAGCAGAGTAATGTGCACTGCAAATTATGTACATGTGGTACATGTTCTTGCAAAGTTGGGGAATATCTCAATTTTTTTTCACCACCTGAAGCAGTGCCACGCAGCAGAGCATGTGCAATGCAAAAGTTTACAAACCCCACTTTCTCTAGCGCAACGCCTTACAACAAAATGTCAAAGAGACACAAAGACCTCACAGATGCAGTAACTTATTGTATTGCAAAAGACATGCTACTAATGCAACGTTGAAAAAAATATATCCAGGTAAACTTTTTCCCACATTGCCCAGCCCTTCATCTTACATTTCCATCGAAAAACACTGTTTAGAGCGTCCTGTTTTAAAAATGACTGTCAATGACAAAAAAGGCTTGTGAGGACTCTGCATGGGGCACAAGTATGGCACAAAAACTGGACTGATAAGGCTTGCCAACCTTCAGAGACTTTAAAAACTGTTGCAGAAACATGAAATATTTCATCCTGCTCAAACTAAGGATGCACAGGTGCGTTTTTAACACCAAGCAGAATTACATAACCTGCACTTGTTAGCTCTCATCCCAAAAAAAAAAATGTATCGCAAAATGGACTTGCAAAAAAATAGCCGCAGAGTGTAATGAGAAGCAGAAAGCCTTTACCTGAGCCAGGATCTTGGTATGTTAAATTGGTTTTATCTTTTCAGTCTGGAGCTGCAGGTATTAGCTTCTTTTTAGACCCAGAGTTAGTCTAGTGTTTCACATGGAAAGTGCATGTTAAAGAATTGTCTTTAAGGTTCAACATAAATGAATAAGGGACTAAGAATATGAACTTTATTGATTCCTGAAGGGAAATTCAAATCCTATTAGAGAGACACAAATTTTTCGTCAAGTGCAATGTCCTAATTCAGATTTTTATAACAATCAAGATGGTTTAGTTTTGGATGATCAGACATGAGCATCTTACATAATGACTTTTAATAGTTGTTACAACCTGACAAACTGTTTGCGCAGCTTAAAAACAGACAACATGAGAGTTAGCTCCAGTCTTACTTTCAGGGGATGCCTTTACTTTAATAAAACCTTTATCTTTAAAAGTTAAAATAGGCTTTTAACAGCTGCAGGATCAAATCAAATTTGTACCACGTTCCCCTAGTCCAGCAGCAGACCACAGCATCCGCAGACAGTCTCTGCCCGTCTTTGCACGACTGAGGACCGAGCCTGTTTTTGTTGGACTCGGTACACAAACCAGCTCTGCACCTACCCACCCACATAGACACACACACACACACACACGCACGCACGCACGCACACACACACACACACACACACACACACACACACACACACACACACACACACACACACACACACACACACACATGTATTCACTCTTACAAACACAAACCCATCTAAACATCCTCTCCTTCGTCCCTCCATCCCACCATGCTTGCACACAGGAGGAGATTTAGCAGACCCGGTCGCCATGGAAACCAGGCTCAGTGTACCAGCCAGCTCTACTGTTGGCTGATTGTGGCTCTCGCGTATTTGCGTGTGCGTGAGTGTGTGTGTGTGTGCACTCCTGCGTAGGTGTGTGTGTGAGACTGTAAAGCCTATACAGGGCTCTGCTTTGAGTTGCTCAAGGGGTGGCTAAAATAGATTGTATGTAAGAAAGCCTACAATGTGTCTGCAAGCTGTTTTCCCAGCAATAACTGACATTTTTTTAAAACCTGGACATGGATGCAGAGTCTGAATCACACAAAGATACTCTATGCATGGATGGCTCAGTTTTTAAAGCAATTTCTGGTGTGAGAGCAGTATTAAAAATCCTTCATGCTGGCCTTGATGAGTGAAATGCTGTGGAATGGTGTGGACAGCAGAGGACATTTTTTCACAGGAAGTGTTAAATCATCCTTACTACGGGTAATGAGTTCTTTCTACTGTGTGAGCCATTATGAATCTGCCAAACCTGCAGGCCCCAGTGCATGTAGTCCACCTGCAAGGCGAGTCACAGAGTTAATGAAGAACGAGGCAGAAGGAGAGGTGATGTGTGTAGGCGAGGATGCAGCTAACCTTTGGAAACCGCGGGAGGGTTCAGCTCCCTGCGGTCACCGACAGGGATTCTTTTCCCTTTATTTTCAGCAGGAACAACAGCAGTGTGTAGGTAAATGTCATTCAGTGCAGGGGCAAATCATTTCCTCTCACAATTGAAGAGGTCACAAGGAAAAAAGGGTGGCTTTGAGAAATGCCATGTCCAGACAGGACGGCGGCGAGAGTAGCGAGGGAGTGATGCCTGCGAAGGAAAGCAGCTTCTTACAGCGAAATGATGCGACCGGCTCCTGTCTTTGTGTACAAGGAGGGGGAGTCAGGGTGAGACGAGAGTAGTGAGGGGGTGAGACTAACACCTGTGGACTTATAATCACTATCAGAGCCCTGAAGGAATCTCTGTGTTTATGTTTGAGGTCAGGCTGTAGTCTCAGGGGTTTTACTGTTGTTACCCTGATACCATCAAAGCCGTTTTAACGTGTGAGCTGACTGTGTAGGCTATCTGTGACAATCATACAGGTGCAGAGAGACAGATACACCTTGTTTGAAGATGAGAAAATGAAAGATTTGGCTCTCTGAGAGTATCTGTGAAGAGCTGCGACAGAGCAGACATACTAAAAGGAATAATGATCCAGAGATGACAGCCGCTGGAAAAACTGAGGGGCGAATGAAAGCACGAAAATCTACACTGAGATCCATTTACTCCTCATCATAGCTGGGGGAAAGTTTCTAATGTCTGCTCTCTTCGACTGCTGTGGACTTTCAGCATCACACCATTATACTCATACCCTCACATAACTTATTAATTGCTATATTCAGTCCTTGCAGTGTGCTCATTCACGCCCTCCAATTTCACATGTCTCTCTTCGACAGAAATCCTGCAGCAGATTTCAACGTCAGCACAGCAAATGGAGCAAATCATGCAGAAAACTAAATTCAGCTGAAGTAATTCTACAGAAAAAAAAGACTGATCCTCAGCAGCTCAGGATCGCGTTAAGATGATTTTAGTAATTAAGAATTAAGAGATATCCAAGCGTGACAGAAGACTCCACACTTCTCAAGCAAACCTGTATACCACCTGTATAAAAAATACTTTCACACCTGTGCATATAATGTTTTATATTTTTACAAAGTCATATTTTAACATTTATTTTATTGTATCAGTTGTTTTGAGATGATTTATGTTATCTCTATATGTGATAGACAGCAGCACAGAAACTATTTGGGGAATTTAAGATATAAAACTTATTAAAGTAAAGCTAAAGTAAAGTGCAAACAATTAAATATTTAGTTGATGGTAATGAGTTTATGATACTCATGTGAATTCATATATTTAAAAATCCCTCCCAAAATTAGAAAATTAAAATATGCCAAATAAAAGGTCCACAACACGAATGAATTTGAATATTTGTTTTTCCCAAAAGTAGAGCTGAAAAAACCTGTCGCCCCTCATGTTCTGAAAAGCTACATCAACTTCTTTCTTCTTGTGTTTGTAAAAGTTGGACTCCTGATTTTAAAATTTTCAACAAAAAAAAATCACTAAACTTATGCTGCGAGAAGATGAAACTTTTTTTTAAGATGCAAACGTCACCATGGAGCCGCTGAGCCTCCAGCACTAACAGTCCTCACTCTGACCTCATTAAACTTTCATTCGAACCTTCATTAAATGAAACAGTTGGAAAGTTGAAGCCCAGTCTCGCTGCTGGATTAGTGGTCTAAAGACAGGATTAGAGGTGATGTTACCTGTCGGACAAAGCTGTTGGAGGTGGTGTCAGAGGAGGTGCTTCCATCCGAGCGCTTAAATCGGCTCTTCCTCTTGGCGTACTTTCCCTGGATAAGGAGAGGTCAGAGGGTGTGAGGGAGTAGGAGGGTTTCAGAGGAAAAAGAGAGAGAGAGACAAAAAGTTAAATAACTTTTAATTAGAGTGCTTTTTAATCACTGTATCCTCACTTAAATCCTTGTTTCCTGGGAGCAGAACAACTATTAACATTTGGCTCAGGATGTGAAGATGATCCTGAATATGATCATCAGCAGTCAGACAGAAACAGCCTGAGCCTCAGACTGAGAAAGTCCACCAGAGAGAACGCACCCGCTGTGTCCATGAACACCCTCCATTACTTTCATTTTTCATGCTCTGATGCAAACTGGGACCTTGTAATCTGATTGGAGGACCCCTTGCAAGGGTTGGGCTGAGGCCACACATTCGCATCGCATTATGAGCCCTTCCAGCCCATATCGCCATGGTTACACAACGCAGACTAATCACATTTGTTGGTAATCAGGAGGCTCGGGCTGCGTTTGTCTCACAGCGGGTAAAAAAGAACCACTGGCTGAGAAAAGATTCACAAATAAGAATACAAAATGTGACTTTTTGCTTTAAAACATCTACGACCGATGACACACCTGTGTGTATGAAGGCCTCTGGATCATTATAGTCACGTCCAGCTCTCATCTGTAGTGGACTGGGATTGTCAGGAGAACACTATGGTGGTGCTTTTTCTCCTACAGATCTCTTGTGCTAAACACTACTACTGATCATATAAACAAAAAACACCATTTTTAGAAAATTACACCTATTAAGTAAGCATGACAGTTTCCCTTTTTGCCCTGGAGGATTTCTGCTTGTTTGTCTAAAGACAGTGGCAGCAGTTTAAACAAGAGGGCAGAGAAGTGGCCGGTCTGTGCTGTGAGAATTGTTCCGTCAATAGTGACTGTCCATCAACCCGAAGTTTCCTTTTTAAAGTTTTCGCGTTCAAGTTTTTGTCATCTCTTTGTAAACGCAGCTCCAACACCACTGTATCAAATAGTCTGCACAACTTACACAACTCTTAATTATCTTAGAGACAATGCAGTTGAGATGGCAATGAACTTACAGTCTGTGCGGCATGTCTCTTGAAGACGCAGACACAGATTCTGCTCTCAGCTGCGTCGTCAGTTTTGATCATTTCAAGGTTGATTAAAATGATGAAGTCATGCTCTGATATATCTCCAAACTGTGACAAACTGTGACTTCGACATGGAGATACTGAAGTTAACAGCAGCAGTATCAAATATCACACTTACTTCACCCTAGCTGTTAAACCCTGTTGTAGAGCAAACATAAAAAGCAGCTTTGGGACTTTAAACAGAACAGATTTTTATGAACTTCAGATTCCTGATCTGACTTTTACCATTTTAGGTTGCAGGATCTTGAGGTAAGCTGTGTGTAGGACATAGGCATGGCCTTACAAATGCCATATATATATATATATATATATATATATATATATATATATATATATATATAATTTAATGAGGAGGCCATGGGTATAACCATCCTTCATGGTATCATGTATTTGCTGAAAAGAAATAAATCTCTATGAATTAGGCCGATATATCGTTTTAGCATCATCATCACGATGTAGCCTACGTGTGTGCCATAGTCACATGGCAGAGCCTGCGATGTCTGAAGTGAATGAACTCAGTTAATTTCAAGGGTAACTGACTGTGATACACTGCATGTGACTCTGCATGTGCTGTGCAGCGATCCACCAATCACCTTTGTCCTTTACTCAGTTGCCAATCAGACTACCCTGCCAGCTGTCAATCAAATTTACAAAGGAAGAAACCCACCCCTGCACATGTTCTGCACATGGAGTTACTCGCTGGCTGCAGGTGTTGAGCCGAAAAACGCGTGTCCGCTGAGAATTACTTTCGGAACTTTATTCATGACTGTTAAGCCCAACAAATAAGAACAGTATGGGTTTTAAAATGTATATTTCCATGAACCACTCTACTATAAGCGGTGCGCGTTTTGCGAGGTGCATGCAATTCTCGGAGGACATGTTTCTCGGCACAACACCGCTGACAACAACAACAACAACAACGCTATGTTAGTTTTTTCCAATATCGTGCAGCCTTACTATGAATTAGTTATTTTTCTCCTGTTTCACTTTGCGCAACTCAAATGTAATAGTAAAATGAAACTGGCTGATAACACCAGCATCAAATCCCGTTTCTTTCTTGATACTTCCTGAACAGTGTTGTCAAAAACTGTCGAGCCAAAAATGAAGAATTACAATTCTGTCTTGTCCTCTGATTATTTCAGACCACTTTACACAAGCATAGCTCTTTTACAGGATCAACTGTGATAAGACTGAGTGAGAAAAAAATAGAAGAAGCTCTGGCATATTTTTTAAAAATAAAAGGAAAACACTTGAGTCTAAAAAAGTATTCATTTGTATTAACAAGAAGGGAGAGATGCTCAAACCTGCTGCACAGACTATTAAAAATCTGAAAGATCAACAGTGTTTTAAAAAGCACTTGTTGGTGGTATTAAATATTCAGTGTAAATATTGTGCGAAGAAGACTCTGTTCTCTTCGCAGACAACGGCCCAAAACAAAAACAGTTTGTTTTCACACACTCCCAAATAGAAAACCAACCGGACTACAATCAATACCCTACACACACACATATACACACTCACAGGTAAACTAATGTAAACACAATCACCTCAAAATATCTGTTCCTGAATCAGCAGGACAAATACAGCAAGTCATTAAAAACAATGCTTCCTCCTCTGCTCACTGTTCTGTTGGAAGTGTCCCATCACGTAGGACAGGGCACATCCAGGCCCTCAGATGAATGACGCCGTCCTGCCTGCCTTTAAACAAACATGACCTGTTACACCAGCGCCAACTGGTGTGAACATAAAAACACACTGCGGCTAAGGGGTTACCAGTGTGAATAGATAAAAGAAAAACACATCTGTCGCTTCATCAGGAATCCATTTGAATTTCTTTTCTACCTCCTGTGGCACAAAAATCCGAGCTTGTGAACCTGTGCTACATGATAAAAGCTCCACTGGGTCCTCTGCAGGCAACTTACAGAGTCAACACACTGCTTATTACTGCATTACACATTTACACATGCACACTCTCTTAGTTTCAGTGTTCAATTTAAACCTGGGGTGATGATGCGTGAGTGAAAAAAAGATGTAGATGTGCAGCTAGCATCCCTGCTGGCAAATGTTTCCGCCCACACTCGCTGAAAAAGTTGTTCAAGAATCACGACTTTGTGCACGAACTTGTGTTCACTAATAACTGTGCTGATATACACTCTACATGTATTTTATTTTGTCTCTGCATGTAAATGTTCAATATTTTCCCTAGATTCATACTTTTTGCCAATGTTTTAGGCTTGTTTTTCAAATACATACCACAGACTGTATATTATATAGATGTACGCTGACCAGTCATAACATTGTGAACACCAGGGCAGTCTAATGCAATCCAATACAACAGCTCTATTATGAATCCCTCTTCCAGGAAGCTTCTACGTTCAAGTTTCTGCTGACATGATCAGGTAAGTGATGATGGTACTCCAGATTTATGAACAAGGACATAGTGAGTGGTGATGGCTGCAACTTAAACATTTAATCATGGGAACAGTTTTCACCTGTCTGACCATGTCAACAAAAACTAAACATGCAGACACTACCTGAAGGTAGACCTTCGAGTTGTTAGCTGCTGTACTGAATTGCTCATAATAGTATGGTTGGTCGGTGCATATATCAGGATATTCACTCTCAGAGTCAAAATTGAAAAAAAGAGAAACAGGTTTAGCAAAGCAGTTCTCTCTCCTGTTTATACCGGCTGGAGAAAGATTGAGAGAGATGAAAGTCTATTTTACAGTTTATCTGAAGATGAAATGAAGCTTCAGCTGTTGGAGTCTGGCAGATTCAGAGGGTCGAATATTTCGCTGCTATCGCTTTTCTGCAGCTCTGTAGAAAAATTCTGTCGAGGGGACACCCCAAAGAGGGGATTTTATACTTAAAAAGGCCATGACTTTGAAACGTATCCACTTCATCTGAATAATCCAGTCTGCTGAAACCTCTTTATAAGCTTTAGATTAACTCTGAATACATATTTTTTGCACATAGAGGACTGTGGGTTTAGTCTCTTGCTTTTGAACAAATGAGATGAGAAAAAGTGTGATTATAGCAGGCGGAACCAGATTAAATTTTTTAATGGACATTTGACTATTGATTGAAGTCTGTTAAAAAAACTGTGCATCTTCCTGTGTAGACTGCTGAGTCGTTTTCGCACATATACTCCTGGAAATTTCCAGAGAAACGCAGAACAGCCTGCTCCTAAAATGTTGCATATTTGCAGTCATCACAGCACAGAGCGTGACTTCTTATCCTGTAGGATGTGATGGAGGGGGCTCTGTTTAATTCTTTACAACATATCCAAAATGCCAGACAAAGCAGATGGCACTCTTTTTTTTTTGGCTTATTATTAATACTACATGTAAGTGGACATACTGTATATGCAGTAAAGAAATTAAAATTATTATGTTAAATTTGGCAGTTTGCTTTCTCACATGCAGCCTAGGATTTTGGCACATGTATGAATACATTTAAGGCCTCCCAAGCTTACTAAAAAACTAGTTCAAGAAACACGACTTTGTGCACGACTTTTGTACTACATGTAAATGGACATATGAGCAGTAAAGACATAACAATTATATTGTTAAATTTGTCAGTTTGCTTTCACACATGTGTGAATACAGTTTAACAGAAAAGGCCCTCAGACGCCCTCTAATCTGCTTCACATGGACTGACTGAAAAATTTGTTTCCACTCATCTAGGTAAGATATCCATAAACAAATCCCAGGCATAACTGAGCATTACCATCATCTTGAAGAGGTTGTGTACAAATTCCTCCCGCTAAATGCTGAAGTCTAAATCAAATCACTTAAAATTCTAAACAAAGACAGGCACAGCCCAGTTTGCAGGGATGTTAGTCAAAAAAGTGTTAAGTGAATTGAGGATATCAGGGTGAGGTTTAACAAGGAAGAGGCCCTGCAAATCCTAATTTGGTTAGCAAACTGTTCACTGAATCTGTTTCATAGTCTTGCCAGTTTTTGTTTTGCAGATAAGTGATGTAGAAAACATGATCACACTGTGGATGCTCACCCTGCTGCAGCTGCTGCTGCTGTGCCATCAGATATCTCAGCAAATAAACAGACAAATAAAACATTGTACCAGATAACAATCACAGCTGAAAAGGCTTTAAAAGGCCTTTTAAGGTCTTGAGAGATGTTCTGCAATTGGCTGCAGAGCTTTCAAAAGCTAGCTTATAAATTCTAGTGAAAGTGTGTGGGCGCAGGTGGGTGCGTGTGTGGGTGCAGGGGTTCCTTCGATCGGGGTGAGTTCCTGTCGAAAAAGGGCAGGGAAATGCCACAGGGAGCCAGGAAGGGAGGTTTCCTGTTGGTAAACATCCTCCCAGATAAGTTTATAATTAAAGAGGGTGGTGTGTTTGACTGCGGGGAACACAGCGGGTTGGAGTTCAAGGATTCTGGTTGGAGGTTGGCAGGGTGCACAACCGTACAAGTATAAACCACATCACTCTCTTATACGCTCAACGCTATTCTGCTCGCACTTATCCACACTGATCTGCAATCTGACGGCCTTCAGCTTCCCCATCTTTAATCTGAGAGACCCTCAGGCACTGAATTCAGATCAGCTCTTTGGCAGCTCATTTCTGCTTCTGTGGTGTTGGGCTGGGTAGCAAACTCTGACTATCTCCTTCAGGATATTGGAAATGCTGTTCTCCGCTTGTCAGAGTTATAAATACATAAACCAGCATGACCCACTGCAGGTCTGCATGAACTTTATATCTAATTGATCAGGGGTGTAACACACACCAATACACACACACAATGTCCCCCGCTACCTGACACAAACAGGGGGTCCATCTGTTTCTCACCACGACGATCTAAATCCTGAACACAGACTGGACGAGGTGAGATGGTAAGAGTAGGATGGAAATAAAAAGGGGACAGAAAAGGGAGATGGAGAGATGAGGAGAAAGGAGGAGAAGGAGAAAGGAGGAGTGGGAGTACAGAGGAGAAAACAGGACTTGGCATGGTTTGAAGTGTTGGTTGTCTGTGGTAAGGTGTTTTTTTTTCTCCTTCTCCAGAGAGACAATGACCGAGCTTGGCGTGGGTGTGTTTGTTCTAGATATTCTCAACATTTTTATTTTTCATCCATTTAAAGTGTTATGACTAAACATGCCCACAACATCATGTCACTTCCTAAAAGCAACAGTCTATTTGTGGCTGTAAAAGAGAGTGACACCATTGAAAGCAGAGGGATACAGTTGTTGATAAACGGGGGAAAAAACACATCACTTTAAGTTGAGTTTTTAGTTGGAGAGAAGCCCTTTTGATTCAAGACAAGACTTAAAATATTTAAGTCCAGCCCCCCCAAAAGACATGCCTGAAAACTTCTTCTTTACATGGTTGTGGCATCTCTTAAAAAGAACTCAAATTCTCCCCTCATCAATGCTAAGTGTCCTGGTTTAATGATTGATTAATTAAGGACAGGCGTGGTTTTCAGAAAGACCCAATGAGCGGAAAGCGTAAAAACAAGCGTTACATCATGTCCTCGAATATGATTGCATATCGGAGATTTATCAAAACCAACAATAATATCGTCTGCATACAAGTCAAGGATAAAATCACTCATCAAAATCCATTAAAGTTGACACTACGGTGCGTTTTTTCTCCCGTAAAGATTCAGTAAATCCCGGTTTGAATCAGCGCACTCGCATCAGAGACTCTCGGTGATAAAAAGGCGACTCAAACAGCAGAACAACCTGTTAATCCTTAAAAGTCAACACGCTTTACCGGCATTAAAACCATCCACAGTAATAACTATAAAATAGTTTTCGCAGTCTTTTGGTGCACCTGTCATCACAGTTCTGTTTTTTGTGTCTTTTTCTTCTTACCTGTGTGTGTGGATGATGGTCAAACATGTCCATTTGGATCTCCTGGGTTGAGGTCGAAGGCGTCCTGGACATACTACTTTTCTGTACCATTGATTTAACTTTTTCAAATCTATTTTCAGTTTCGTGTGTTTATGAAGGTGTCGGCTGACTCATCTTTTTCTCTCTTTTTAAAAAATTTCTTCAGAGGGGTGAAGACGCTGATGTATCTAAGCTGGCCGACAATAGAATGGCAACAGCTGCTTCCCTCCAGCCTATAGCGTTACAAACTGGCGCACCAGGATTTTACACTACGGTCAAGTTACCGAGGTGACACAAGAAGACATCCGGTTAATGCTTTCAAAATAAAATTCTCAAAGGCGCTAACTCCAGTTTGCTTGTTCAACCTTCATTTTTAGTCTCTACATCGATACATCAAACTTGATTGCAAGACCCATTCATTATAGCTTGCAATTCAACTTCATTTAGCTTTTGGTAGTGCATTTATTACAATATTGTGTTGCCCTTTTTAACCCTCTGATTTTACTCAAAGATTCATATACAAGTTATATAAGGTTTTTATTGTAGAGAGTAGAGATTATATTCAAAATATTGATGTAAAAATTGGTGATTTATGATTATACTTTATAAAGTATGGAAACAATATTGATTGTCAAAAAAGCAAATTTCACATGCATTATTATTATTCTCTGAGCTTATATCAAGCAAATCAACCAACCTATTTAGAAATTTAAGACTCACACATTACATCTTGAAAGACTCACTACAAGTAAAATATACCAAAAATTCTACAATACAATTCATATATTTTATCATAACTCAGTCTGATATGTGGCACATAGAAGATAAAGCCCCTTTCCTAAACACAAAAAAAGTTTCACACGCCTGAGAAATCATTTATATTGTGTCCAGTGTCTTACATAGATTGTTAACTTTAATATGACACTGAAAGAGTAGTCTTACATTATGTAATGACCATAGACTGTAAATAGTAATGACTTATTATTGTAGCAGTGTACGCCCACACTCACAAAAACTAAGCTCGTGGTTGCAGTGTGTTGATTTTCTTATTGCAAGCTTTTATTGTGAAAGCAGATTCCGCTAACTTCCTGTATGTATTCGTACTCCTCTGTGTCTCTTTACGTAGTTTCTCTCTCCTCTTCTCGCTCCTCTGGCTCCAGCTGGGAGCCGAGGTCCCCGCCCCGCGGACAGACCCCACCTTCACTTATCGATTGATGGGAGACAACAGAACGGCGGTGATGGAGGCTGCGTGGACAGACTGACAGTCCGAGTCCCTGCTCCAGAGTCCAGGGGGTCTTCTTGTTTTAGTAAGGGGGGGATTTTTCAGGGGTGCATTGGTGAATCCGGTTATTTTGGGGTACCAGTCTGTTGAATGTAAACAAAAGGAGTATTATATCAATGTGGGCCCGGGCAAAACCACCAAAAAGCCTCTGACCACTGGTACTGTTGACCCAAGGGGAGGTGGGACTCGCTGTATATTTCAAGGGGAGCTGATCATTACTATGCGAAGTAATGCAGACATTTACAGTTCAAGGGCCCCTGGGTTAGCTTGGTTCAGGGGCCCTATAGACTTCAATAAAACAACACCTAAAATAGAGGGTCAAAACAGCAAAAAGTCACTGTATTTTCAGTTTTTCTGATACTAGATGCATCGTTGGGTTATTGTCTTGCAATTACAGTTTGCAATAACTGTAAACTACATTGTAGTTAGCATCAGTATTGTTATTGATCGAGCACAACACAGTGAGGTGTTTAAGTCCAGTGTTTGCAAGCCTGTAGTCGTCATAACAGTAAAATCTGAGAGGTCTTTACGTCATTTAACCCAGAAACAGCCCAAAGAGGCACAGACCAACTTTACACTGAGCAACTATAAGACTGTACAATATTGCCCATGTATGCTACAGAAGTGTTGAATCACATGAAGTAAAGTTTTCTTCTAAATTATAAGTTAGTATGATGTTCAGGAGAGAAAACGTTGCCTGTTCAGCTACTTTGAAACACGAAACTCGGAGAAGCTTTGTAGAGAGCTGTCCCAGAGTTAGGGGGAAACTTTTTGTGGGTTTCTCATAAAAAGAGACTAAAACAGATAATCAGGTTTATAATTTGATCTGAAAATAATTACTTCTGTTGCGCTGAGTTTTCTGCCGCATTATAATATTGGTTTAAACTGTTACTTGGATGAGTCAATATCTGTTGGGTGAAAAAGCAGGAGGAGAAGAGGGGGACTCCTCAACTGTGAATGATATTCTGATTAATTTGGTTAAAGTGCAGATCTGGTCTCTAAATAGATTCATAGACACACATGTATTGATCCATAATGCTGAGTGCTTGAATGACTCCCTCAGATTTTCCATTTTTTTCATGGAAAAGATAAATACTTGGGTGGAAATGAATCACTTTACCTGAACAAACAAATTCTCCACCCCTGCTTGTCCGTGACAAGCTCTCTCTTTTGGGATCTCTGTGATGTCGTGATCATGGCTGACACTATTGGATAAAAACACCCACAAGTTTATCTTCTGAGGCAGCTGCTCATGCTTCCATTGAGGGGGTTGCCACAGTAGGAGGGAGGAAGCCGTGATGGTGTTTCTCTCTTAAAAATAAGAAAAGCAAAAAGCAGCTCAATAACTTCCTCGCAGAATAACAACCTGTTTTATCACAGTTTCTGTGATAATTGAGGCACAGACAGTGAGTTAACATTAAAGTCTTTTGAGTTTACAGGGCGGAGAGAGAATAAACATATGTGAAATCACTTTTAATTGCATTAATTTCTCTGACTGCCCTCTACTTTTTGCCTGTTTGTCCTCCACATCTGTGAGCAAGGTGAGCAGTAACAGCACAGCATTAGGAGGATTCAGGCTTCACTACTACACTGTTCCTATGCTGTATCTTAGAGGACACAGTGTAGTACAAGTGCTTGGACATGAACCGACATCATGGTGACTTCTTGTTAATGGATGTTGGCACGGTTGTGAATATTAATGAACCTCACAGCAGCAGTGGATTCAGCAGTACGTCCACAAACACCTCAGGGATAGTGGGATCTCAGTATGCACCAATGACTCTAAGTTAAACACACATTTATTCATTGATGAGTTTTAAGACAATTTTGAATAATTGCTTTGGCCACTTTGCTCCTGACAATGCTAAGCAGCTGTTGCATTGCAAATTGGCAAAAATCTGTTAAGGAAGGGCTATTTTTTGTACCTGTGCAGCAGAATCTTTGTCTCATACTGTTTGCACTTATCAGTGTGAGGTGACACTACAGTTTCTTCTTTACGTTGCTTGTATTTATGTGTTTTTTATTTGTTTACTTGACAGGGACAGTACACCTGGCATTGTTGCATCTAATTAAAGAGCAACTGATGTCGTGTATGCAGGACTTCTAGCTGTGGCTAATTTGCGGTCTTTGTCCCTGGTTAGACAGCAGAAAATACAGCATATCATACATAAACCACGAAATAAAAACTAACATTATAGCAGGTGCAGACTGGCAATCATATGTTTGCATAAAAACAACGGTAAAGCAGACAAAACAAGCAGTTTCTTCTATGCACAAAAATTCAGAGACTTACATATACACATACATACATACACATACACATGCACATACATAGACACACATACATGCCATATTAATATGTTTAAGGACATTCTTCTGCATTATGACCGCACATTCGCTTTGTGAAATGGGGTTGTCCTGATTGAAACACTCACACTCTCACCTGTGTTGTTTGATCATTTGTTGGTACAGGTGAGGGGCTGAGACTCAAAGTCAAGCTGGATGTGGGTGATCACAAACTATGGAGGGTAACATGCAGAAATATGGAAAACCAGGTTCCAAGTGCGTCTCAGGAGATGTAACATTAATAAGCTATTAAAATAGCTTATTTTAAGGAAGTCTTAGTCCTTCGTGATAGTTTAGGTGATTACTGAGGTGTCAAATATTCAGAGAAGTGCATTTTAGGACTACAAAGGGTATCTTTTTTGGAAACCATCCGGTGTCATTGAGGTCGAAACTGTTTTGCTCACTTATTTTAAGCTCACACTTGTGTGGAGAGAGCAGTTGAAGCATTGGTAGGAGGTGATCCGGTACTTTGCCTGGGGATGATGATGATTTCAGCTGGTATTCTGGGTTACCTGAGGTGAATAAGTCATACAAGAGCCCCTTGTTCGCCCACACTGTGAGTGTGTATTGTTGGCATGGTGACGGAGCTGCAGCTGAAGAGACAAGAATGCAGCAATTGACATCTGAAATATTAACAGTTAGATGTGAATCTATTGCTGATATGAGGGTGTCTTCAGAAAAAGACTTTCCTCGAACACCCAGTGATAAGAATCCACAACATGGCTTAAAATAGCTTGTTTTCTATTTTATTGATCCGCACTCAACTATCACAACCTTGATGGGCCAACTTTAACAGAGTATCGCACATAGTTTAAATCAATTTGGTATGTTGTTTCGCCCTTTAGTGTTAGAGAAGGTATCTGAGATGAGAAAGGATTTTGTGTGTGTCTATCTGAACAGGGATATACAGTAAATCTCCAAAAAGGTAAGCAAATATTGACAACACTTGAACTGGTAGAATTATTTAAGATGCAAACACAGAAAAATACAGCCTTATACTTTCTGAGTGTCACGGTTTTATTAAAGAAACTACAAAATTATCATATTTTAACGTTTTTTTAATGGCTAATATTAATCCTCTTTCTAAGCCTGCACCTTTCTGATATTTGAAGGGAAAATTAACATTAGAAAATACAAAGCATTCATTTCATTGAACTTGTTAAAATGATCATCAAAAAGTACTGAAAAGTCGTTATTCAATCAGTTTCTAATCAGTTAATTGACCTCAACACTGCCCTCGTGGGTCAGACTTGTAGAATACATCCGAGTTTCACCCTACCCATAATGCACCGTAAAACACCGGCCAGTACCATTGTCTCTTGAGGGAAGTTATACGATAAACACTATGAACCAAATTCAAGAGTTCCTTTATGTTAGTCAGTTCATATATTTTAGTAAGCATAAATATAAGTTAAAGTGAATATAGGAAGTATAAATAAGAACCTCTGTGATCTGTCATAATATGCATGTGTTTAGAGTCCAGAGATGGACTCTCCCCTATTATGGTACATTCCGGTCTGTCTCTCAAACCTTCCTTTTCCTATTGAAGTAGCAGCCATGAGGTACGCTTTTAAGTGATAGCTCAACCAAACACTTTATTTAAGTATTAAAACGTGCTTTTGTTAAGCTCATGACACCGTAGCGGGATGGTGCACTCTCAGTTTAAATGATACACAGTGGTCAAAGCTCATGTAGAGCCACAAACCCCACTATTTTACGTGGCGATGTGTGACACGCTGTAGCAGACGGAGAGGCCATATTGAGAGCCCGGATGGTGGTCCAGTGTTAGCGGAGCAGCTGAGCTGTTCATGCTGGATGTCTTAATGCTCACAGTCAATAAACTCATCAGTTTTACGACATGTAGTAGTCCAACATGCATTATAAATAAAGACACAGATGTTTGACCCGGGGTGTATTTGTCCCACAGCATGCTCAGGCTCCAAAAGAGGCTGGCCTCCAGCGTCCTGCGCTGCGGGAAGAAGAAGGTCTGGCTGGATCCGAATGAGACCAATGAGATCGCCAATGCCAACTCCCGTAAGTAGATCAGTAATATCTCTGACTGGTTTCTGTTGGTAGTTTGTTTAAAATGTCTAAGGATTGTGTTGGCCGAAATGATGCAGAAACATGCTGATGTCCTATTTTAAAACTCCTCCTGTTATAATAAAGTCACTGTCAGCTCTAATAGGGCAAATCAAGGCAAACCTTGAAGTCAGCAGTTTGTTATGAAGTTTCCTCTGAGTCTGGGGGCAACCGTGAAAAGACATGTTTTACTTTGAACCAAAACGCAGATGAAGATATCTGTGTTTTGTAAACGTGCAGATCCAACAATGTTTGGACATGCATCACCCACAGCCTAACTCAAGAGAAGCTCTTACCCTTTCTAGCTCATACTGAGGTTTCGTTCCAAAGTTTGAAACTCTACACCATTTTTGACCCTTAATTTGTCTGTTTTAAATTTGTACCCCAGTGTTTACTTTTTATCTTGTCACTATCTTGCCAACAGTAAAGTAGTTTTTAGCAGTTTTGTTTCTCTTTTATAGTCAATATTAAACTGTGGTATTTTGTCAAAAACAAAAAGATGTGATGTATAGGCCATCAGCTGACATGCTTCCTTATTATCAGCATTGACTGCTAAGAAACTGTCAGTAGAGCACTTTTGGTAAGAACTTTTTGAAGTATTTGTGGTTGGTATTAAAGCTTTTCTTCTGTCTTCAGGCCAGCAGATCCGTAAACTGGTGAAGGATGGTCTCATCATTCGCAAACCTGTTACGGTCCACTCCAGGGCCCGCTGCCGCAAGAACACACTGGCCCGCCGTAAGGGCAGACACATGGGAGTCGGTAAGTGAAAATGCTACCTTTTATTGCATTATCAAATTTTTAGAGAAACTGCGTAAAGACCCCTATGTTACTGAAGTTCTTAATGTGTTAGCTATGCAGATGAACTCGATCCAGTATGTGAATTGTCAGAAACATAATGAAATACTTTTGAAAATTTAGAAGAACAATAAATAAAAATTGTAGATAGTCTGTTAAATACAATTGGGATGTTTTGCTTATGTGTTTATCCCCACAGGTAAGAGAAAGGGTACAGCTAACGCCCGTATGCCTGAGAAGCTGACTTGGATGCGGCGCATGCGGATTCTGCGTCGTTTGCTGCGTCGCTACAGGGAGTCCAAGAAGATCGACAGGCACATGTAAGTTCAGGATGTCATAACTGCTCCTGTGAATTGGACTTAAAGACCCACACTTTGATGACTTTGATGAGTTCTTTTTTTTGATAAACCTGGCTCTGTTTGACACTAGCTGCACCTCTAAAACTGTTTGTTGAATTAACATCAATATTTTCCCTTCCTGCCATTTTTCAGGTACCACAGCCTCTACCTTAGGGCCAAGGGTAATGTGTTCAAAAACAAGCGCATCCTCATGGAGCACATTCACAAGCTGAAGGCAGACAAGGCTCGCAAGAAGCTCCTGGCGTAAGTCTGAGACTGAACTGCTTCTTTAAAAATTGGAGAAAGAAGTCAGGACAGTCTTTTTTCAGAGAAGTTTTTAATTTAAAATCTTTATTTGGAGCAGAAGGCTCCACATTTTTGTAGGAAGTGATGTGTTTTTCTACACATAAAAGCATTTTGTTTTCTGAACTGTATCAGCAAACTGAGGTTAAAGTTTATTTTGACAGTCATGGTCTTTGTGCATGAGTCCAAAGTGCGCACAAGTTAGGAGTCAACCAGACAGTTAAAAAAAAAAAAAGAGAGAAAAACTTCCATGAAACATTCTCATAGCTTCACTAAGCTATGATAAGGGTTGATAAGCAGCTGAAAGTGATGGTATGAACACATGTGTCTCTCTGCATGTTCCACAGCGACCAGGCCGAGGCTCGTCGTTCCAAGACAAAGGAGGCTCGCAAACGCAGAGAGGAGCGTCTCCAGGCCAAGAAGGAGGAGATCATCAAGACCTTGTCCAAGGAGGAGGAAACCAAGAAGTAACCTGGTCATCTGTCCATCCTGCCTGACTGCCACCCGTCAAGTGCTGACAATAAAAGTGTATATAAAGACAACCAAGGTCTCCTGAACTTTCTTGAGTCACCGATTAAACTCAACTGTTTGATAAAAAGAAATAAGATGGTTAACACATGCAGTCATGCTCAAAATAAAAAATAACAGGATAAGAATATAAGCCTGTTTTAGAAAATACATTTTTCTCTGATGGTTGTGAGGATGGGTCCAAATATTAGCTGGATTGTTTTTCTGAACTTCTGCAGAAGACTATTTTGTTGAACTGCAAAGTTATAAAGATTAAACAAAAAGAGCCAGAAGTGAGATAAATGCAACATGAGTGAAGAAATGAAGAACTATTGACTGAATCATCAGGTACACTGTGAGACCCTAATGAGATAAACATAACTTTCCGAACTCTCAAACCTGTACCCTCTCAATTTGAGTTACAAAAACATTTGAAGAGCACTCAAACATTTCATGAAAAGGGCTTTGAAAATGTGCTCATAAAACATGATTGAGAAATGTTTTAAAGATTTCATTTCACCAGGGCTACAAGCTTCAGGAAATAAAAATCAAATATTGAGAGAGATCTTTGCTGGAGGGGAAAAGTCTATAAAGAAAAAATTCCCACAGCTGAAGTCTTATGCTGACATATTTGTTGAATCACAACATTTTAGTCCAACAGACTTTGTGTAACTTGATAAGTATGTTGACACAAAGCATGACAGTGTGGGAATCTCAATGATGAGAAAATCTCCAAACTTCCCTCTAATGGTGGCGCTGTCTGTCTCTTTTAGAATTCAGTTCAGATGCGGAAGAGTCCCATAAACAGTTTTTATCTCATGCCAGTTTCTGATGACTCTTATTTCCTGCTCTCCAAAGTCATTAAGTCCTTCTGTAAACTCTTTATCTGTTTGCTGTGATGACCTCAAGGGACTCATGTCAAGAGCCCAGTTTTGACCAGTGAAACAGATAAGCCCACTGTTTTATTTGCTTAAGTGAAATATTAAATTTGTCAAATAGTTGGAGTTACACCAGACGTACTATGACAACAAGAGTTGCTGCCATCTAGTGGCTTTACCTGGTATAAAATCTAAAGAAAAAAAGGCGAAAGTTGGGTCCTGCTGGCATATTGTATCTAATAGCTTTGGCACTGTTGACCAGAGAGAGACTAGACCTCTGTACACCAGAGGGTCATGGCCTCAAATATATTCATTCTGCATTTTAAAAACGATTTAGTGAAGCTGGTGTACAATTTTTTTTCTTTTAAGTGAAATTTGTGTACACAACCTCAAAGTAAAAAATTGCAGTTGCATCAGTGACTCATGACCCACATATAGGATGCTGTCAAGCTTCAGTTTCACTTGTAACCACAGCGCCTGGTGAAGAAGAGACAACATGAGACGGAGTTGAAGATTTCTCAAAACTACCACCTTTGTTTCAAGGAAGGCGTCGGCTTATTTTCATGCCTGCTTCTTTTGATGCTTCGTACCTCCTCATTTCACCTCAGAGACTAGTGTTGCTTATCATACCCTGATGATACACATCACATTTACTGACTTTCGGCCATCTCATACGAGTATTATCTGTATGAATAATGATGTACATTTCAGCCGGCAAAAGAGAAAAAGAGCCATTCAAATGTGACCGTTCTCTCCATTTATTACACACTGCCAAAAAGGATCCTCCCTCTAGTCAGGAAGAGTTGGTGATCCACCAGTTTGGGGGTAGGGGGGCTCTTATGTCCATTAAAGACCCTGCAGGATGTGTAAATTATGCATGTGTCCCTCTGGATATAGTTTACTTTGGTTTGCAGGCTTGAGCCTCGTGTGTTTTGTTGTGTTTGTGCTTCAAAGGTCTGTGAGCAGGAATAAAGTTCACGCAGGCACAGGGGCACCAGGCCTCATGATAAGCAGCTGTGGAATGCATCAAGATCAGCTGCTCTTAAACCACCTGACCATGCTGCTGCCCCCATCTGGCCCGTGTCTACCATCTCTCCTCCCTCCCTGTGGGGCTTTTTTTTCCAGCTACAGCCATCACTAGTATTGTAGGAGGTGAAGATGACAATATTGAGGCCCTCAGCTGGAGAAAAGAAGTGAAAATATGACCACATCAGGTGACCTCGAGGTCTCACATCACATGCAAGATCTCTTGGGACTGACGGGAGCTTTTAGGCCAAGCCTCATTCGATGGGCTAATGAGAGGGAAAGGCTGGTAGAAATGCACTAAACCATTACATATAATGTCTTAATGTTAAAGGTTAATCCTCAGCTATGGTCATGGGTTGATGACCACATGGTCATGGATTTGAAGAGGCTCGAGAAATGGTCTTGGGGTTACAGCTATTATTTGCATTTCACTGAAAAGCTGAAATCACTTTGACATTTTCAGGGGGTCATTTATCTTCTTTTAAACCAAGATAACCTTTTCACTGCTTGTCGAAAAAAAAACCAACAAACAAAAAAACACAACAAATGTTCTCACTTAGGAGGCAGAACCTCAGGATATTGGTATTATATGAAATAACCGGTAAATAATATTGAGCAGCAGGACTTAAGGATTAATTGGCTAATCGTTTCAGCTGCAGGTGAAAGTTTCTCTATTTGGCTAACTTAAGGGCTTATAGGGGTCTGAAGGGCTAAAAGAATGGACTCTGAGAGGAAACAAGAAAAAAGTAAAAGGGTTTAAGCATGCTCTGAGTGGAAACCTTTGCTGCATGTCATCACCCACTCTCAACTCCACACGTTTCCTGTCTCTTTACAGCTGCATCTGATTAAAACAGAAATTCCCAGAAAGTTAATCTCGACATGAAGAGTTTTTTCATTCTTTCTTCTACTCCTCTTTTCATGAGGACAGTTAGTAAGTCGGGATTTTTTTTTTTCCATACAACATACATTCTTGATGCCTTGATTATTTTGGCACAGCCACGTCAGTCCGCTCAGAGCTATTGATGCATCATAATTTATTTCCAGTCGAGAGATGAATATTGCTGAATGCTTTCTTCTCTAGTTGTACCAACTTTAGTAATGACCGTATGATAGCAATACAGAGAGCCACGCGCTCAACCAAAAAGCCACTCTATAGCCACAAATAATGCTCAGAACAGCACCTAACTTCATCAACATTACATAAAGGGTCCCAGCCATATTACTAGCCACCAAACATCTTTTTAGCTTTGCCTGATTTCTTTAGCAAAGAGACTAAACACAACTCAACCACTCTCTTCCAGCAGCCGCTTGTTTGTAGCGGAGATCTCAGGTGAGTCCATTACCACAGTGGGGTGACAAAGTTCAAGGAAGAACACTTATGATCATTTCTTCATGGAAATGAAATCAGACCGAGACGCTAAGGCAGAAGAACTACCACGTCTGCACGGCATAATGATTATATGATGATTATTACTTCAAGGAAATGATAAGGTAATGATCATAAATGTTCTTCCTTGTGGCTGATTTAGACTAGTGCATTGTTTCTGTTTGCTGGGAGGTCGAGCCACAGCTGGATCTCTTTCCTTGTTCCTTGAAAGTTTAAGTCAGTGAATCCAGTATGGGGACCAGCATTGATGAATGTCATGATGCCTCTTCAGGAACCAGTGGATGAAGTCACAGAGGCTGCCTTCATGTTTTATACAGTCTAATATTAGCAACAAGTGATACTCACAGTAAAAATGTAGTGGTAAGACTCAAGCAGGTCCATGGAAACAGGTGTTCCCAAAACTCCAGGACTGTGGTGAACTTTGTTATACTCCCCTTATCCCCCAGCCATCTTTGAGGGAGGGAACATCTGGAAAGATGAATAGTAACATTGATGGGACATGAATGAAGAGGAGGAAGGAAAATAGAGCAGAGAAGGCCAGATTGCACAACATAACTCTAACTCTCTAAGCTTTAATCCAGCTCTTAATAAAAGGTAGAGTGTATGCCTCCTTGAAGATTGAAGGCTTCAAACTTCAAAGACTTGGGGACCACACTGGGCTCATAGGGCTGCCAGGCCTATACTTCTGATCAAAAGCCTGATATCAGGCAGCACTGAGAGGCAGCAGGTCAGACAGTATGCACACACAAAGGTAATTATGTTGTATAAAAATACAAATTTTACAATGACAGGAAGTGCCAGATGGATTTTGTCTCCTGTAGCAACCTTCCTTTTCCTCTCCTGATATGCATGAGAGAAAAAAAAATTCAACCATCACTTACAAAAAAAAAAAAAAGAGAAACCTGACAGGAAGCTCAGGGTGCATTCAGGGGATCTCCCATCAACAGGAGAGGTTGAAATGAAGGCGATCCTGCCTCATATTCTGTCTCTCATGTGTTCACCTCATGGACAGTCCAGAAACAAAGCAGCTGCCTCATCCCTGCTGGAGTTACATGCCAGACGAGGGGGTGGATAGGTGCTGTTAGGGTGACAGTAAAACCTTTTGTCTGTAAGTCTGCCTTGTGGTGATGTCACATGGTCTCTATAGAGGAAGTACTCATCTCCTCCTCCTTGAGGGCATGCTACCCTGAGGCCTGCTGTTTTCAGATTTCCTGTCAAGAGCAGCTGTTGAGGGTCAGCTGGGAAACATGAATGCAAACTTCAGAGAAAATACACAAATATGTTTCCAGTGTAGACTTATCCAGAACATCAAGTCTTTTGTCCCCCTTAATTTGAATAAACAAATAGAATACTGAGGGTATCATGTGGGCATAATGCAAAGAAGTCTGCAGTTTGAAGAGATCAGTAACATCACACAGAAAAAATCCTTTCTTTATTTAATGTGGTTATGCAGCCTTGGAATTGACATTATTTGCAACAAGCTAGATAGCATGGGAAGATGTCTGGCCTGGGCTCAGGGGAAACCAGTCCCATTGATTTACAGACCTTCAGGGAAGGTGTGTACTTCTTTGGTTTAATGCTTGAATTATTCCTGTAGCTCTCCCTATCTACTTTGTGAAATCTTATTGTTTTAAGACAAGGCAAACCTCTTCCACATTCCTGCTAGAGTCCCATGACAGCTAAGCCATGGGTGTTGTCTCCCCAGAGGCATGACTCTTAGGGTTGCCAAAAGCATCAAGTCTGTATTTGAAAAATGAATGCATTTCCTTGATGTTGCCGTTTTATAGCCTGGCCGGTCCATTCCTGTTGTGTGAATCAATTGATGTTCCTTCTTTCCTTGTTGTGGGAAAGAACATCAAGTGA